AGCTATATTATTCTTTATTATGGAGTAGGATTTCATTGTGTGTACAACATTAGACTTTATTTTTTAATTTATTTTTAAGATTGTATTTATTCATTCGTGAGAGACACACAGAGAGGGGCAGAGACACAGGCAGAGGGAGAAGCAGGTCCCTGCAAGGAGTCCAGTGTGGGACTCAATCCCAGGATGCCAGGATCATGACCTGAGTGGAAGGCAGATGCTTAACCACTGAGCTACCCAGGGGCCCCTATTTTTTTTAAAAAAAATATTTTTTAATTTATTTGAGAGAGAGAGAAAGCAGAGCAAGGGGAGGGGCAGAGGGAGAAGCAGCAGACTCCCCACTGAGCAGGGAGCCCAATGACCTGAGGCTCCATCCTAGGACCCCAAGATCATGGCCTGAGCCAAAGGCAGACGCTTAACCTACTGAGCCACCAAGGTGCCTCTAGACTTCACTTTAAAGATTAGGAATGCAGGACTCAGAGAGGGATGATATCTGATTAGTAGAAGACCTTAACAAAAATCCAGAACAGGGAGGAAAGAGGATCATGTTTTCCTAAAACCCAAATGCAATTTGCACTATGAAATCACATGGCTGCCACAACCACATAAGTAACCAAGTAAAACTGTGCTTGTTCCAATCTCTATGTCCATATCTGATCAGGTCCTGGCTACAAAGGGAAGTGGAGCAGTTTAGCAGACATTACTTCTGGGGGGACTCAGAGAAATGAATCAACAGAGAAATGATTACACTAAACCCTTGGAGAGGTGAGGAATTGAGGGAAGAAGTACCCCCACATTATTTTATAAGTAATAAAATGTCTTTTAGTTGCACCAGTTTGGATCAAATGAGCCACAGGACTTTTAAATGTGTCAACTGGAAAGCATAAATCCAAGGCAGAGTATTTCTTTTCCATCAGAATACTTCAAGATTTATTTTGTGCTCAAGATTAAAATTTAACATTCAAGATTGTCGATTCAGGAAAAATAAAACAAAAAAAGGTCATTGAGAACCTTCAGTGCAACAGTTCAAAGAACTTAGAACATTATATCACAATCAACAACGGTGTGTACTTCTGTAGGAGGGGACTTCAGGTTCTTTGAGTCCATGATAAATCTGCAGAACCAGCTCTGTGACTGACCTCTAACATCACCCATGCCCGTGTTGACAGTGAAAGCTTTCTTTCCATCTATCACTGTTTAGCTGTCTTGTGTCAAACTTCTACCCTACCCAGAATCCTAGGTTGTCCCCAGTTTGATTGGACCTCAGGGACAACAGAAAAGAAATCTGAGACTTTGAGACTAAACTCCTAGTAGCCCGAGCAGCATCACTCATGCACCAGTATTACCATTAGACCCTTGCTACCCTGAGTGTGAGAAGCAGGAGGGCAGTGTTCCTATCATTTGGGAATTTCTTAAAAATGCAAATTCTTGACACTCCTCCCCCGTTAGAACACACATGTTAACAAGATCCCAGCAATTTGTGTCACATTAAAGTAGGAGAAGCCCGTGTCTAGTCTAGTGGTTCTTCAACCTCAGCACACCTCAGAATTTCCTGGAGGCAGCTGCTGCTTGAATACCTGACCTGGGGGCCACAGTCGGAAAACCACTGCTCTGGCTCTAGAACTGGATGATTACAGAGATTAAGTGGATCCTTTCCCATTTCCTGAGTTTGATGGAGAATCCCTACATCTTCCACCTCAGCCTACGACCAGAATCCAGGAAAGCTAACACTCCTCAGGGACTAAGACCATGGCCTCCTCCCCTGAGTTGTTTTAATATTGCCTCTTGTTTAAACAGAGCTGTGGACAAAAGGTTCTAGGGCCTCTGTATCAAAGCCAGAATAAATTTACGGCAGAGGCCCCATCCGGGAATGTGTTTTCTCCACCTTTAAACCAAACAGACCTGAGGAGTTACAGCTAAGAGCTATGGTGCTGGGAGGGCCCTACCTGAGAATGAGATAGGATGGGTGGGTGACCCTGCACCACCCCTTATGTAGAGTGTTTTATAAAAGCCTTTCAAGTCCAGGGCTTTTGTTGTGAGTCCTTCTTGGGAATGCTCAGAGCTCTTGAGTCCACTTGCGCCCTGCCTGGCACGATAGCCATACACCTCTGTACGAGCACACGCTGTGGATCACACCAAGGCCAACCATAGCCCTGGGACTCTAACTCAAAATCTGTACAGTGTTGAATCCTGCTGCCTTTGTGTTATGAAGACATACCTAAATGCATAGAAAAGAGACTTTAGACAAGCAAAATTATCTTCAAACAGAAATATTTAACTAGGGGTACCTGGGTGGCTCAGTCAGTTAAGCGTCTGCCTTTAGCTCAAGTCATGATCCCAGGGTCCTGGGATTGAGCCCCATGTTGGGCTCCCTGCTCTATGGGAGCCTGCTTCTCCCTCTCTTCCCCATTCGTGCTCTCTCTTGCTATTTGTGTGTGTGTGTGTATGTGTGTCAAATAAATAAAATCTAAAAAAATAAAATAAAATAAAATTTAACCAAAGAAGGACACAAAAGCCATTCCAAATAGTAGAGATGAGTGTCAACTCATAAGAGGTTGATTCGCTCTACCCTAATCACCCATTGGATGAGAGATGGCAGATTATTTTTACTAAGATTACATCTCACAAATTATGAACTTATATCACAAATAGCCTTCAAATAGAAATAATAACTGTCATTTTAGAATGCTTATTATATATCAGGATCTGTGCTAAATGTTTACAGGTATTAATTCAATCCAAAATATGAGGTTAATATCACTATTATCCTCATTTTATAGATGTAGAAACTGAAAAACAGAATTATTACATATGTATTTTGCCTGAAGTTATGAAGGCAGTTTGATATCTAAACCTGTGTTCTCAATCATAGACCAAATGTGGCAGGCACATTACAAAAACAACAGAACAACAGCTCGGTGCTGTAGGGAAAGAGTTGGGCCATTATTGTGCATGATAGGGGTTAAAGAAAACAAAGACAAAAAAAAAAAACGAAACAATTTTTTTAAGCACTGGAACTCTCCTTGCCTCCTTATTTATTTATTTATTTATTTATTTATTTATTTATTTCTTAGAGGCATGGGGTGAGAGACAAAAATCTCACGAAGAACTCTATTTCATAAGACTGATCAAAGGATAGCTCTTCTGGTGAAAGCCAGGCAGGGGCCCTGGACCCCTTCCCACCCTCTCAGCCCCTTCTCCACCACACTCTGCTCCCACCCTGTATTCACTCATATTGAGTGGTTCCACCTTGTTAGTCGCTGGTCTCAATATTTCCAGTCCCGAGTCCATTCCCGGCCCTCTTCCCACCTGGGATAACTAAGAAGTCCTTCCCCATTTCCAGTCATGAAAGATCAGGGCAAAATATGGATGTGTCCTGGAGAGGAATGGTCCTGGGGGTGAACGGCCTTTGAAAGATGGATAGAATGCTTTAAGTAGGACAAATTTTACTGATCATCCAAAATTATAGTTAGTGGTTGAAAGAAATGGTAGGAAATGTTTAGAAAATATTATAATAGGGACTCCAGGAAGATTTGAGTCTGAGTACCTGGTGTCTACTTATGTAAAAATCCAGCCCAACTTGCAATTGTGTGCAGGCATGATTGTATACATTAAGTGTTAATGGATTGGTGTTACTCTAAACCCAAGTCATTAATGGATTGGATATATTTTGTGGGGAGGGAGCACAGTGCTAACCCAAGCACTAGTTCATGGAGTTCCTACACCCCACCCCCTCCACAACTGAAGACTTCAGTGCCCGAGGCTTGGGCAGCTCCATAAAAAAACCACCATCCACAGCACTCTCATGAAGGGACCTCAGGTGGATCTCTCCAGGGACCAAAGTGGCAAGTGACTTGCTGCTTTCTCCATGCCATCCCAAAAGACCTGTAGCTGCCATTCTGTGTCACTCAGCTGGCTGGGCCAATCAGGGTCAGTCTTGAGGAGAGGCTAGCATATCCAGAGTTTTCTACTTGGGCACTGAGCTTCTGGAGTGGCAGGAATTCAAAAGGCCATGTTGGTTCCCTTTATGTGGTCTGGTCAATCAATGACTGGTTGGACCCCTTTAGTGATCTTGGTGGAAGATGGTTCTCACCTTTAAAAAAAAACCCTTTAGGGACGCCTGGGTGGCTCAGCTGTTGAGCATCTGCCTTTGGCTCAGGGTGTGATCCCTGGGTCCCCCGCGTTGGGCTCCTTGTAGGGAGCCTGCTTCTCCCTCTGCCTATGTCTCTGCCTCTCTCTGTGTGTCTCTCATGAATAAATAAACAAAATCTTAAAAAATAAAATAAAACTTAAAAAAATTTAAAAACTCTTTGACCTTTTAATCACCTTTAACATCCTGGTAGACATTTTCAGTCTCTTTTCCTTCACAATGTATATTTGAATTTGTGCCTTGTTTTTCTTGTACCTACTTATAAGCATTTTCCCATGTGTTAATTACTTTTCATAAGCAACAAATAATCTTGAGTGAGGTAAGTAAATTTATCTGCACACTTGGTTTCTTCATGTGTACAATAGGCAATTGTATGGTGCAACAGCCACCTGGAAGGTTTTTAAAACACAGATTGCTGGGCCCCACCTCCAGAATTTCTGCTTCAGTGGGTCTGGAGTGGGGCCTGGGAATTTGCACACCCAACAAGTTCGCTGCAGATGCTAATGCTGCCAGTCAGAAGACCACACTTGCAGAACCAGTGAAATGAGATTGAGTTGTGGGATTTCCAAGGTCACTGCTGGTTTCAAAATCTAAGTGTTTGCATATTTTTCAAATTCTTTAAGAAAACTCAACCAACTCTTAAAACACATTACTTTTCTAAACTCTAACAAAACCTCATTATTTTTTTTAAATACAAAAGAAGATCGTCTACCTTTTAAAAGTAATTGCTTCCACTTGCAACTTGTACGCATTCCATACTTGCTTCTCCTTGAAGTTACCTGGATTTTTAAAAGGATATCTTTAAAGGACAATTAGACTTCTATCTAATACTTTATTTTTTTTCTTTACATAGTTCCATACGTATTGAAGAGCTGTGCCGAATTTATAGAGACTCACGGCATCGTGGATGGAATTTATCGGCTTTCGGGAGTCACCTCAAATATACAAAGGCTAAGGTAAGCTAGAAGATAATAGCTCCCCAAAGAATTCTCCCATGATCCTTCTTCTGTCCATACCTCTGTCTGCCAAGGTCGGGAGTACCAAAAACCCGAATCGGTTGTGGGAAGGGTAGCAGAGCAGAAGATCAAGTGTGATGTTTTCAGATGTCGAGCTGCTCTTAATCTAATCAGGAAATCCTCTAGTCTGATGTAATTCTTTCCAACAAAAGCTCCTGAGAGGGTTTTTAATCTGCTTTTTTGTCTTGTGCCAGGTTTATCCTTCTTAGGTGGATTCGGTTGAACTCAAATGATTTAAATCGCAAGTTAGGATAACATCATTTGTTATCATTCACTTGCCTACCCAGAGCTCAGTTAGATCCTGGTTACATGGTGTTCAGAACTTGAAGACGATATTAGTTTTTCTGTTGGCACACACTCAACATTTGGTTTTTCAGTTGGTCGGGAAATCAAAAATCTGCATGATTGTGCATTTCTCTCGTTGAGGCCGAGATCTGAAAAATTAGGGATAGTTGAACTATTTCCAATTCTATAGGTTTATCCTAAACAATTCTAAAATATATCCTAGAGCTTTTTGGAAGAAATATCTATCACATTGAATTAAGAGTACAATAGCCTTCACACAAAACAGATATGTATGTGCATGTTTTATATGTATTACATATATATATATATATACACACAATAAAAGAAGTAGATATATAGTATATATAGAGTGTTTTAGCAGGTGTTATTTGTGTGTATTTATTATACATTTAGTTATAAGTGTAGACTTTTAAAACAATAAAAACAGAAATAATCAATTAAAAATTTAAAAATAATAAATGATAAATAAAAATAAATAAATAAAACAATAAAAACATTCATGTTATCAGATTAATCCATTAAATTTAATAGTTGGTACAGTTAATTCATCTTCTTCTTCCTCTGATTTGATTTTCTGCCCCTCCCCCTCATTTCACAACTGTAATGACATTATACCAAAGGAATAAGACATCCTTTTTACTCCTGGAGAACTGGTGGCTGTTAAAAACTAATTGGTTTGTTGCAATCGTAGATTTTAACAGATCTATGTGCTTACATAATTTCACGAATTTACTCGCGTGATATTTTTTAGAGTTTCAACAACAAATACTTTTTAATGTTTTACTCTTAGCTCTGAAATTTGCTGCACCGTAGCTGGTATGGTGGGAGAACATTTGGGCAATAGCCAATTCTTTTTCATTAAAGGACCGACCTTAGCCTCAACGGGACATTCTGGCTAAATCAATGAATAAACTCCGAATTATTCTTGTTCTGCTCCTCTGCTCTCTTTTAAAAAACAAAACAAACACACACCCATGAATTTATAAGGCTGCTACAGGGTTTTCTTTTCGGAGCCCCACCCCTCTCCTTTCAGGTTCCAACAGCATCTGGGATTTCCCCACCCTTTGTTAGACATCAGAACCAGGTGACAGGAAAAGGGGCAGCGAGCTGTTTTGAAGTGCTGGCTCTGAGAGTCCCCGTTGAGTTTGCCACCAATTGGCCACCAAATGAATCCTCTCGAGAACCTAACTTCTCCTCTGTATGAAAGCTCAAATTTGTCATTTTTTAAACAGATTTTTAACTTGGAAGCATATATTATTTGAGGCAGTCTATTCACATCACCTTAGTAAAGAAATCCTTTTTTAATTAGAAACAAGGCCTGGAATCTGATGTTGTTCCCAAACACCCCCCTGTATATTGTTCACAAGTTACTTATACTCTCATCTATCCCGTGAGAGTCAGTATCAGGCAGCTTAGAAGGGTTTGAGTCTCCAGATAAAACAAGTTTGTTGACGTGAGTATATGGAGATGAATGATAACAATCTGACTCACCCTGATTTTGGTCTCTCCTCCAAGACAGAGAAGTTCATTTAGAACAATATTTTGGAGAACTGAAATCTCAACAGGCTTTTCTGGCAAATTGTTTTCATATTTCCCCTACTGTTCATAACTGAAACTGAGACATAATGGCCTGAGAAATCCATTTGTACATGGGCATTATGTTTTCCTAACGAAGGCAGCTTTTACAGGGAAGATCCAGACCTGAAGTGGAAGTCTTCCCGTGCTTTCCCTATGCCGAGAATAGAAGGTCATTTTGATCAAGGTCAAAAATAGAGTCAGATCAGCAGTTTAGGGTCTTTTTACCCCTTAGCAGCCAAGCAGCTGCTGACATGGAACGCATGCTCCTGGGATTGTTATGTCTCTGTCTGTGTTGTTTCAGGCAAGAGTTTGGCTCAGATCAATGTCCAGATCTGACAAGGGAAGTGTACCTCCAGGACATTCACTGTGTGGGCTCACTCTGCAAGCTCTACTTTAGGGAGCTGCCCAACCCTCTCCTGACTTATGAGCTCTATGAGAAATTCACGGTGAGTGTTTGGATTTCCATTATGGTTACTGGGTGGGACTCATGGACTGGCCAAGGAGAGTTTCAGCACTAAAATAACAATAATAAAACTCACCAGATGGTTGACATTATCTTAGCCAGGTAATGGAAGTAAGATGCCATAGTGAGGAAGGTAAGGTAGTGGGTCCATTGGCTACATTTTTCCTTTTTTAGAGTTTCAGAATCATGTTTATTTGTTTCAAGAGCTGAATTAGAATGATCCCTGTGTTTACTTAACCAAATGTGCCTCACTGTAGAGGGGAAACTAAGAACGAGAGATGTGAAATGACTGGACCGATGTCACACAGCAGGACAGGAATCCGATGTCACACAGCAGGACAGGAATGTGAGACTCCAGATATACATCTACTGCTAGTTTATTTTTATCAAGCTTCTCCTTCTGTGTTTCTTTTGGAGGTTGGGGAATGAGGTGGGCAAGTAGAGGTGGGAGAGAGGACAAACCCAAGTCAAGGGAGATCAGAAAGCTGAAAAGAAAAAAAAATTAAAAAAATTTAAAAAAGAAAGCTGAAAAGAGAAAAGAATCCAGGAAATGCATCCAAGAGAAAGTGTAGGCTGGGCCCATGAGTTGGGTTGGTGAAGGGTAGATGGACAGGACACCTTACTAGCAGCTCTGTGGTTACCAAATAGGGGCATCTGTAGAAAAAGTAGAAAGAATAAGTTGTTACAGAGTGTCTGTAGAGATAGCATTAAATATCAGACTTGAACATTTGGCTGCTGGGGTGAAGGTGTAGAGTAGGAGGAGAAATGGGTTTAACCATGATTGAGGCTCAGCTAAAAAAGGGGGGGGGGTGAGAAACATGAGGGTGTATGCAAGAGAGTGATTAAGAGTTGACCATGAAATTTCGTCTGAATAAGAAGGGAAGTGAGACTGTAAGGCAGTGAGTAACAGTGAAAAAGTACTATCGATGGATTATTCATTCCAAAGAGGTCAATAGACTGTTACAGTGGGATGGTCAAAGGGGATATTTGAAATTAAGATTATTGAGGAGTTGCAAGTATTGGTAAGGACCAGATCTAGACTCTAACATGGAAAGCAATCTTTCTCATAACTCCTGTAATAAACTTATTTTGAGCATATAAAAAGTTCTTCAATTCCAAATGATATAGGAATAAATGGATACATTTTGAAATATATATTTCAAACATATATTTGGACCATTAAAATATATTTAAGAGTTTCCAATAATAGAGGGAAACACTCATAATCATAACTGGAAAAGAACAGATGCCTAATTGTATATTAAAACGTAATTAAAGGGAAAGATGTTCTAAGAATTAATAGCCATTTATTTCAATGATGAGATTATTGTTTTCCCTGCTTCTTTAGACTTTAACTTTCAAAATCTCATCTGCTAAAAGTACGTTAATTTTTTTAATGAAAAAAATTTAGGCCCAAACACAAAAAACTTGGGCCTAGAGGTTGGCTACTGGAGAAGCCAACATATACCAGGTGATGTGAAGTGTCAGGGTTTGTGGACCTTAAGAGATCTAAGGGGACCTCAAGATCTAAGGCTGAAGACAAATGAACCCCCTCTCTGAGTGGAAGTCAAAAATAATGGCAGCCTCTAACCTTTGAAACCACAGAGGAGTCTTTCCCAGGAACCAGGAGGAAAAGTCATGGGTCTCATGTGAATCTGCCAGATTATAATCACCATCACCATATGTGATTATTTCCTCATTTTAGAAGTAATCATATTTGGTAAAAGACAGTTTGGAAAATAGAGGAAAGTAGAAAGGAACCTTTTGTCTCCTCTCTTAAACACCAAAGATAACTACCAAAGTAACATTTGGGTATTCTTTCACTCTTTTATTGCTTGCATAGTGTTTTTGTTGTGTTTTGTTTTCCCAAATTGAAATAGAATTTTATTGCAAAAATGAAAGCAATACAAAAAAGCATAAGGGAGAAAGTATTAATCCCTGGAAATCCAACACCCCAGGCATATCTGCTGATGACATTTCAGGAGACATCATTACAGATCTCTCACTGTCTCTCAAGCTCTCTCAATCTGTCTCTTTCTTTCTGCCCACTTGCCCTTTTCAGTACTGTCTATCGCTGCTTTGATACATTAACTCAACAGCGCAACCATCTTTCTGTGCTCACAAATAGAGAAACCCTATTTTTACAGAGAAGTTTCTCATATGTGTAATGAATTTCTGAAGCCAGTTTCCTACTGATGGGCATTTAGACTTTTTGTTTCTCAACACTTTGCTTTTAAAAAAAATATGAAAAATATTTTTTGTACACATATCTTTGTCCATTTCTCTGTTTATATCTTTAGGGAAAAAATAGATTTAGATTCATTGAGTAAAAAGCTCTTATTTAAAATTTTGTTATGTATTACCAAACTGTTCTCCAGAGAGATAAGAATAGTATTTTTTCTGCAGCCTCACTAATACTGGGTATTTGTTAAATTATCTGCCAATCTGAGTCAACTAAAAATATATCTTATTTTTCTTTTAATTTGTGCATAAGACTTTATTGCCTTTTTCTAGATAGTTTTAATCCTCTGATCTGTACAATAGTACATCTTAGAATATGGAAGAATAGAATATTGTCATGTTAAAGAACAGAATTAGTCTAATTTATTTTAACTATATTTCATTTTATGATAGTTGGAAGTAGATAAGAATTCTTGTCTGGAAACTTCAAAAATACAGTTTTTTCTTAAATCGTGCTTATTCAGAACAAAACCCATATTTATCACTTCCCACTTTTGTTCCCTAACATTGCTAATCATTCTGTTCTCCCACAGCAACATGCTAATACCAAAGCAACATTATTTTCCATTTGTCATCAGATTTCCAGGAATCTAACAAGGTATTGACACTAAAAAAATAAAATAAAATAAAATTTTTTTGCTGTGCAACTGACTTCTACATAGGTAGGATCTAGTGACATCAATGATGTTGAAAATTTTATCATTTAATTGATTTCTTTGATCACAATAACAAATTAAGATAATATAAGCAAAACTTCTTCAGGAATGTGGAAATAACTGTTAACATTGTCACACATTCTTAAAATGATTTATTTAAACCCACTGGCACAGCTAAAGTAGAATACGATCTCAATGGAAAAATAGAATTAAAGAAATATTAATGGAATAATAATAATGAATTTATTTATTAAATAAATTAATGTGAATAGACTGGACACCTCAGAAAGTCATTAGGAATACTATTGAGTATCCTAAAGTGCTCATATGTTTTAAATACAGTAACTCTATTTTTAGGATTACATTCTAAGATAATAATAAGATGTATACACACATAACTGACTCCTAAATACTTTATTGCAGTAGTATAATACCAAAATTTGGGGATTGTGTGTCTAACAGTAAGGTAAGAAATAGGTTAAATTAATTATGATAAATATATTATTTTTGATCCTGGATAGCCATGAAAAGTCACATTTCTGAAGGATATTTATTGGCCACAATGTAAAATTAAATGGAAGAAAGCAATATGTGCAACTGAATAGGAGGTGATGCCAGCGTTCATATTTGGTGCTGGGAAGTCGGGCAGATTGCTTCTTTTATGCTTCACACATGAATAGGTTAATAATAATGTCTGGATGGTAGGCTAGCAAGTGATTTTTAATTCCTTCATACTTCATATTTTAATTTTAAGTACACGTATTAGTTTCCTGTAGCTGCTGTAACAAGTCAGCACGAACTTAGTGGCTTAAACAACAGAAATTTGTTCTTTCTCAGTTCAAGAGCCCAGAAGTCTGAAATCAGTTTCCCTGGGCTGAAATCAAGGTGTGAGCAGGGCGGTGCTCCTTCCAGAGACTCTCGGGAGGGGGGTTGGGGGGAGGGGTTCCTCACCTCTTCCAGCTTCTGGTGGCTGCCAGCACTCATGGCTTGTAGCCAATTCACTCCCACCTCTGCTTCCGTGATGGCATTGTCCTCTCCTCTTCTATCCTGTGTCAGATTTCCCTCTGCCTCCCTCTTACAAGGATAGTTGTGATTGCATTTAGGGCCCATCGGATTAATCAGGATCATCTCAACTCAAAATCTTTAATTGAATTCCGTCTGCAAAGACTCCTTTCCCAAATAAAGTAACACCTACCGGTTCCAGAGATTAGGACCTGATATCTTTGGGAGCAGTTGTTCAACCTACTATATTACCTTTTATTTTTATCAAGTAAAAAAAAAGAAAGTTCATTTTAGGAATAATTCAACTTTGGTCAGATTGATTCAGCTGGAATCATTATACCCAAAAGAAAAGTTGCTGATTTGGGATTTTTAGAGAAGGCAGTCTAGAGGGGTATTTAATTTTGTATTACATTTATGTTGAACTAACTTCTTAGTGGATCAGTCTCCCTCATTCAACTGCCAGCTTCCTGAGGGCAGAAACAGTGTTCATTTTGCTCATTCTTGTTTTTCCTTTCTCTGCTCTCCAGCTACTGGAAAATGTTGGGAATGTTTACCTAGTAAGCCTTTGCTGACAGGTTTGTGAACCCACACACATCATTTAAACTGTCACTTGGGGTGGGTGACGAGTGTGTGGCAGGAGGCAAAAGCGAACTGGCTGGGAGCTCAAGAGAGCTGCCCCTGGGCGAGGGGGTGGGGGGTAGGGGGTGGAAGTGGGCAGTGACCAGCTGCCTCTGGTTTGCCTAGGACTTTCCCAGTTTTAACACTGAAAGTCCTATGTCCCAGGGAACCCTTAATCTCAGGCAAACCAGGATAACGGGAAACTGCAGGTAGACAAGATCACGTTAATTCTAGCTGGGGCACAGGGGGTGCCTACCCTGGCAAAATCCAAAGGCAGAGAAGCGACTGGTGGCAAAACAAGGAAGCAATTCATTTCCGGGAGGCCAACACCAGGGGGACTGTGGACTAGCATCTCCAAGACTGTCTGCAAAGACCCAAAAATACTTTGCAGGTTTATATAAGGAAAATGGAGGGAAAAGGTGGGCGGGTACGTGCAGGTGGGTAGTGAAGGTCAAACAGGTCTTTGTCTTGGGGTCAGTCACGGGGTCTTGCTGGCTCAGAACGGTCCTTCGGGCTTGAGGGATAGCTTTGATTCCCTCAGGGATGCTTTGCCCACAGGGTCTTTTGCCTGGGGGAACAGATAAGCTGGAAAGAAGAACTTAATCAGTTGAAAGTTTGAGGTCAAATGGAGATAGCAAAAATTCTCTTTCATAATCAAGCTTGTGGGACAAAGACATAAAGGTGTAAGGACTGTCTGGAAGGACACACAGAGGTAGTTACCTCTGGAGACCACCTCTGAAGGTCTGCAGTAGGCAGGAAGACTTTCTTCTGGGTGTTCCTTTGGTTGCTTTCATTCTTTAAATTGTGTGCATGAATTACTTTTTAGTCTATTAAGTTAAAATAATTTACTGTAGTTGTAGCTGGGGTGCAGTTGGAAAGGAGAGGCATGGGTTGGTTATCCACCCTGGTGACAGAGCTGCCCAGGCAGCAGGACCTGAACTATAAGGGCGACAGTAGAATTCAGGTAAACAGATAAAGCAAGAGCAAGGGGCCCACCAGAAGGAGCAAGAAGAGTCCAATCTTGGACCATGTCCACAAAGGGCAAGGAAGCCAGTGTTATTGATACTGATTGGAAGAGAGCAAGTAGTCACAGATTCATCCTCGGTCTTTTAAAATTTAACTGTTAGCCAGATGAGCTTGACAAAAGTTGAGTGAAATTCTCTCTCTGGCAAAAAATGGGGGTAGGCAAAGTTTCAACTCCCCTTCCCCAATTCCCTGGTGTTGGGTTCAGCCAACCTAATGGGAGAACACGAAATGAAGAATAGGTTTGTAGGACTGGACCCCTCTGGGAGAAACTACAGGATCCAGAGGGCTTCTGGAAGAGGATGGGGAGAGGCTGTGAACAATGAAATAAACAAGAATCCCAAATGGGACCCGCAGGCATTAGGGGGAGGGCCCGCCCAGCCTCGCAGAACAAAGATGACTAACAGCTTCCTAAAATATCAAAGAAACTTTCCATGAGGGCTATTAAATTGACCTGCACCTTTATTCCCCAGATACATTTTTAGAAAAAGTTTGCTGAGAGGAAGAGAGGCTTCCCACCCTTCCCTCTTTGCAGGATAGAATGTGGGAGGGTCTACACCACATTCCACAGCCTCTCTTTCCTCAGGAGCTTCTTTCCCCTGGCTCCCCTCCTGAGACCATTAGGAAGACCGCAGGTGTCAGGGTTCCTACTTCAGGTCCCATTCTTGTTCCCACCCTCCACCACCTCCTCCATATCTCGAAAACTGAGGATTTCAACAGAGATCATGCTTATGCTGGCTCAATTCTCAGGCTTGCACTCCCATGGGAGGATTGGGACACCCGCGACTGTCACCCCCCTGGTTCCTCCTTTCTCCCACCAGTGCTTAGGAAGCAAAATCTCAAGTGCTCCCATGTAGAGAGTTTTGACAGCCTTTTGAAACAGCTGATGTCTGTGTATGTCTTGCTGCAATTAAATTGAAAGGGGAGATGAGAAGGGAGAAAAGGAAAGGAAAAAGAAAATTGATGGACAAAGCCCTGGCATGATGTCCCCCTTAGACGGAGTATAACAAACTCAACAAATACGGACGGAGTGCCTCCTGGGTGCCAGGCCCTGCGCTAGGCACTAGGACTCATCACATCCTGCTCTTGCAGAGCTTACATCTAGCGTGGGAGACCGGCAATAAGCAATGGATGGAATAAATGAGTATGTGATACAGCAGCGGTGATGGTGGGAGGGCTGTGGGAAGCAGTGGAGACAGGTAAGGGGGCTGAGAAGTCCAGGCTGGGGCAGCGCTTAGGGCTTCTCTAAGTTAGAACAGAGCAGACACAGCAGGTGTGGCCTAGAATAGGCCCTAGAATAGGGCCTCGCATAACGGAAAGTGCCCAATAAATTTCCTTCTACTTTTCCATGCTTGAAAATACTCATTGCTGAGAGTATGAGCTTCAGCCTTCACACACAAGCAAAAAATGGCAGCTGAAGCCTGAGCAGAAGTAAGCGATATAAGAAAACTATACGACACTTAGGATCCTGTTTCTGGTTGTATTGCAGGGGGAGGTATTTATCAAATTAAGGACTGTTATTTCCTGATTTTACTTTTCCTTATATACAAATGTAGAGCAAGTTTCTAGGACTGGGAGGAAATACAAGGCTGTGTAAGTCACATAGGCCTGTGAATTCAGGGCCTTAAGGATTGACATGAGCTCAAGCGCTGTCTTTAAAGCGCATCTTGACCTCAGCGGGGTTACCCAGGTATGTGCATGTGAAAGAATTCATGGGGCTCTAGCTTAAGATTGGTAGTTGTTTTTTTTTTTTTTTTTTAAGATTTTATTTATTTATTCATGAGAGACACACACACAGAGAGAGAGGCAGAGACACAGGCAGAGGGAGAAGCAGGCGCCATGCAGGGAGCCCGACATGGGACTCGATCCCAGGTCTCCAGGATCACGCCCCGGGCCGAAGGCAGCGCGAAACCGCTGAGCCACCCAGGCTGCCCAAGATTGGTAGATTTTTAATGTATGTAAAGTATACCTCAGTGAAAAAAGAAAGGTGATGATCATTGACCGAGCGCTTAGGTACAGCTAAGTTCTTGAGCACTCAGGCCCTGCACTGGAAGGGGCCCTGGAGCCCGGGGCCCGGGCAGGACAGCTTCTCAGGACAGGGCACAGGGGCACCTGCCCCGGGATATCTGCATTGTGCAGAAGTTCTGGGCAAGCCTGTGATCACACTGCCTTTGCTGATGCCCTTGCCTGCCCTTGAAGGTGCTGGGCAGAGGGGAGTGATACAAGCTGGCTGAGTCCAAGGACCCAGAGCAGAGTCCCACAGACCCAGCCACGAGGGTCCTTGGCTTCTCGCAGGATGGAAATCAAATACAAGCTGAGAAGAAGTGAGGGTAGAATGTATCAAAGACAGAGAGAGAGTAGATATGGACAGAGAATTTTCCGGAAGACTCAGAAAGGAAAGAAGAATGAGTTTCATCTTTACTTGGAGCCTGGGGTCTTTATTGAGGACGGTGGTGTGCATGTGTTGTGTCAGTAACCCAGGAACATAGACGAGTGTTTAGGTGTTCTCCGTAAGTCACTTATGCCCTGGAGCTGGGGATTTTGATGAGTCAGTGGTGTTGGAAACAGATCCTGACAACCCCACCGTCAGGATGACATCCTTAGGTGTCATCTGTTGTGCTGGAAGACTCCAAAGAGATCATTAACTTTTCTTCCTTTGCAAGGAGGACATATGTTATCTGTTCTGTAAGGCCTGTGTAAGGTGAGAGGTGTAGGTCCTAGCAAGAACAGAAGCAGGAAAAGGAGCAGAGAAAAAAAGCCCAGCTTTTTTCTTGGGGTCCCTTCAGTTTCCATCTCGGGAGAACAAATACCCATGTAGGAAATAACCAGAGAACAAGTCCAGGTGAGACCATCAGGTCTCAGGGACAAAGTTCTTACCCTGCTGAGAAGGCTCATCTTCCCGGCTTCCTCATATCAGCACCTACGACAGTAGATGAGCTACTGAGTACTGAGGTCATGGAACAGTGTCAGGCCAGGGGGGAGAAGCTATTTGCACCCAAGAAGACAGCTGGCTAAGTAAACATGGAGCCACGCTGTCATTTCCATCTCTGTATGTTTATGTCCCAGTGGGAATCTCTGTCACTCTCCCTGCCACACCATACACCCAAGATTCTCCACCTTTACCAGATACCCAATAACCTTCTGAGGACACACAGACCCAAGCAATCCACATGTCCCCGTGTGCACTCAACCTTTAGACGCTTGAACATCATGAACACTCAGGTTTGGTTGTTTGTGTTTACTAGGAAAGCATGCCTCTTGGCAGGATGACCTCTAGACCTGGTTGGAAGGCCGGGGTACCCAAAACCTAAATAAAACCAGGAGACACAGGTGGGTGTCCACCTTCTGAAGCACTCACTGGGCTGCTTCATGTTCTTCTCCACAGGAAGCAGTGTCACATTGCCCGGAAGAAGGCCAACTGGCCCGAATCCAAAATGTTATCCAGGAGCTTCCCCCATCCCATTATAGGTAAGAACCCTTGGTAAAAGAAGTCCACAGCCTCTCAAGGTGGTTGAACACCAAAGATGCATGCTAGTATCATAAAAGGGAACAAGTTCAGTGGATAGTGACTTTCCTGTGGCATTTTGAGGTGGGTGAACTGGTCAACTTTTATCAGAGTGAGTTGGTGCCTGCCCAGAGACACTGGCAGGAAGGGGCAGCCCATGTCCTATTTCCTTGTGGGGCACCCCTCAGAGTCTCACAGGAAGTCATTCTGGTCACACAAGCCAGCATCACTGGCTATGATATCCTAGGTTCTTACCCAGATTCATAGCATAAACATATCTCTGGAATCCAGGTTGATTTTTAAGGAGGGTTTGGCTGTAGCCCTTGAGTTTGTGGTTGACTGATCTCTCTGTTTGCTCATCAGTGCCATCCCTCACATCATCCCATCCTTCCATTTTGTTCTTCACAGGTTAGCCCCTTATCTTTCCACCTTTCCCAGTTCTCTAAGCCTCTTTTACAAGGGGGCAGATTTTGATACGGTATGACAAAGAACTGGCTACAGTAACAGATGCCATTCATCCATGAGATGAGCTCTCTAACTAACAAGGGACCAAGTTACCCCTAGCTGGAAGAATTACTGAAAGAGCATAGAGATAAGAGCCAGTTTCAAGATCCTGTGCCGGCAATGGTGGCCTGGGTCAAGGGAGGCCTGGGGAGCTGTCTCTGGCTCTCCAAGGGCCTCAGCTGACTTCTGACAAAACCATACCCCTTCTCCATCCTGGGCCAGCATGCCTAGGGCCAAGAAGATTATTTCCATCAATCTTGATACCTTCCTGACATCCCTCCAAAATTCATGAGATAGAAATATTTAGAATCTCTTAAATCCAAACTCAGAAATTATCTCCAGATGTCAGGCTTTACACAGGCACTGAAGTTTGTTTGTTAAAAAAAAAAAAAATGAACCATTACAGGACCTTGGAATACCTGATTCGACACCTGGCCCACATCGCCTCCTTCAGCAGCAAGACCAACATGCATGCCAGGAACCTGGCCCTGGTGTGGGCGCCAAACCTGCTCAGGTAACCACCACGTGCTCACCGTCTCACCATCCCCATGAGCTCAGAGCAGCCCCCCAACTGAAACAAAGATTGGATTCCCCAAAACGGAAGCCTCTTGAAGACAAACCTATAGCTAAGTGGTCATTTGTCACACATAAATTAAGATAATTTTAATAGCATGAGCTCTTTGTGGTTTTTTTGTTTGTTTGTTTGTTTTTGGGGGGGTTTAGCATGAGCTCTTTGTTAACCTGGAAACTCTGTGTTCCACAGGTGTTTTCTGGCTACAACTAGCATATGGCTGAAGTTTTGGGTCTGTAGGTCATAATTTTTTGAAAAGGCCTTTCTTGTCTGTAGGACTTACTGGCTTTTGTTGGTCTTGGTGGGATCACTGCTTCATTTGATTTCATAAATGATGACCTGACCCACAGAACAATGGCGGGGCGGGGGGGGGGGTGGCAGGAAGAGATCCTGTGGGGGAAAAAAATCAGTTCCTGGATATTTACAAATACAATGTTTCTAGTCTAGCAATGTATGATACCTGGTAATTGTTTTTAAATTTGTTCAGTGTGTTGGGCTTCACAGCCTTCAGAGAGTCCTTTTAATAGGTCTTAGTTAAAAAATATTCTAGAGATTAACAAAATGTATACATTTAGGAAATGGGGCTTGTGCAGAAGGCACATTGGCTTCCCCTTACTGCTTTCTGTTGTGGGCCAGACTCAGTCACTAAGTGTGTTTCATCCGTGATTTAGGTCCAAAGAAATCGAAGCCACTGGTTGCAATGGAGACGCAGCTTTCCTTGCAGTTCGGGTCCAGCAGGTGGTGATTGAGTTCATATTGAATCATGTGGATCAAATCTTTAACAATGGCACACCTGGGTCTTTGGAGAACAATGGTAATGACTTCTTCTGGCATATTCCCTACTAGGCCATCCTTCTTCCTTGCCTTAGTCATGGGGCTCAAGAATAAGTTAAGGCGGGCTTGGTTCTAGTTCTGAGTGTTGGCTGTGTGTGTGTGCTGACTCCTTTGTATGTCAGCGTCTGGGGATCGTGCATATATGTACATTGATCTGTGTGCAGCAAGACATGTTCGTGGGTGGCTGTAGCATGTTTCTGATCAGTTTCATACATGGCCTATCCCTTGAACACAGAGTTCTGCGCTGGAATAATCTGTTGGTTGTAGTGAGCCATCAAACTCTCCGGGTTATTATCTACAGGTAACATTCCTTCCTTTTAACTATTAGATTTCACCTTTCCTTTCATTATGGTATTTTGGAAGACCCTTTTGCCTACGTCTGGGAGTTTTACGTGAATGAGTTAAGACACAGCATGGTCATATGCACATGTATGCTCGGAATGCATTCTCTTCACAAGCATTTCTTGAGTGCTTACTTTGTTCTACCGCCCAGCAGGCACTAGGCATACAAAAATAAGTGTGGGTTTGTGGGCATGCCTATGCAAAGACTAGTTAGCACTGAAACCCTCTGTAGCCATGTTCTTGAGAAAGATCTAGCGATTGTAGCCTGGATGTGATGAGATGTGAGGATGCGATTTCCTATAGCTCTCATAATGATACAATGAACCCTAGGCATGAATTGGTTTATGTTGCTTGAATCCTGTGAGCTTAATTTGTAAAAATCAAAAATCTAGTTGATCAAGAAGCCTTGTAACTACCACTTGTGTGAATTTTCCATCATTAGCATACACCACAATCACCCAGAGGGCTGTTCAAATACAGATTACTGGACCTAATCCCCAGAACTTCTGATTCGGTGCATCTGGAATGCTGCTAAGAATCTGTATTTCTCCCATTCAAGTACTAACCAGGCCCAACCCTGCTTAGCTTCCGAGATCAGAAGAGATTGGGCGCGCTTAGGGTGATATGGCTGTAAGATGAGAGAATTTGTATTTCTAATGAATTTTCAGGCGATGTTGCTGCTGCTGGTTGGGGTCCACACTTGGAGAACCAGTGGTATATGAGAATCCTATATGCAAAATATTTGTGTTAGCTGATTAAAGCATTTTTTTCAAGTTTAGCTAATGTGTTTGGAAAAAACAAGTATAAACATCAGAATAATCAATTGTAGTTAACATCAAATTTTGATTCCTGGCATAATTCCTATCCTCTATGTGGCTTGTAACTTTTCTTTGAAAAAAAATTTTTATTGAAATAAAATTCACATAGCATAAAATTAACCATTTTAATCATTTTAAAGTATACAATTCAGTGGCTTTTAGTGTATTCACAGAATTGTGCAACCATCACCACCATCTAATTTCAGAACATTGCATCACTCCAGAAAGAAACCCCATACACATGAAGCAGTCTCTGCACATTTTGCCCTCCCCTGAGACCCTGGCAACCACGAAGCTACTTTCTATTTCTAGGGATTTGCCTCTTCTGGACATTTTATATACATGGAATCATACAACATGTGGTCTTTTGTGACTGACTTCTTTCACTTAGCACATGTTCTTTGAGGCTCACCCATATTGTTACATGTCTCAGTGTTTCTTCCCTTTTTATGCATGAATAATATACATATTCTGTTGTATGCATATACTACACTCTGTTTATCCATTCTTCAGTTGATGGCCATTTGGGTTGTTTCCACTTTTTTGGTTATTATGAACAATCTGCTGTGAATCCAAGTTCTTGTGTGAACACATGTTTTTGATTCTTTTGGTTGTATACTTAGGAGTGGCTAATGTTTCTTTTATTTTTATTTTAATTCTCCCAGTATAGATATATTTTTTTGAAGATTTTATTTATTTCTTTGAGAAAGAGAGAAAAAAACACAAATGGGAGAAGGGGCAGAGGGAGAAGCAGACCTCTGGCTGAGCAGGGAGCCCAATATGGAGGCTTGATCCCAGATCCTGGGATCATGACCTGAGCTGAAGGCAGATGCTTAACCGACTGAGCCACCCAGGCTTCCCTATAGATGTATCTTTTATCATAAGCTATATAAAGCCTTTTTGAAGGTAGGAGAGAATATGCATTCATGCATCCTTTTGAATCAACTAGTAAATTATTGGGGACTTACTCTATGCCAGGAACGATTGCAGGTGGTCTCTGTACATCATCTCATTGACTTATCACAACAACCAGAAAGTGTTATTGACCTTATGTTATATATGAAGAGGCAGAGCATGGGAAAAGCTTAGTACCTGCCCAAAGCCATACAACAGGTAACTTTGAAACTGAATGTTGAACCTAATTTTTCAGCCCATTGCTCTTTCCTTAACTCTATGCTGCCTCTCTGAAGAGAAAAAATAGGAAAATAAACCAATAAACAATTGTGGAGAATTAGTGGCTTCTGGGAAATGTTCTTCTAGATAGCAAATCCTGTTACTGTTAGTGTTAAAGCTGTTCCTGATTCCAACCTGGAAATGCCTGTTCTCCTTGCGACCATTGCCTTAATCATCTTTTGTACTGTATATTGAAATCCAGTTTATTCTTGAGCCTTTAACTCTTGAGTTTCTCTAATACTTATTATTCAGTGCATTTCATTTAAATGTTCTTGTTATGATTTCATTTTGACTGTGGTAAGATAACATAGTGTTTACACAAGATGGAAGAAGCCATACCCTCTGGAATTTTAGATTTGTAAATAGGGTGGGTTTTTTTTTTTAAGATTTTATTTATTTGACAGAGAGGCAGAGAGAGCAAGCACGTGTAGAAGGAGCGGGAGAGGAGGAAGCATGTTCCCTGCTGAGCAGGGAGCCTGATGCAAAGCTCGATTCCAGGACCCTGGGATAGTGACCTGAGCCGAAGGCAAATGCTCAGTCTACTGAGCCACCTAGGTCCCCTGGAAATAGGGTTCTATTTCATTTTTTTAAAAGATTTATTTATTTATTCATTCAGAGAGAGCGAAGAGAGAGGCAGAGACACAGGCAGAGGGAGAAGCAGGCTCCATGCAGGAAGCCCGATGTGGGACTCGATCCAGGGTCCCCAGGATCACACCCCGGGCTGCAGGTGGCGCTAAACCGCTGCGCCACCGGGGCTGCCCAGGTTCTATTTCAAATTGGAAAGATTTTAGAAGTCATAGAATCCAATACCTTTGTTTAATAAATGAGAGCAACGAGGTCCAAGAGATTGTGATGTACCCAAGATTCATTAAAACGTAAATATGCACTGAGCACCTTCTAGGTGCCAGGCACTACTCTGCACACTGTGGACACATCAGTGCCCAAAATGGCAAAGATCCTGCCCTGCAGAAAACTCTAGTCTAGTTGAGAAGACAGACCATATACAAGGTTACAAATAAATACATGATCACTTTAAAGACCGTAAATACCATGAATAAAATACAGCAGGTTGATGTAATGGTCAATGATTTGGGGGTGTTATTTTGGTACAGAGTGGCCATGGTCTCTGAGGAAGTGATCTTTGAACTGAGACCTTATGACAAAAGGAACCAACCACATGAGGATCTGGGGGAAGAATGTTCCAAACAGTAAGAACAGAGATTATAAAAGCTCTGAAGTGGCAAGGAGCTCAGAGTGGTACAGAAAGTAGGCCAGTGTGGCTAGAGCCAATGGGGTACCCAAGGTGGGGTGCCCTACCCTAGGGGCACCAAAGACCAGAATACCAAACTATGGCTGTTGGAAGACACTATTACGATTTCTTCTTCATTTCTTTCTATTGTATATTTTGTCATTTCTATGATTTTGTATGTTTTCTGTTATATATGACACTAACACAGTGGTATATGTGTATAATTTATAATGGGAATATACAGTCAAAAATTTTTACCATATATTTTTGTAGAGCACTGGGTCAGTGGGCAAAGAGGAGAGGGAAAACAGATGGAGAGTCCTTGTAGGTCAAACTAGGAGTTTGGTTTGTTCTCTGTGCCATGGGAAAGTATTTGAGGATTTTGAGCAAGGAGTGTAGGGCCTGGGCATTCTGACTGCTGTGTGAAGGAGAGATGGAAAGGCAGCAAGTCTAGAAGCAGGAAGACCAGTTAAGGACCAATGGCAGAAATCAGGTGGGCCGTCCTGGTGGGCTGGACTAGCATGTTAGCAGTGGACATAAGGAAGGTGGCTGGATTCAGCATGCATTTTGGAGGTAAGAGTTGTAGGACTTGGGACGCCTGGGTGGCTCAGAGGTTGAGCGTCTGCCTTTGGTTCGGGGTGGATCCCGGGATCCTAAGATCAAGAACAGCATTGGGCTCCCCGCAGGGAGCCTGCCTCTCCCTCTGCCTGTGTCTCTGACTCTCTCATGAATAAATAAATAACATCTTAAAAAAAAAAGTTATATGACTTGCTTATTAGGCTAGATGTGGGAATGGGTGGCATGCCAAAGAAAGGAATGAATGAAAAAAAGTACTCCAGGTTTCCACTTACAGCTGGGTGGCGCATGGTGCCATTTACTAACTTGACGAAAATGGGAAGGGTACCAGTTTAGAGGGAGGAGCAACAACCCCAAGCTCTGTTATGAAATGTGAAGTTAGGGATGCTTGTTAAACATCTAAGCAGAGACAATGAGCAGGCCTTAGGACCCTGCAGCCTGAAAGTAGGGGGAGAGGTGGGTGCTAAACCAGCTGAGAGGTCTCTTGACCCTGCAGTGTAGGTTCTTGCATCGATCCAGTTGTTCCCAGAGTGATTGAATTGTTTAAGTAAATAAATAGTTAACAAATCGCAAATATGACGGGATGAGCACTGGGTGTTATTCTGTATGTTGGTAAATTGAACACCAATAAAAATTAATTTATTAAAAAAAACAAATCACAAATAATCAAAATGCAAATAGTAAGAGTATAGAAAATTTAAATATTTTAACCTCCTTGGGATTAAGTTGAAAAACTCGGTTCAAGTTAGAAACTACTGAGAAGTTTTTAGGATTGCGGATTTAGTTCATTTAGTTCATTGCAGTCCTGAGGAATGACCGTCATGCTGTCCTGCCTGGAAGAACCCAGTGTTCCGCACCGTCTCTGTTTTCTTCAAGACGCTTTTTCAGTGGTTTTATTTTCCTCCTCCCAGAGAGGGTCACATGCTCTGCAAAGCGAAATAGTGCCATCAGGGTGCTCTCTGAAAATTAGGTGAGTCCAATACCCAAAATGGTTGCTGAGTCTCGGTTGGTCCAAGTTATCTTTGAGTCTCTTTACACCTTCTGAAGGTATTACAGGAAGCTGGCAAGGTTGCCAAAGACCACGCAGAGGCCAACTTAGACCTCTTCTTCGTTTACTTAGATCAAGTTTTCTCAATCTTGGCACTGCTGACATTTTGTGCTGCATAGTTCTTTTTTGTTTTTTGGGGTTTTTTGGTTTTCTGTTTGTATGTGTCATTGTTTTTTTTTTTTTCCTTTCTTATTTTTCCACACTAGATAGCCCCCTTCAGTGCTCACAGCCCACTGGTAAGGAGGTTGGGTAATGGCGTGGGGCTTCTTGCTCCTCTGGCACAGGTATACCATGAGGGTCCCAGAGAAGGGCCCACCATCAGTGCACCCCATGTGCTAGTGCTGGGTAGTTCTTGTTGGGGGGCTGTGCTGTGCACTGTAGGATGGTTAGCAGCATCCTTGGCCTCTACCCACTAGATGCCGGGAGTGCTCCCACACATGCTTATGACAACCAGAAGTGCTCCAGACATTGTCAGATGTCCCTAGGGAAGCGGCATGGGGCTGGAAAATCGCCTCAAGTTGAGAACCAATAACTTAAGAAAGGAGATGACCCTGGACACCATTGGTCTCTCATCATCACTTCCATTTCTTAAAATAAAAAATAAAAACAAAATAAAAAAAAAACAAAAATAAAACCATAGGAAGAAAAGATTAGCTTGCATACACTTAATACCACTGAGTCGTGAGTAAAAAGCCATCTGTGTTTTAAGGAATAGCACAGGTTATAAAATGTCTTTTCAGTTCAGAGATATAAACATTAGTGATCAAGGGAAACTATAGGCTCCCACATTAAATTGCCTTGGAGTGTGTGTGCTGCGGCTGCAGAGAGCAGGAACAGTCTCCTGCCTTGTTCTAGCTGAGCGAGGCCATGTCTATGGCTGGACATACATTCCTCCCTGGCCAAAGTACTAGGCAGTAAATGCTCAGTAAATGTTTGTCCCATGAATGAATGAATGAATGAATGGTCCCTCTCTGAAAAGTACAAGTAGTACAGGCTACCTCTCCTGAAGCCCTGTGTGCCTGCTGGCTATCTGGCCATGGAGTTGTCAGTTCCTTAGGTGCAGCCTCGGCCCCCAACCCCCAGAAACCAGGGGGTCTGGAATGGAGGCGCTGTGGGTGGGGAATCTGGCTACACTGGATGCACAGGCCTCCTTCCACCACTGAGCTCTTTTCTTTTTTGTATAGAAAACCCGCCCATCATGAAGAGCCTGACCTTGCCAGCCCTCTCCTTGCCCATGAAGCTGGTGAGCCTGGAGGAAGCTCAGGCCCGGAGTCTGGCTACTAATCATCCTGCTCGGAAGGAAAGGAGGGAGAATAGCTTGCCTGAAATTGTCCCTCCCATGGGCACCCTCTTCCACACTGTTCTTGAGTTACCAGACAACAAGTAAGCAGCATTCTCTTAAATTCTGGGGAATGTTTGGGTGGAGGCGGACAGAGTACGTAGTTATATAGTCTCAGAACCAACAATGGCAGCACAGGTTGTGGGGACAGGCTGGGTTGAGATGTGAGGGAACATTCCAGAAGAGAAGGGAGCTGCCTCTACAACTCTCTATCACCAGGATTGATGTCTTCCCTCACTGCCCTCAAGTCATGAAGACCAACTCTCCCCCGAGAGATCCCTAATGATGGGGGTGGGGCTCATAGGGGTCAAGAGTCATGACTAAAATCCCTTACTCCTTAGTTTAGACAAAACAGTCTTGACATTCTCAGAAGGACATCTGCTAAGATCAAAAACTTGACCCCCTCCCACCATCTTCCACCTCCAAGTGACATTATAAAAGCCATAGAGATGAATGGAGGATAAGCTGACAGGTAGTGCCACGCTAGAGAGCTCTGGGCATGCAGCACTTGGGGACACGTATGCCTGGCTTCCATTCTTCCTACCATACCTGTCAGAGCCCTCCTTCCCCTCCAAAACCAACCTGAACATCAATTTTATTCATAGGATACTTTCTTCATTGCTTCCTCTGTTGTAGCCCTGGTCTCCACACATTCTTCTTCCCTTCTCACCTTCACACCCGTAAAAAGTAGGCAGTGATTGAAGCAGGACCCCTAAACTCTAGGCAGACAGTAGGTGGAGGGGCTGAAAGGCAAAATTTTCATTGGAGACTGTCAACCTCAAAGAGGTTTGAAAATAGACACCTTGGACTTCTTGTCAGCATGACCCCCAAGATGGTGGGGCTGTTTCCATCCAGGGAGGGAAAAAGGGGCTCCACATTACACAACAGTAGGGGTGCCTGTCACAGTGCATGTGCATCATGGGGATGGCATGCCTAGAACTCACCTGGCGAGAAACCCCTCCATTACCTGGAGTATGTGGATCATGCTCTTATTAGACTGAGCCCCATTACTTTGCTCCCTAAATCCCTGGAGAATGAGACTTCCACCCAGAGATCAGAAAGAAGAGTACCTCAGGAGGACCATCAAGTGCATTTTCTCTGTGCCTTAACCACAGATGGGGCACACCATACCCCAAGGCATGCCACCCTATAAAGTAACCTCCCAGGCCAAGTGCTTGGAAAAAACAAACAAACAAACAAACAAACAAACAAACAAACTAGGCCCAATTCAAAAGAAAACCACTAAGCACTGCAGATCTAGCTCTGATTGATTATAAAAACATGTCGGGCTTGCGATCTGGATGCTCTGTGAGAACCCTGTGGAGAAAAGGTCCTTTGTGGAAGCCACAGGTTGTAGGGTTTCATTGAGTGCTTTATGAAGTCTGATAGCTGCAGGGGCCAGAGCAGGGCAAGGCCTCTATGGTGACCTCTGGTGGCACCAGGCTCCCCGCACCCAGTCTAGCACTCTCCTTTTCTTGCCTCCTACTGAGGCAGCCTGGTGGGAGACATCAGGGAAATGAGAAGGAAACCATGGACCGATGCACCGGTCAGCCCTCTGCTTTCTCTGCAGTGATCTTTGACCACACCCAGTGGCTTTCTCCCAGGCTGGACTCCTTTCCAGGTCACTTTCTCGTATGCCTCCTATTCAGCCCATGGAAGTCTCTGCTAGCCCTGTCCTCACCTGTGGGTGACCTAGCAGTATGGCCAAAGTGCAGGGGGCATAACAGCACTGAGCTCTTTGGTCTTTAGTGTTTACTCCTGCCAAAAATAAGTGTCTTTGAAAACCTAGGACTGCGGTGCTTACCAGAATTCCTACCAGAATTCCCAGAACTGTGTGTGCTCACTTGTGACCTCCAAGTCTCCCAGCCATCCCTGCTTCTGTCTGCCCTCACACCTGCCTTCATTAGCACACCTTTGCTCCTTCCCCCTGGGGAATATGAAAGCCTGCCCTGTCATCCACGACATTCCCCAGACAGGGCCATACTCAGGCTCAAACTGAATTTTATTTTATTTTATTTTATTTTTAAAGAGGTGCTTTCTTTTATTAATTTTTAAAGATTTTATTTATTTATTCATGAGAGATACAGAGAGGAGAGAGAGAGAGAGAGAGAGACAGGCAGAGGGAGAAGCAGGCTCCATGCAGGGAGTCCGCGTCGATCCTGGGTCTCCAGGATCACACCCTGGGCTGAAGGTGGCGCTAAACCCCTGAGCCACCTGGGCTGCCCTGAATTTTAGAGAGGAATTTCCTGAAATGTCAGAGCCATTTGTAACCAAGAGCATGATTAGGGCATGCATTCTTAATTTAAAGATCCCAAGGAAATGACCAGTTACCAAACTAACCCTTTATTATGGCTTGGCTCTTTTAGAAGAAAGCTCTCCAGTAAATCGAAGAAGTGGAAATCAATATTTAACCTGGGACGTTCTGGATCAGACTCCAAATCAAAGCTGAGTAGAAATGGGAGTGTATTTGTGAGAGGACAGAGGCTCTCAGGTAAGAATCACTAGCAATTATGTTTTACGAGATATATATTGTATTAGAAAAACTCAGTTCAATCTACCTCCTGCGTAGGAAAGAATCCACCCTCCTGGTGTAGATGTATTCACCTATCTGGAGACTCTCTGAACCCCATACTATTAAGAATTTATGGAAGGTTATCCCACAGGCATAATCACTCACTAACTCCATTTTCAGCCCTTCTCCCCTCTCGAGTATAGGCCACGGGGCTGAAAATTCCAAGCTTCCAATCATGGCTTGGTCTTTCTGGGGAGCAGCCCCCATCCAGGAACCTACCCAGAGTGGCCTCATTAGAGCTAAAGATGCTCTTATCACCCTGTACTCCTAAACCAGGGACAGATCCAATATAGATGTTCTATTTTATACGTATTTATTTATCATATATATAAAAGGAGATCTATATCTATATCTATATCTATATCTATATCTATATCTATATCTATATCTATATCTATGTCTATATTTGTGTTTTTTTCCTAGCTCTGTTTCTTAGGTCTTTGGTTTGATCATGTCAAACTCACTAGACCTGAAACATAAACTTAAAGATTAACTAAGGAGTCTTTTTTTAAAAAAATAATTTTAGATTTACAAAAAAAGTTGCAGAACTAGTACACAGAGAACCCTTGTACCTTCACGCGGCTGCTTTTGACGTTAACCGTAATACAGTGAGCCAAGCCAAAAAATTAACATCAATACAATACTATTAAATAATTTACAGACCTTATTCATAATTGACCAATTGTCCAACTGATATCCTTTTTCTGGTCCAGGAATGCATATTGCGTTCAGTTTTCCTGCCTCCTGAATCTCCTCCAGTCTAGGACATTTTCTCAGTGTTTCTGACCATGACACTCTGGAAGAGTACGGCCATTTATTTTGTAGACTATACTTCAGCCTGGGTTTGTCTAAAGGTTTTTCATGTTTCATGATTCGATTGAGGTTATGAGTGTTGTGCCATCTTAGCATGTCCTATCAGGAGGCACATGGTGTCAATATTTTATTGCTGGTGATGTTAACTTTGATCACTTGGTTAATGTGCTGTCTACAAGTTTTTGTTCATGTAAAGTTATATTTTTTCCCTTTCTGATTAACGAGTATATTGTGGGAAATATTTTGAGACTATGAAAATATCCTGTTTCTAATTATACTTTTATCCCTGAATTTTAGCATCCATCAGTGGTATTTTTTTAAGATTTTTAATTTATTCATTTGAGAGAAAGAGAGACAGAGACAGAGAGAGCACAAGCAGGGGGAGAGGGAGAGGGAGAAGCAGGCTCCCTGCTAAGCTGGGAGCCTGACATGGAGCTCCATCCCAGGACCACGACCATCATCCTTCCATCATTCCTTCTACATCGATCAATTGAACTGCATTATAAGTAAGATCTGTCCCTTCTCGTGTCCCATGACTCATGCCCGGGTTATATCTAATTTTTAAATAGGAGTGTTGCCTTGTGAGAATGATAACTGAATAATCAATGGGAATTGGTGCAGGAGGAACTGAGGGGATCACAGTACAATGGGGAATATAACCAATCCAGCTGAATACTGTCATAAAGGGAAGTACAAAGAAATTTGCCACAGTGACCTTTGAAAGTCTGATTTTTAAAAAAATGATGGGGGGCAATACTTATGGAAACAAGTTGTAAAAGGTAAATGTACAAATGCAATGAGAAAAACTTGATTGGAACCTTTGGGGGGAAGAGGGGGCTACAAATGATAATTTTGGGGACAGATAAGTTATTAGTCGGTAGTTACTAGATGATATTAAGGAATCGTAAATTTTCATAGAGTGCTGATGGTTCTTAGGAGGCATATGCTAAAGTTGAAGTATTTAAAGATGAAGTGTCAAAATACTGAAACTGACTTTCATATGATTCAGCCAAATTTAAGTGAACAGGTACATACAGATGCAAAAGGAGAGAAAGGAAATAAATGGTGAAGGTAAACCTGAGTGGTAGGTTTAGAGATCTTCAAATTTTGTGAATGTTTGAAGGTGCTGTGGTTTTTGTTTTTTTTTTTTTTTTTTTTTTTGAAGATTTTATTTATTTGAGAGAGAGATCGGGGGAGAGGGAGAAGGAGAGGAGGAGGAAGAGGATCTCAAGCAGACTCATGCTGAGCGGGGAGCCCAGTGTGGGGCACGATCACCTCAAGACCATGACTTGAGTGGAAACCAAGAGTCAGAGGTTCAAACAACTGAGCCACCCAGGTGCCCCCAAAGTGCCTTTTTTTTTTTTTAGGATTTTTTAATTTATTTTAGAGAAAGAGCACACAGGGGCGGGGCAGGGGAGGTGATGAGGGACAGAGGGAGAGAGAAACTTTAGCAGACTCCACAGTGAGTGCAGAGCCTAATGTGGAGCTTTATCCCAGGACTCAGAGATCATGACCTAAACCGAAACTAAGAGTTGGACACTTAACCCACTGTGCCACCCAGGCGCCCCTGAAGTTTTTAACGATAAAGATTTTTTGGAGGAAAATAAATGCTTATAGGAAAAATAAGAGAAAATATTTTTAAGGACTTTCCTTGAGCCCAGTGATAACTGTATGCCAAGTACAAATGTTAGAAGTCTTCACAATCTGCCTACTGGGGTAATGAGGGATGTCACCGGGTATACTGGTTACAATGATTCAGGCTGGAAATAATAGAACATCCAACTCAATTGGCTTATGCAGTGAGGGAACTCACCGGGCTCTGTAACTGGACACCAGATGTAGGGAAGGTTTCAGGGTTTAACACAGTGGCTCTGTCTCCATTCCCCTTTTCCTCAGCTAAGGCCTCCCCTGTGGGTCAGCTTCATCCCCAGACTGGTTTCTTTGCTGTGACGAAATGGCTATAGTACTTTAGGCTTTCCCTCTGTCACTATGTCCAGAAGGAGAAAGAACATCATTTTTGGTAGCGTGCTCCTAAGAGCAGGGACTCTTCTTTCCCAGCAGCCCCCATTAGAAACACCCCCCCACCTCACCACCATCTCCGTTGCCTTCACTGAGTCATATGGATCAACCCCTAGGGCCAAGGGAGTGCCCTGCGCTGACTGGCTTAGGCCTGGCTTCCTAAACCAATCACTGGCAGGAGGAATGGGATTACAGTGAGATGCACCCAAGAAGTACAAGGGCTTTGTGAGACGGAGGAAGAGAAACTGACTCTGGGTAGGCATCTACAACATTCACCATATGAGGAATATGCCTTTCCAAATGGAAAGATATCTCAGGCGAAGAGGGCAGGTGGCCACAATTATCGTAGATCAGATACACATCAGAAATTAGGATTCGCAAAGGAGAATTTGAGGGGAGGAGTTCTTGGCAAGAAACTCCCGATCTAATAATAAAGAGATTTGCTTAAGTACATCAAAGAGAATTCCGGGTACAGAATCGGTGATACAATGCAAGAAGTTTACCAAGTAACAAAAAGTCAAAAACAATAGAGCAAAACAAACAGCAAAAAATGAAATCAGTGATTCGCTTTGATCTTGCCTTAGGAAGATTTCCACCCCCTCCCGACACCCCCTCCCTCCATGTGGTTTTCAAAAGGAAGAAGTCCAAGGTGCCGGCTCAAATGGTAGTCAACTCACAGAATGCACAGGATGTCCCTGGCCAGGGGGTCCCAGCCCAACTGCACCCCAGGGGTTCACTCCCATAGCAGATCTGCCCTAGGAGGTCTGTGGGGGAACCAGAGTATTGGCCATTTTTAGAAAATTGCGCAGGTGATTCTGAAACACAGCCAGTATTGGAAGAAGCCACGGGTCTAAGACCTCGTGAACAAACTAATCAGAGACAGATCCTGGAATGGCTGAACTCTGAGGGGATGCAGGGCTGATGCAGGACCCATGAGTGCCAGTACAGGTGGCTTTCTGACCCTGCCTACTGCCGAAGTGCCCACTCTTCACCAGAGGAATGAATGTTGCTCAGACCCTCAAAACTGAAGACCGGGGGTGCGGGCAGCTTCTGGTCGCATCCACCCACATGGTCTCTGTAAGTGATGCATGAACTCACTATTTGTTGAAATGTGCATGTGAAAAAAGTCGGTAGATTAACATATGTAAATAATTTTAACAATCTTTTCTAAACTCCATAACTAAGGGAATTTTCAAAATTGATTCACCATGTAGAGCACTGGGGACTTTTTTGGAGGGGGGCACATGAAAGGGTCTTCACCCATATTTAGAAAGCTGAACAGAAATAAGAAATAAAGGAGAAGAAAAACTGGGGTATTTTTTTTAAGGTTTTATTTATTCACTCATAAGAGACACAGAGAGAGGGGCAGAGAGATAAATGGAGAGAGAAGCAGGCTCCTCGGTGGAGCCCGATGCGGGACTCGATCCCAGGACCCAGGGATCATGACCTGAGCCAAAGGCAGATGCTTAACCACCGAGCCACCCAGGTGCCCTGAAAAACTGAGGTATTGACCAAATGGAGATGCATAAACTTTGTGGTGTCCTGGACACTAACGTACTGGAATTTATGTATTATCCAACAGGGAGAGTCCAGGGAGGTCTCCAAGTGAACACCTTTAAGCAGGGAAGACCCAAAGCCATAGGGATAATCCAAGAGAGGGGGCTTGAGGACCCAAAGCTGCCAGAAAACTGGTAGATGAGCCTCCATGAGGTCAGGACAAGGTCTCAGACAGAAAATTATAATCTGAATATAGTCATGGGCCAAGGAGCCCTGAGCGCTTAGTCACCATCCAGAAACGGAGCCAGGGAATCCTTGGGACTATTCCCCAAAGCAGCTGCTGCGGCCACTGAGGCCACAAGAGGCCATATCATTAGAAGGGGGGTCTAGGATGCCTGGGTGGCTCAGTGGTTGTGCATCTGCTTTCAGCTCAGGACCTCATCCCAGGGTCCTGGGATCGAGTCCCACATCGGGCTCCCTGCATGGAGCCTGCTTCTCCCTCTGCCTGTGTCTCTGCCTCTCTCTCTGTGTCTCTCATGAATAAATAAATAAAATATTTTTAAAAAAAGGGAGGAGGTCCAACGTGGAAGGTGAACACTGGTGGCCGTGCAGAGAGAACTGCTGCCCATCCTCTGTGACACTTTGTGTCATCAGGTCACTGGCGCCGCTCAAGGGTGACATGTGAAATTGAGAGGAAGTCCAGAAGTGCAGCCTCTGGAAAACCAAGGCGGAAGCTTGTCTCCAAATGAAGGGGCACTGGCCAGGCAGCTGTAGGATAAAAAGTCAGTTTGGAAGCTTGTGGAAGTAGCAGATCTGGAAGGACAGGAGTTCTAGAATATAAGTCTCGAGTACAAGTAGAAGCACGGAGGTCGGAGGCAGCTGGCTCTCCAGGGTTGGGTGCAGGCAGAGAGAAGCCCCGAGCCAGGGGGGCCAAGGGGCTAATTCAGAGCCTCCCAGAGCAGCAGGGCTTGGGGCAAGGAAGAAAACGGGGGAGATTTAAAAGAGGGATGCCCAGCTCAGTTTGGGGTAGGGCCAACTCCGAGAGGGCTCCCTGCAGGCCATCTCCTGAGTCCCCCGGCTGCTGAGCCCTGGGCCATCCTGAAGAGCAAGACCAGCAAGGGTTCCTCCTTGCTGAGCATTTCCTCTGCCCTGGGTTAGTGCCACCTGATTGACACAACAACTCTATTTTTCCTCATTTCCCGCATGAGGAAACTGAAGTTTCGGGAGGTCAGTTGTGTGTCTGAGGTCACGCCGCGCAGAGTGGCAGGGTTGGGATTCGAAGCCAGAGTGACCTGACAGCCACGAGCCCTGGGGCTCCCACTCGGCTCCCAGGCTGTCCTCTTGCCCCTCCTGGCAAGCTGCCTGGGAGGAGCTACCTTCCAGCCAGCTCAGCAACCTGAGAACAAACAGCATTTCGAAGGCCTGAGTCCAGTGCCTGGAATCTGTGTTTACTTGGTGAAGTCACACCCGTCCCCAGATCTGCCTGGGTGGCTTACCGAGATGCACAGAGGACACCAGGCACATAGTGGGTGCTCAGGAGAGGCTTGGTTTGGATCTGCTCCCCGGTGAGATCATTTGGAGGAGCAACCAGCCTGCAGCCCTCAGGGGCAGAGCTGCACGGTCCCTTGGGTCCCCCTCACCTGCTGCACCAAATTCCTGCGTGCTGTCTGACGTGGCTGTAGTCACGAATCCTGCCCTCCAGCCTGCCAGACGGCAGGAGGTGTTGCTTGGAGCCTCGTGGAGGATTTGGTTCCCCCTGGACGATTTGGTTCAGCGCCTCTCATTGGCCAACAGCCATCAGACAAAATTGTAGTTTACCTTTACCTGTCAAGTGTCCCCAAAAACCTTGATCTGCAAATGCCCTGTTTTTATAAGCTCAGTCCCATGATGAAAATAAGAGCATCCAGGGTGGAATGGGGGAACGTCTTCCAAAGGGGAAAATGATAAATACTTGAAAAACTTTCCTGAAGAAAGTTCTCTTGTGTCCTTGCAGCCTGGCTTCTGTTCTGATCACTTCCTCTCAACATGCACTCATCAGGGCTATTTTTCTTCTTTTTGTCTTTAGTGGAAAAGGCTACCATCCGACCAGCTAAAAGCATGGACTCGCTGTGCTCAGTGCCTGTGGAAGGTGAGCTCTCACAGCTGCTTCCAGAACTGGGGATTGTCACTGGGAGACAGGAGCTCCCATACCAGACCTGCCTTCACAAGCTACCTGCCTGCTGGTCTCGTCACAGTCAAGCACGTGGCCTGGTCCCAAATCCCCCCTGACCCCACCCGAGCACAGTGACTTCACACAGCTCCCCCTCTGCCGCTGCCCCACGTCACACCACAGGCCTTGGCCTAAAGGGCCATGCTCCTCCTCCCGCCTTCCTCTAACCGCAGCTGGAGATGGCAAGCCTGAACCAGGTGAAAGGGCAATTCCTGTGAACCAGGGCAGGCGAGACTTCCCCCTTGGGTGTAAAGAAGAGCCCAACATTGGTTTTTACCTCACAGTTCAGTGCCTCGATAGAGAAGTCTTGAATTTGCACGCTCCCATAGGCATTAGCTCCCTCGTACCTGTTGGCTCATGATTTCGAGTTGTTGAGTGATTCATTCATTTACCAGTGGACGGCGATGGGCACCAGCCTGGCATGCAGCTGGTCATCCTGTGGCGGGGTGGCTGTGTGTAGTGCTGCCCACGAGGTGACACATCGACAAAGCGACACCATGTTGGTCTTAAGGGCTGACTTGCCTGTCCCTCTCGCTTCTGTTTTTGTTAAGCAGCCAACGGGCACTGCTTCGAGTCGTGAGGCACAGGGCTTCCCTGGCAGCAGACTGTTTAAACTCCCCACGCTTATCCCATGACATTCCAGCTCCTTTATTATTTTTTAAATTTTATTTATTTATTCATGAGAGACACACACAGAGAGAAACAGAGGCAGAGACACAGGCAGAGGGAGAAGCAGGCTCCATGCAGGGAGCCTGACGTGGGACTCAATCCTGGGTCTCCAGGATTACACCTTGGGCCAAAGCCAGGCGTTAAACCACTGAGCCACCCAGGGATCCCCTCCAGCTCCTTTAATACAAAATATTTTGCTCTCTGATAAGTGAGGCATCCTGAAACAATGCAGAAAACCTATAGAACAACCTTTTAAAAATAATTGTAAAATACTCAGGGACCTCTTTTTGAGCTGGCTGGATGCTTCTAGCATTTTCCTCACCTTCGTATTCAGCCATTTGCTTTGGTTCCAGAGCCTCTTGAGGCAGTTCTACAGAATTTAGGATTTTGAGATCGAGGTCCTCACTTCGATGGGCACCGGGCAGCTTGTCGGCCGCCCAGGGACTCGGTTTCCTCGCGTGTTAAAGGTCATGACACTTGTCCTACGTAAGCGGTCATGAGAACCGTAAACCCCATGCTGCATGGACCGTGCAGCGGGGCCCTTAGGACCTCGTGGGGAGTTACTGTCCCGATCCCAGGCGACTCATGTGTTATCTCGCAGCCTCTTTATTTCCCATACAGATTTTTCTCTTCTTTGCTTTCACTTTTAAGCCAGTCGCGAAATTGCTCCTCACAATTGGGCTTTCTAACTTTTAGTTAATTTACATTTCTAGTTTCTCATCCCCTGAAGCAGCAGGAAGAAGCCTGGGAAAAGGGAGGAAGGTCTCGCTGAGAACAGCATTTGTTTCCTTGCTGGGAAATCAAACCCCTGTTGGAGTCCATCTGCCAGAGGAGGCTTAAAACAATACATTTTTAAAGTTTTAAAGTAAAACAAAATTCTGTTATTTTGCCCTTTTTGTCTTCTCCTTCATTTTGAGCAAACGTCGTGCCGCCATCTCCCAGCTGTCTGTTTTATTTTTTCATGATCTACGGTCACCGGGTGGTGGAGGACTGCTCTGGCGACCTTAGCAGTGGCCGCCTTCTGGAAACCGCTCTACCTGCAGAGTTTAGAACAGGTGCATGCGACGCAGTCGCAGGTGGTCCTGCCAGGGCCTCGTGCCCGCATTCTGTGCTTGCTCTCGCGTCAACCACGTGCTGTCTGCCTGTCTTTCCAAGAAGGGCCCCGCTCTCATCAGAATGCTCTGCCTCTGCAGTGCTGTGCACCTCCCTTCCTGGAGGCTGTGTAGTGGGGTGTGGGGGTGCGTGTGAGTGCGTGTGTGCACGCCCCGGCTGCTGACCCCGTGTTTGCTCTTTCACTAGGGAAAGAAAACAAAGGAAATTTTAATCGAACGGTCACCACCGGTGGATTCTTCATTCCAGTGGCAAAATTGCATTCGACCAACCCCGGCAGCTCATGCGATCTCAGCAAGCAGGAGGGCGAGTGGGGCCAGGAGGGGACACCAGTGGGGGCAGAGGGGGGCTTCGACATGAGCGGTGACCGAAGCCAACTGCAGGGTGCTCAGGCCCGGCCCCCGCCCGAGCAGCTCAAGGTGTTCCGGCCCATCGAGGACCCCGAGAGCGAGCAGACAGCCCCCAAGATGCTGGGTATGTTCTACACGTCCAGCGACAGCCCCAGCAAATCTGTCTTCACCAGCAGCCTCTTCCAGATGGAGCCCTCTCCTCGGCACCAGCGCAAAGCCCTGAACATCTCTGAGCCCTTTGCCGTGTCCGTGCCGCTCCGAGTGTCAGCTGTCATCAGCACCAACAGCACCCCATGCAGAACACCCCCGAAGGAGCTCCAGTCACTCTCCAGCCTGGAAGAGTTTTCTTTCCAGGGGTCAGAGAGTGGAGGTTGGCCTGAAGACGACAAGCCACTGGGAGCCGAGACTTCTGCAGGTGAAGCACGGGAGGGAAGGCTTCTTTCTCTTCCTTCCTTCCTTCCTTCCTTCCTTCCTTCCTTCCTTCCTTCCTTCCTTTTTCTTTCTTTCAAGATTCTATTTATTTAAGAGAGAAAGTGAGAGAAAGAGAGAAAGCACTAGTGGGGTGAAGGGCAAGAGAGCAGCAGACTCCCCACTGATCAGGGAGCCCGATACAGGGCTTGATCCCAGGGCTCTGGGATCGTGACCTGAGCTGAAGGCAGATGCTTCATGGACTGAGACACCCAGACATCCCAGGAGGGTTTCTTTTCATTGCAAGGGATTTAAAAAACAGACTTAAACTTGTTTAAACAGAGTTTGCAAGACATTATAGTGAAGTGGTGAAGACTGTGGGCTCTGGAGCCAGATCGCTTGAGTCCGAGTCCAGTCTCAGCCATTCCACTGTCCCATCTCTATTTATTTAGTTTCTTAAAAAGACTTTACTTATTTATTCATGAGAGACAGAGAGAGAGAGAGAGAGAGAGAGAGAGAGGCAGAGACCCAGGCAGAGGGAGAAGCAGGCTCCATGCAGGAAGCCTGATGTGGGACCCAATCCCAGGACGCCAGGATCACGCCCTGGGCCGAAGGCAGGTGCCAAACCGCTGAGCCACCCTGGGATCCCCTACTGTCCCATCTTTAGCAGCTGTGTGCCTCAACTTCTTAAGCCATAAAATGGGAACGATGTTCCTACTTATATCTTCTTCAAAAGTTTGTTGCAAATACTAAATTAGTGAAGCTCTCAGAACAGTGAGTAATACATAGTAGGTACTCAGTAAGGTTGCCTATTATTTTAGTCACTCATATAGTGAGAAGGCAGTAGGAAAAGCTCAAAGAATTCAACTCATCTTGACTCAACCTCTCTCCATCCATCCATCCCTCATATCTGCAGAGAATGTGGCTAGCAACCCTAGCAATGAGAAAGGGTATCTTGCTCCCAATGACTATATATCAAATGCAGGGAAGACTCTGATTGGCCTGCTTGGGGCTCATGACCAGCCTTGGACCAATCATGGTTGCCTGGCACTGAGGGTTCTAAGACTGGCTAAGCCTGAGTCTCTGAACCATCTCTGGAGTTGGAAGGGGTTCTGTGGTCAACAGCCAACTGTGACCCACATAAAATGGAAGTAGGGAGAACCTCAAAGGAAAGGAAAACTGACAGACAAACCAACAAATGCTCATTGTGGTTTAAGAATATTTTCATTAGGGCAGCCCGGGTGGGCTCAGCGGTTTAAGCACCGCCTTCAGCCCAGGGCCTGATCCTGGAGACCTGGGATCGAGTCCCGCGTCGGGCTCCCTGCATGGAGCCTGCTTCTCCCTCTGCCTGTGTCTCTGCCTCTCTCTCTCTCTCTCTCTGTCTCATGAATAAATAAATAAAATCTTTAAAAAAAAAAAGAATATTTTCATTAGGGGCACCTGGTGCCTCAGTTGGGTAAATGTTTGCCTTCAGTTCAGGTCATGATCCCAGGGTCCTGGAATTGAGCCCCCATCCCTGCTGAGCAGGGAGCCTCCTTCTCCCTCTCCCTCTGCCTGCTGTTCCCCTTGCTTGTGCTCTCTCTCTGTCAAATAAATAAATACAATCTTTTTTTTAAAAAAATATTTTTGTCATTAATATTAGCTAACTTTTTTGAAACAACCGTTATGGTATCAGGCACTGTCATAAGTGTTCTACATGTGTTATCTCCATTCTCCACACAACAACACTGTGAGGGATAGGTAGTTACTATTAGCCCCATTTGCTTAGAGAGGAAATGCATTAACTTAGAGAGGAAATGCACTAACTAATGCCGAATGACTCATAGCAAGGAAGTGGAAGAACCAGGATTTTAATACAGATTTAAAAACCCATGCTTTAAAACACTCCAGCATGCTCCTTCCCATGTTTGCAATCAGCTGTAGAGCTACAGATATTGTTAAAACACGATCTCTTCACCCAGCAAGCTCATGAACTAGGAAGAGAAACTAAAACCGTACTGAACGGTAGCACAAGGTCAGACTGTAGAAGTAGCATAAGACCCTACTTGGGCTTTTTTTTTTTTTTTTTTAGAGTAAGAGCATAAGGGGGAGGGGCAGAAGGAGAAGAAGAGAGAATGTCAAGCAGACTCTGCATTCAGCACGAAGCCCAATGTGGAACTCGATCTCATGATCCTGAGATCACATGAGCTGGTCATTTAACTGACTATGCCTCCCAGGTGCCCCCCTCCTTGGGTTTTTTGAATGAGGGAGGGCTTCGGTCCCTGAAACATAATGAAAGAGGTATTTAGAAAGGATTGAAAGGGCATCAAGGAGAGGCAGTCCTTTCAGGAGGATTCCAGGATGGCTTCCCAGAGGAGGTGACATTTGGCTGGGCCTTCATGAATGGCTAGGCTTTCTCCATGCAGAAAAGATGGGGAAGTTGGGCAGCCTGGGTGGCTCAGTGGTTTAGTGCTGCCTTCAGCCCAGGGCATGAGCCTGGAGACCCAGGATCAAGTCCCACATTGGGCTCCCTGCGTGGAGCCTGCTTCTCCCTCTGCCTATGTCTCTGCCTCTCTCTCTCTCTCTCTCTCTCTCTCTCTCTCTCTCTCTGTCGCTCATGAATAAATAAAAAAAATATTTTTTAAAAAAAAGAAAAAAAGAAAAGGGGGAAGGCATGCTGGACTGAGAGGCAGCTGAATGTTGCAGGAGGTGTGTAGGTTTTGGACCGCACCTGGGACCATCTGAACCCTAGCTTCAGCACTTTGGGGCCGCGTGACAGTGGAGCATGGTTGATATCTCTCTGAGCCAGGGGTGGTCGCTCTCTCCAAGGCTGAGGTAAAGTCTGAATGGAAGAAGGTCCATAAAATGCCCGTTCACAGTCTGGCTCGCAGACAATGTGCAATAAGTCATTGTCCTTTTCTCCTCCCATTCTCTTCAGGACGAGAGCAGAAGACGAGTAAAAAACTCAGTGGTATCAAAACAAGCCCTGTCTGAAGAATGCTCTGTGCTGGGCTGGGCCAGGTGGAGCAGAGTGAGGGCTAGAGGAGCAAGTGAGGCCTTTGAGGAAACTACGTGATCAGTTAGTGTCCTAGGGGTTTGGCCTTTATTCTTCCCCGTGACAACAGTGTTGTACAACGAGATAGGACCTTCTTCATGGAGGTAGTAGAGGTTGACCTTGGGGTCTCCCCCCTCTCCACTGCCTTGGTAGACGTAAGACCAGGGCGTAATCACTTCAGGTACATCCAAACTGATGTGTAGATAACCTCTGGGGAGAGTCACACAGGAAGCTGTCAATCATAATGTAATACATCTTTGTAACTTGGCGTAAATAACAGATTTCTATGCCCTAGGCAACAGCTTGACTTCTCAGGATCTGAATTTACTTATATGTCAAGTGAAAGATTGGATTAGAACAGGTTTTCTCAGCTTGGCACTATTGACATTGTGGGCTGGGCAGTTTTGTTAGGAGGGGGGTGCTATTTTATGCTTCGTAGAATATTTAGCAGCATCCTTGGCCTCTTCCCATTAAATGCCAATAGCCACCTCCTCTACACACAAATGTCTCCTGGGGAGGGAAAGAGCAAATGGTGTCTGATCGCAAGCGCTTGGACTAGATGATCTTCAAGACCTCTCCCATCTCTGACAGTCGGGGACCCTGGGATATTAAGGCAGGGCACGGTTAGGAGGAAAGGATGGGGCTGTGAGAGCTCCCTCCATATGTGTGAAGCGGGGCTGGTCCAGGACAGAGACTGTGCCGGGAATGGCCTCTCTGCAAACAAAGTCTTCAACAAGTACCTCTCATCCTCATTGCAGCTTCTCTACCTAAGAAGGTGGCTCTCGAGGATGCCAAGCAAGGACCAGAAGCAGTGAGGACAGTGGAATGCAACAAGGACCCCTCCCTGGAGCCAGGCTCCCAACTGGAGGAAAAGAAGACCTCAGAAACTTCCCTGGGCTCTCAACATTCAAGTGAATTAGAGAAGAGGCTTGACCTGGAGAAGGCGGAGGAGGAGGAGGAGGAGGAGAAGGAGGGTGGAGAGGCTGGCCAGGTGGAGCCCAGCACTCTGCAGGAGAGCCCCAGGGCCAGAGCCGAAGCGGTGTTTCTCCATGAGATGGTAAGATGCAGTAGAATCCTCTTTGTCCCAAGGGTTCATGGTATAACTGAAAACAAGGATTGGGGGGGGGGGTTGTTTGTTTATTTTAAGATCCAGTTTCTGCCCAAGGAACTTTAGGAGACAATGTTCTAACCAGGTCTGGGATTTTTTTTTTTTTCAGCAGACTTTTCAGAGGGCCTGTGGTGATGGGAAGGCATCTTCCAGCTCAGATTCCCTAAGACAGACTCAACTCTAAATATTTCTGATCTGAAGTCACCATAAATGAGTGACATGTCCTTGAAGTATAATGACATTCAATCCCAGAAGTAGCACAAAAGCTGTTTGTCATATCCCAGTCCCAACTCTGATGACCATTATGGGGTCCAGCTTTCCTTCCAGACATCCTGGATGAACAGTTGCCTGTGTATGTTTGTGAAATCTTCTCAAAGATTTCCAGGATTCATGCCTTTTCCCTATGGCTTCCAGAGAAGCTAAAACATGATGCCAGAACTTACCACACCTCTTGTACTTTTTTTTTTAAAGATTTTTTTATTTATTTGGGAGAGAGAGAGAGAGAGCAAGAGCAAGAGCGCGCACAAGTTGGGGGAGAGGTAGAAGGAGAAGGAAAGAGAGAATCAAGCAGACTCCCTAATGAGCGCAGGGCCCACTGCGGGGCTTGATCCCAGGACCCTGAGATCATGACCTGAGCCGAAGTTAGATGCTTAACCGACTGAGCCACTCAGGTGCCTCACATCTTATACTTTTTAGAGACGAAGTTTTTCCAAAGTTTTATGAGGTGTCCTTGAATATAATGAAGGTGCGAGGAGGTTGTCAGGGACGTCCAGTGAGGAGTCCTGCGTTTGGAAGGCAGCTCTGTGATCTGGGGGTGTGTGCCAAAGGGGAAAAGGAAGCTCTTGGCCTTTTAGCTTGTTTCTATAGATTTGGTTTCCAGAAGGACCAGGTACTGGGAGTTAGGGCAGTGTGGAGTGCTGTAGAGGCCTCACGAAGGCTGGGAAAAGGTTCTTGAGAGATGTGTTTGCAATTGTAGAAGGTGAAGGAGACAGAGGTTGCTACAGGGATTGAATTCTGGGGGGATCAAGTATAAATAGTGCCACTCGGGCGCTCCTAGAATTTTATACTTTAAAGATCACTATTTTGTGAGAATGGCTTGGAAAAGGCAGGAGAGGTGTCAGGGAGGCCAGTTAGAAGGCTAGTATGTGACAGGCCAGGTGAGAAAAAATAGTGTCTTGGATGAGGGTGGGGGCCACAAGGATAGAAATGGAAGGCTTCAAGAGCTATTTGGAAGCTAGAATGGTGCTTGCTTTGGCAGCACATATACTAAAATTGGAATGATACAGAGAAGATTAGCATGGCCCCTGTGCAAGGATGACACACAAATTTGTGAGTGTTCCATATTGGGGGGGGGGTGGAATTCCTGGCTGGCTCAGTCGGTAGGGCATGTGACTCTCAATCTTAGCGTCATGAGTTCAAGCCCCACATGGGGCATGGAGCCTACTGAAATGAAATGAAATAGCAGTGTCTAAAATAATAAATAATAATAAAATAATATTTGTCACATAAAAAAGAAGCTAGAATGAACAGCACTTGGTGAAGTGATGTGAGTAAGGAAGAAGGAAGAGACAAGACACCTCATGGATTTCTGATCTAAGCAGAAAGATGCACTATGGTCCACTTAGATGGTGGGGGAGAGGAAGGGAAGTTTATGTGATTATTTATTTATTCAAATTTATTGATTTCTTAGTAAGAGGTCAATTAGTGTAGCTGCTGAGGAGAGTAAAGAGATGGGTAAAAGGCTCCCTCTGCCCTAAAGGTGCAATAGAGATAGATAGAAGTAAGTGCGAAACAGCAGAATCAGATCTCAAAAACATCCCTGCCTTTTGACCAAGGAGTTCTACTCCTAGAGAATTCTCTGAAGGAAATATCTCAAATAGAAATAACACAAAATAAAAACTCTTAATGAGCAACTACTCACAGTGTACTTGGCACCATTGGCCTTGAGGAATCAAAGAGGAATGGACATAATTCCTGACCTTAAGGAGCTCGTAGTCCATTGGGAAGAGCGTCCAATTAATTGTAATATGAAACATGTGATCAGAGCCAAGTGGGAAGTGATGTCAAGTTGGCAGCAGGTCAGATTTCTCATAAAGGCCTGAACCCCCCACAGGATGGATCTGCCTCCTGGAACTGCTCCTTGGGACAGATAGGCCTTGATACAAGAAATGAAGGCCACTGAAATGTGTTTCCCTGGCCCTGACCGGGCCTCCCTCCAATCCCTTTCCTGTCTGCACTTTGGGGCTTTGTGTAGGGGAAGGGAGGAGTCAGACAAAGAGAAACTACACTTGAGGAGAGATAAGGGGCAGCAAACAGGATAGAGGAGGAGACACCCTTCTAGGCCAACAGCCGTTATCTGCGGGTACTACGATTATAAGAATTTGCTGTTTTTATATTCTCCTTTAACACATATTTGGGTATTTTTTCCACATGAAATATATGTATTTCTTTGGTAATAAGAGAAGCTGGATTTGTTTATTTGGAAAGCAGATGTCGGGGTATGAGTTAGCATTTAGATTCCACTGGGAGAAGCTCATTCTTGTGTGTCATCTGGTAAACCTGAGGTTAAATGAGACCAGGGGTCGGTTTGTTTTATAAATCAACAGTGCACGGGGATTAAGCGTTTCTGTTCTGGTGTAGACATACCTGGATCGCAGTCCCAGGCTGCTGCTGTGGGAGACCTAGGCAAATTGTTTAATCTGTTTGAACATAGGTCTCACCTCTAAAATGGGAGTCGTTACAGGAGTCCTTATGCCTTAGAGTTGTTGGGACAATTAAACAAGAAAATGCAGTTAAAATGTGTTACGGCACGTGGTAAGCACTAAGGGCAGCCCAGGTGGCTCAGCGGCTTGCCTTCAGCCCAGGGCGTGATCCTGAGGACCCAGGATCGAGTCCCCCATCGGGCTCCCTGCATGGAGCCTGCTTCTCCCTCTGCCTCTCTCTGTGTGTCTCTATGAATAAATAAATAAAATATTTTTAAAAAATGAATGAATAGGGATCCCTGGGTGGCGCAGCGGTTTAGCGCCTGCCTTTGGCCCAGGGCACGATCCTGGAGACCCGGGATCGATTCCCACGTCGGGGTCCCGGTGCCTGGAGCCTGGTTCTCCCTCTGCCTGTGTCTCTGCCTCTCTCTCTCTCTCTCTGTGTGACTATCATAAATAAATAAAAATTAAAAATAAATAAATAAATAAATAAAAATGAATGAATAATAAATAAACATCCACGGTTGCTAATAATGCCGTGTCCTTTATTTGCTGGGACAGTGCACCTGCCACCGCGCCAGTCCCTTCACTGTCACTGGGAAATCGTGCCCCGAGCCCTGGGCTCTAAAATAATCCGTTTCTTGATGTCTTTCAGGATGAAGATGACCTGGCCAATGCCCTGATCTGGCCCGAGATTCAACAGGAGCTGAAGATCATTGAATCCGAGGAGGAGCTCTCGTCCCTGCCACCACCTGCTCTGAAGATCAGCGCGGCCCAGCCCACCGTGGGGTCCGGCCCGGGGCCTTTGGCTTCCCCGGAGCCCCCTGCGAGCTTAGCCCGCGGTCCCCCCGCAGGCCCCACCCCCGCGGAGGCGGGGACTAGGGAGCCGACCAATCAGAGCGCACAGGGGGCCTCCCCGGCAGCCAATAGGGAAAAGCCGGAGAGCCCGAGCCCGAGCACTAGCGCGAGCATCCTCCCGAGGCCCGAGCCCGAGAAGGGCCGGCGGCCGGACCCCACCGGCCTGGCTCCTCTGGAAATACTTCCTCTTGGGGCAGCTTCTCCACCAGCACAGGTGGACCGGGAAGGCCCGGGGGAGCTGTCTCCTCTTCTCCCGCCTGCTGCCCCCCCTCCAACTCCTCTGGAGGAGGCGCCTCGAATCCAGCCACCAAGGGGCAGCCCCGAGGGAGCAGACCCGTCCAGGAGCTCGAGGACTCAGGCTTGCACAGACCTGCCGAAGCCCGGGGGCAGCCCGGGGGCCCCTCGCCGGTGTCCGGGGCAGGAGGCCCCTCGAGGACAAAGGGAAAAGCGAAATTCGAAGAATGCTGCTCCGGATCCTGAGGGAAAAGGCTCTGGTTTGGGGAGCCCAACAGGAGAGGCGGAGAGCTCCCCACCAGGAGACGGGGAGGTGGCCCATTCCGCGCAGGAGCCCTCAGACTGTGACGAAGATGAAGCTGTGACCGACATCGGCCAGCATGGCCTGGAGATGGTGGAGCCGTGGGAGGAGCCCCAGTGGGTAACGAGTCCCCTTCACTCTCCCACCCTGAAGGATGTGCAAGAGGCCCAGGTGCAGGGTGCCCAGGGCCTCCGACTGGAGAAGAGGCTCCCGCACAGGCCCGGCCTCCGTCAGAGCCATTCTCTAGATGGCAAAACCACCGCGGGTAGGAGCCAGTGGACTCTTGAGGCTCCGTCCTCCAGCAGCTGTGCCAACCTCGAAGCAGAGAGGAATTGCGACCCTCTGCAGCCCCTGGCACCCAGGAGAGAGATTACTGGATGGGACGAGAAAACCCTGAGGTCCTTCAGAGAGTTCTCTGGCCCAAAGGGGACAGAGGCTGTTCCCAGCCAGAAGGGACCGGGTGGTTTGCAGCCCCAAACAGCCGAAATCATCCCTGTCGGCCTAGCAGAAGGAGAGGACCCGGGGACACACCAGGAGCAGAGCAGCCCTCAGCTTGAGCGAGGTGGGGTTCCTGGGCCAGACGGCAGCAAGGAGAGTTCACCTCGTGTGCAAGACGGCTCCTCACCTGGAGAGCGTCCTCCAAAGTTACAGCCGCAGAGCACTGAGTGTGGGCCTCCAAAAGGGAAAAACAGGCCTTCTTCTCTCAACTTGGACTCCACTGTTCCCATCACTGACCTCTTCCGGTTTGACAATGTGGCCTCATTTGGTTCACCTGGAATGCAGCTCTCTGAGCCAGGAGACACAAAAGTCACATGGATGACCTCATCTCACTGTAAAGTAGACCCGTGGAGTGTTTGCTCCCAGGACCCTCAGGACCTGGACATTGTTGTTCATGCCCTGACAGGCCGCCGTAACTCAGCTCCTGTGAGCGTGTCAGCTGTGAGAACCTCCTTCATGGTCAAAATGTGCCAGGCTAGGGCAGTCCCAGTCATCCCACCCAAGATTCAATACACACAGATCCCACAGCCCCTGCCCTCTCAGAGCTCAGGGGACAGTGGAGGGCAGCCTCTGGAGAGGAGCCAAGAGGAACCCAGCTCAACTGGTGGGACCTCTCAGAGATCTGCCAGAGAGGATTCTCTCTCCTTGGAAAGCCCAAAAGAAGAGAAGCCAAAGCAAGATACAGGAGCCATTGAGTCCTTGCCAGTGGATACCACTACATCCCACATGTGTGAGGGACCCACCCTTCCTCCAGAACCAGTCTTGGCTAACCTGCTCTCCACCCAGGATGCAACAGTGCAATGCAGAAAGCGCACATCAGAGACAGAGCCATCCGGAGACAACCTTCTTTCTTCAAAAATAGAGCGACCGTCCGGGGGTTCTAAACCTTTCCACAGGTCAAGGCCAGGAAGACCTCAGAGCCTAATCTTATTCAGTCCTCCTTTCCCCATTATGGACCACCCTCCCCCTTCATCCACAGTGACAGATTCCAAGGTTCTCCTGTCCCCTATCAGAAGTCCCACCCAGACAGTTTCCCCTGGCCTTCTTTGTGGGGATTTGGCGGAAAACACATGGGTCACACCAGAAGGGGTTACACTTAGGAATAAAATGACCATCCCTAAGAATGGCCAAAGACTAGAGACCTCAACCAGCTGTTTTTACCAGCCCCAGCGGAGATCAGTGATTCTGGATGGAAGAAGTGGGAGGCAAATAGAATGACATCAGTTCACCTGCTGGTGTCTGGGAAAAAGTGGCATGATTCATCATCTGGAAGTTATTCCAGGGCCAGCGTGGCCATTATTCCAGGAATAGGTTATCCAAGTTTGGGCTTATTTTGGCCTCTTTTCTTTCTCCAGCTTTCTGACCATTTATTAATTAGTCCATTTGCCAGAAGAGAGGTCAAGGGAAGGACCCAGGGATGAAATTTACATAAATCCATAACGGTAGGTGGGAAAAGGTCAGGTAAGGGAAGAAGATGGAGTGCTTGCTTCCACTGAGTTTGGGATTATGAGTTGCATTTCTCCCACATTGTCATTATCTATTATCGTTGAGAGTTGGCTAAAATAACGCGTCTTTTGAAAGAAAGAAAAATCCTTTGCCTGTGTTGGAAAATGTTGCTGTTGAGGTTTGAAGGCCTCCTCTTTACTTCACGCTTTTTAATGCTCCTTAAAGCATGTTTTCTTTTAGATCAGTTTTCTGATAAACTTTGTAGAAGTGTACACTCCAAAACAGAAGCAGGTTTGGAGGTGCAAGCTAATGTACACTTAGAGATCCAAGTGGGTGAGGTTACCCATGCTCTTTCCCTGGAATCTCTGCAGACCTGTCAGAGATGGTTCCATAAATCAGCGTAGAAAATCAGAATCGATACACGAGAGCAAATTCGTACTGGCTGCGGCTTCTTTTGTTAATTTGGGACTCTACCATTATCCTCACCTCTGATTTATAAATCCAGTAGCTGGGCAGGGTGAGGGCTGAGTTGAGGGTTACCTCAGTCAATGTGCTGACTTTTCACTTAGGTATGGAGTAGTGATCTGTGTGCTTTCCAAATCAGAGTCCGTGAGCAGGATATCATCATAGAGGAAAACCCCATGCATAGGTAGGACCACACGATGTGTTTAAAGAACTGTACTAATGTGTTCCAATCGATGGGGCAGTAGTAGAAAACACTTCTGGCTCAGCTTCCCAGTCTTCCCATGCTAGGCTAGGAGTATGGGAGAGGATAAGGAGGGAGCCCTAGCAGGGTGGCCATCACTACCACTCGGTGAGAGCTGCCTGCAGAAAATGTATTTCATTTTAGCCTGCGGGTGCCTCCCTTTCTCCCTCTCCTTCCATTACTCAGAGCAGATTTGAGGCACCTTCCTCCCCCCTGATGCCCCTCATCCACCACCCACCCCAGGCCCTCCCACTTGCCTTTCTCCTGTCTATATGCAAGCAGAAGCAATAAACCAATCTGATTTTATATCAGTTATTTAGAACTTCCAATGGCTCTTTCTTTTTTCAGCTGGTGAGAGGAAGGAAAACTAATATAACCTGCTGGCAGATTTTTGGTGCTCCCCCCAAAAGGGCTTCCCAAGAGCCCTTCTCAAAGCAAAACCCATTAGGGTATCAATAGTTTCAAACCTTCTAAGACAACAATCTTATTATTTAGGAACAAATTAAGAGAGACCTGTTTCTAGCCCTATTCACATCTTCTCAGGCTCAAGTCCGGCTCAACTCTGTTCACAAGCTGTCATTGCAGAAATTTCTCTAGGGACTGGCAGTACCTCTCAGCAGACCTCACAACCAAGGCCGAACTGAAGTTACCTCATCTGGGAAGAAATTAAAAGCCGATATCCCGCAACAGATACATATTCCTCTCTCCCTTCTTCCCTGATAAGCCTTAGTTTTGAAATCTAGTGCTAGGCCTTTTAAGCCAGTGTCTGTGGCAAGGGTAACTGGTAGGCCAGCTAATGAGTTCTTTCAGGGGGCACTGAGGTGTGTGAGCAAGAGGAACAGTGAAGAGGCAGTTCAGTGTCTTCCATTCTCATTAGGTGAGTGAGACCCTGGACCAGCAGCCAATGAGAAGTCAACCCATAAAAAACCGTCCTAGGGCATAGCATTTTTCCTCCTTGGCAAACAAGGTGAAGAAATATAGTGGTGACAGATGAGAAAGGCCATGTTCAGGAGATTTGGAAAGTACATTCCTGCCTTATCAGAAAATGTGGGCAGATAGGCTTTCTCCCATCGCAGTGCACTATGGTGTCTACACTTTGATAAAGACCACGTTCCAGTTAGAATGTGAGGGAAGAAAGGAACTGGACTTTGCTTCACCAACAGAGCTCTGAACCGAGTAACGAAATATTTAAACTATTTTGTGATCATTTTGAATTTTTGTTTGTAACACTTAGAGGATATATTTTATATGGGGATAGACTGAGAAGCCATGAAGTTCATATAGGGAGTTCCGCTCCAGGCGCCCAGGCAGATTCTTCAAAGGCTGCCCTGCTCCTTCGACTCTGTCATCTCTTGTTCATAGCGTCATCTTCAGGAGTTTGGGTATGCGGATGCCATCAAGAGACACAATGACAACTGTCTGGAGATACTCTCTACTCTGAGCTCTCCTAGCCAGTCAATCCGGAAGGCTGTGGAAGCTGACTCACCTTCTTGATTAGTGCCCTGCGGCCTAAATGTGGACTTCTTCGCTATAGCCCAGCCTGTCAACTGTCACAAACACATTCATAAACTTCCTGTGGGCTGGGCTAACTTGACGCTGAGGAAATTCCATTTCATGGCAGAGAGAACTCACATTTTTTTTTTTTTTCCCCTGAAATCGTTCCCTCAAATGCCCCGAGATTACCTATTTGGTCATTCATTTAGGACTGAAAAGTGACCCCTCTGAGAATGGCTGGATGGAAATCAAATTGCCTGCTTCCATCCAGAGGAGAGACAGAACAAGGGCTAGTGGTTTTAGGAGGATCTATCTGCATGGTGCCCTACAAAGGGCTGCAAAATCAAGATTCTCAAAGTGCTTCTTCGAATCAGTTACCATTCCTTAAAATGGGTGGTTGATTTTAAATGGTGAATTGGAAATGAAATGCATGCATCTCCTACTGTTTTCTTTCAGTTTTAGTGGTTGCTTATGATAATAATCTATATTTATTGGCAAAATGGCCCTCTCAGGCCATTTTGGGGGGAGAGGGGCAAAATGGACCAGATAGAGGGAATCTGGTTTTTATTCTTTGCTTCAGATGGAATGTGGACAGACCTCACCAAGAACCCCACTAAGCCTAATCTAAAGCCCTAAAATTCAAAATATTGGCCAAAATTCTGGATTCTGGGGAAATTAAAAATGTAAGCATCATCATCTTCAACAATATTTATCAAGAGCTTAGTAGTATTGCACTGGGTACCTTAGAACTCTTAAATCCCTGAAGAGTCTAATGAAAAAAGGGAGCAAGTGAAAAAAGTGGTAACAAGTGAAACGGTCCATAAACAAATGGGAGCAAGATTTAGAACCATTACCAAATGAAAGTCGAAAGGGAAAAATGTAGCAACTACCATCTTTTAATAGGATTGTTAATAGTGTTCAGGTTACCTGTTGGCTTTAATTAAACACAATGGCAAATCCAATAGAAGGTACTAGGGAGACACTCGGGCATTGAGAATTTTGCTTTGGTTGTTTAAAAAATGTGAGAGTGGTAATTAAGAACAAATAGTTCTAAAGTTATGTGTGGTCTTAGTTGGTTTGATTGTGAAGTCCTGCTGGATCTCTGCTAATGAGCCACTTCATGTCAGCATTCCAGGCTCCTGGAGAGGGGGCTTTAGAGATGTCCATCATCACAAAATAGGTTAACTCCTGTTGATGATGAAGTCATAGGTCCAAGATAAGATGTTACTTTCATGTCGCATGTTCACCGCATGCTAATCACATTTGACCAAAATTGGGTGGTACAGTCATTTGTCTACACAGGTCTCGTGTTGCTGCCTGAAGAGGTAGTGGGGAACATAAGACTCACTGGTCTAGAATTGGAGCGAGAGAGGTTCAGGACAGATCCAGTTCTCACCAGGATTGAGTAGGACCACATTCTACAATGGCTTGTCCTATCTGATGACAAAAATGAATCTTGGGGCTAAATGTTTTCAGGAGTATAATTTTAGGCACTTCCAGCAGAAGGTCAGCTAAAAATGTAGAATGACAAAGAATGTGTCCTCCTTTGTCAATACCTTCTTTAGCAGTCAGGCCAGAAGAAGGAGCAGGCACCTTTCCAAGCAGGGAGAGGCATAGGAAATGGAAGAAGGACAACTGCCTGAGATCAGTGTTGGTCCAGAGTGTAAAACTGGGGGCCACCATGGATGGGCTGGCGCACCGTAAGTCATTTAGCAGCCTTGAGGGTCATGAGCAGTGCAAAATCACGTCTCTGTGAGGATGAAGGAGGATGTAGCTAAGTCTAAGAAATCCGTGAACTATGCAGCCATGTGTTCTACTGGATGCATCACGACGCTTTGCAATAACTTAATGCCATAGTAATTCCTGGCTTATAATTCTGCAAGGTAAAGCACTTTTTCAAAGGAGTTTGTTAGAAATCCACATGGTTTCAGCTTGTTTGTTGAGCTCGACAAATATGTTTCCAAAGATATAATCAAATTTTTTCTATTGATTAAAGAAGTATAAATATTAAACCTATCCATAGAGACATTTAAGTGTAATTAAAACATTGTTACGCTTTAAAAATGTATTCTAATAAATGATATAAAGGATAATGCTTATGATGGCACTATGAACTAGAGGAGGACCTGGGGTCACCAGAATCAGTAGTAGGAAAAGTAGATTATATGCATCAGTCTCGTTGTTCTAGTTCGATGTTAGTTTTTACTTGGAGGTTTGGTCTCACAGCCAAAGTCCTGATGATTTGCTTCAGTAAATTTTTCTTGTTTTTGTTATTTTACCTCTTAATAATTGTCAAATATTTGCAACTTCTCTTACTGTTACAATCATACATGTTACCTAAGATACCCACTATAAATCAATGGATATTGTCATGAAAACTAAGAAAAAAAGCTATTGCTCCCCAAAAGTCCACAGCTTTTGGAGTTATGTGGATCCATCTGAACCGATGTGAACTCAGTTTTTCTCTTATTTGAATCAGTCAATCGAAGGGGACTACTCTTGCATTTGAATGATTATGTTAATGATGTTCTGGGGGAAAAGAAGCAGAATCCTGGCATATATTATCACAAAAACGGGGGAGAGGGGCACTCAATGGGTCTAAATCATAGGTCCTCAGGAAAACAGTCATGCAATGGAGGCTCACAATCTGGTGATAGCTGCAGTGAGAAACACCATTGCCAAGGGGATAAAAGTACTAGCATTTTGGCGACATTCTATTTAGAACTTTATGCCACCCCAGCCTGCTCCCGTCATCCGTAGTACTGCCCCAAATGCCTTATCCTTCTCCGTACTCCCAGATCTCCTGCTCAGCTGTTTCTCTTTCCTGTATCTGTGCCCACTGCCCCCCAGCTGGCAGCACACAGCTGCCCTCACTCCTACAGTTCCTCTGGAGTCTTCTCTCCTCACAGCCCTGGGGTCTTCCCTGAATGTTGCTTCCACTTCCTGGGCTTCCATAAAAGTTGACGTTCCCCTGAGGGCACTCCTGTTCCTACATTTCTCCCTTGTTACACAGACTACAAATTGCTGAGATGATGTTCTCGTTTCCAGCTTCTATTTCCGCACCACTGCTTCTTCCCAACTCCCACAAAAATCTCTCATTACCCAAACTCACGGAATCCAGCTACTTTAACTGTTTCCATTCTTTGTCGCCATGATGTAGTCAGTGTCTGTCTCCCAGTCTTTGGCACTGAGCTTCCGGTTTCCACCATTGTTCTGGACGATTTCAGTGATGCTAAGGAAAACCCCCTCCACACTCTTGGCATAGTTGCTTACAGCTTTAACCTCTCTTCAGTTTGGCCTTTTGCCTTCAGGATTACACATTATGCTGTTTCACAACCCAGAACTCTGTGATCCTAAACTCCTATATTCCATTCTGAGAACTTCTATCCTTGCTTCTTTATTCCTTCTGCCTGTTCAGGATTATTAATGCCTGACCTACCTCTACCTTTCCGACAGTACCCCCACCGGACTTCTTCCTTCCCTAGCCTTTCCAGACATCCAGACAGCATCTCAACTATTCCCACCGGCACCACTAACTCCCTTGACCACTTCAGCCAAACCTGCCTGGTGAACCTCCAAACTAGGACCAGGTCTCTTACCACCTGTCTCCACCCTTTTACTTACCTGTTGAGTTAGACCAGAGAAAAATCGTAAAACCGTGGCAGGAGCACCTTTGGAAATGTATGGTTTATCACCTCAGCCATACCTTCATTCCCAAAACTCACAAAAGCTATTCCACTATTCTAAGCCCCTTCCTAAAATTGATGCCACCAAACTGCCTCTTACTTCACAAGCTTCTGCTGGCAGATGTTTCTTCTACCCCAACCCCCCCACCAGCACTTCTCCTAAGCCATGTATGTATGTATCAAGCCTCCCTTCTAGCTCACAGAAATTGCTATTCCTCCTTCCCAGGGGCTCCCAAGAACACTTTCTAATTCACTGCTTCTTCATTCGCTACTCTGGACCAGCTGTTGCCCGCTGCCCCCATTGTTCCATTAAAATTTCTCTTATACAATCACCAATCATCTAGTAACAAAATTCAATAGTTCTGTCTTGACTTCCTTCTTTGATACTGCTGATCATTTCTTCCTTGAAATACTAGTTCACCTCATCTCTTAGAAGTCTCTTTCCTCAGTCTTATTCATTTGAAAGCTTCCTCTTCCTCTGCTCTTAAATGTTATTCACCAGAATTGTCCTTACTTCTTTTCATTCCACTTTTCCCATCACCCAGAGGGGTGATACCCCACCCCACACCCTCTCACCTTCTCTTACATGGACCTTTTAAATGGTTGGCTAACTAATTTCCCTACTGTCTCATTGACATCTGTCCGTTCTCCAAACAGATTGCACATATTGCTGCCAAAGTTGTCTAGGATAGGACAGTGGATCTCATCAAAATCACCTTGAGTGTGTTAAAACAGATATCTGGGCTCTATCCAGAGTTTGTGACTTTGTTGGGGGGAGCTTAAAACTTTCCATTTCTAACAAGTTCCCAGTTAGGTGATGCTGCTGCTGCAGAATCAGAGATTATATTTTGAGAACTCTTGATTTGAGAATTCTCTGGGTCATAAGTCCTAAATTTAAAATCTTTCACTAGCGGTCTTCAGTTCCTAGACTTCTGTCCGCTTAAGAATTACCTGAAGTACTTGCGAAAGGGGCACAGTTTTGGGTTTTACTCTCAAGATTCTGACTTAGCAGATCTGATGTCGTGTCTGGGGATCACACCTTTAAGAACCTGTGACCTATAATAAAAGTTTAAACCCCTTTAATGTGGAATTCAAGTCCTCCTATAACCTATTCTTTGCCTACTTCTCTAGCATCATTGAAGTAGTTAAGAACTAGTGCAAGTCCATGCCTTGGGTTTTTGCACTGCATGAACCATCTCCCTCATTTATGTGGTAAACTTCCAGTCCTCCTTTAAAATGCTTATGTGTTACTGCTGCAGTGAAGTCCTCCGACACTACTGCAGCTTCCAAGCAAAATTGATAACTCTTTCCTGTATCACCTCTGTATCTTGTATGTATACTTCCTTTCTGAACACCTTTGTGTTACAATTATTGATTTACTTACCGGCCTTCTATTAATCAACTCTAAACATCACTATCTCTGGCACCCAGCAGTGTCCAGTACATAATAATTGCTCAGTAAAGAGAAATGGGGGAGGGGTGGTGGTGGTGGCGATTGATAGGTTAGGGAAAGCAGCTTATGGAATAGAACATAGAACCAGAGTACACAGGATATTGGGGAACATTCCCATCATGCCCATCCCTGTCAACTACTTTCCTCTACTTACCTACCTTAAGCCACCCAAACTGACCAAGCACCTTCCTTTCTTTGTATCCAAAGTTCACCCAATTGATCTTTGCCAAACCATTTTCCACACACCACTTAATATCCCAGTAAATAATCACCAAAAGGCCACCCTTTACTGAGTATGCATCTCCTATCACTAAGCAAAGATGTCATTTCTCTCACATGATGCATAAGTAATAGGATACATAGGTAACTAGTAATTTTTCTCTTCCCCATCTGAATGTGGCACAAAAAAGGGCAGCTGAAGTGTATAGGAGCATGTTGAACTGAAAGCGATCTCCCTGAGAGAAATATCTGTCATTCAGCTGTCATATCTGGAAAGAGAGGAAGGCACTTTGCAATTCTTATAGCCAAAACTAGTTTTTATTTTGTATACTTCCTTTTTTTTTAGCCAGCCTGGCATCTGGTCCTCCTGTGCTAGTTTAGGATATGGCAAAGACAGGTCAAACCAGATGGGGTGGGGGGATTAGCTTACAAAAGTAGTCTGTTATCTCTAATCAGTTATCAGGGCTGTGTTTCAGAGGCAGAACCAACTCGGAGCCATTTTGATGAGACACATTTGCGCTAAGACCACCCATTTTGCTTTTAACTGTCAATCCCATCATCAGGATGTTTGTTAGGACAAAAGAAAGCCTATCTTTAAGATCCTCAGGAAAGAATACTGAAATGGCAACTTTCCTGCCACCCCTTCACTCCAAGAACCACCATATTTAGGATGAACCATTTACAAAAACAAAAATACACTGTGGTTACCTTGCTAGTTTTCCAATATACCTAAATTTTTCCCACTGTAGGCCACTGCCCTTGCTATATGGCTCAGTACTGCTTCATTGCTCTGCTCTTTGCTCAGAAATTATCTTCTCAAAGATGCCTCCTAGCAATGCCACTCTTAGTACTTTCTATCTCTTGCCCCGATTTTCTCTTTACATTTATTATTACTACCAGGAGACATTAGATATAAATTTATTTACGGCACATATTGCAACCCCCAAATTGCAAGTTCTATAGAGGGTAGGGCCTTTGTATCTCTTATTCACTGCTATCTATATCCTCAGTGCCTAACAAAGTGCCTGGTGGTCAACATGTATTTGCTGAATAGCTGAACAGACTTAGCTCGATTGCTGAATAATAGAACTTAAAAAAAAAGTATACACAACAAAATACTTAAGGAAACCATGGTTAATTTAAACATAGCAGTTACCCTGGGTAGATTATATATATATATATATATATGTATACACACACACCTACCCCTCATCATGCTGCCCTTGTTGAAAACCTATTGGGAACTCTTCTGCAAGAACTGTTTTCAGAGCCAGTTTATGAATTACGATTGGTCTTTTTACTTCATAAGTCATATTGTGTTTCATCAAAAAGTTCACAGTGTAAAAAAGCCAAACCAAGCACAGAAAACAGATGAGAATATATTTCAGGCTCTCAAGGCCTCAGAAATTTAGATGACCAGTCACATCAATGGACTAAGATCACCTCTCAAGAACACAGACATGGACTAAAATGGTTAGTAATGCTCACAAACGTAGAGGTTCTGGAATTTGAAATAAAAAACACACACATTTTAAGCACAAAGTATCAGAGAACAAAGAGGTAACTTCTTCTATTTCACTTCTGCTTGAAACTCCGAACATGCCGCTGTAGGTGGGCTGCTGCCCAAACTGCATCCAAGACTTGCCCATTCTTTTAATCAATCGGGATCTTCAACCTGCCCATCTGCCCATACTCCAGCCCACATGGCATTTGCACTCATCTTCTCCCACTGGTCCAGCCATACACCTCCTCCTTCGTGAGTGCAAGCACTCTAAAGACTTTGTCTTACAAAGTATTATTTCAAACACCTAATAACTAAGGAAAAATCTTAAGAGGCAAAAGAAGTGAAAGAATGGGGAAAATGACAGCTATATCCTCTGAGTTTCAGGATAGCAGCTGATTCTTAAGTATTTTTAAATGTCATTGGGCGGAACAAAATGCTGCATTCCCATTACACAGAAATGCTTGCTACCAATACGCAACAAAGACTCCCACCCAGAACTATAACCCACTCTGTGCCCCATGTATTCCAATACTATTAGGCAGCCAAAAAGAAAGAGAATGGCAACTGTCAGGCAACTCCACTGATCTCCCTTTTTGTAGCAGGAAGGCCAATGAGGACTAAAGATAATCAAGGGACTGGAAGGAAAGCAGACACACTAAAGGTACGGTATCAAGTGATATATGAGAGGTGTTCATAAATGAATGAGTTGTTCCACAGCCATACAAACAGATCAATCTCTTTACTGGAGAGGAACACCTCTTGTCCTGTGTATTATTCAAATGTACTAACACATGAAAGATCACATCACCTTGTTTGTGGATACATTTAATATCCCTTACCCTTCCCACCTTTCAAAACATAATAGTATACAAAATATAAAATATCTTAAATATTTATAAAAATCGCAAGAAAAAAATAGAACGTATGAAAATATTTTTATCTGAGTTCTCCCTCATTGTTGAGAGGCAGCTTAGTTTGCCTTGAGTTCGTAACTGTTGAGTGGGTAGGAGTATGCCCTGCCTAATACTATTCTGTCCCGAAGAAGTTTAAATAAAACATAGTAGTTGCAGAAGAGGATGAGAGCCATGGAAAGCGTGTGGTTCCACTTCTCCGACCGCAGCAAGGAATAAAGCTGGTAGAAGACGACGCTGCCTTCAATAAGGATAAGCAGATTTAACAGCCTTAATGGACGATGAAATAGGAACTGTAAGGAAGTCAAAAAGCAAAACATTATTTCACAGAAAAGCGAAGTAGTTATTCTCCCATTTTTCTCCTAAAATAATTTCATATTTATAGGTTCCTATATCAGTAACACATGGATCTGCTTACTGAACATCAATCAGGCTATTTCTTGCTGTAGAGACCCAAACTGTTTCTTTCCTCTTTGTTCAAGGAATAATGAAATAAATTTTATTTCAATGCCCTGAGACACGAAAGAGCATAATACCCAAAAGAACTGCCTCTAAACATTTTCTTAAATTATATCTTGGGTATATATCTTATTTGAGATGATCAAAAAGTACATTAATCTAAGACAGGAGCTGGACAAAGAATTGGATGGAAAATATCTTAGACTTTGCAAGTCAAGAGGCAAAAAAGTGAAGACATTATATAGGTAGATACTTACAGTATGTAAAATGAACCATTTAAAAAAAGCAAAAATCATTGTTAGTTTACAGGCTGGTCTAAGACATAAACACACTAGACAAGGCTGGAGGCGGGGGCGCAGGAAGCATTACAAACTGAAATATCAAAACAATAATTTCTTAATGTTCCCTTAAACTGTTTATCCATCATCATCACTGACTCAAATCCTCTACACTGTGGATTTCTGCTGTTGTTTTTTTTTTTTTCTTTTTTTCTGGATATTGAGAAGTAGAGTACACAGGACAATTAGGAAGGAAGGATAAATCAGTCAGAATTAGAGTTTAGCTAAAAACATGGCTGCTCACTGTTTTCACTCCCACCAAACTCTTTACTTTAAATGGCTAAATTCTGGTTTACTAATAAAAACATATTATGAATAGAAAGATAGAGGTCATTGGTTGCAAACTGTGGCAATGGTAGTATATCAGATCTAAATAAACTAATTTAGACCTGAACTTCAAATCTGAGAATAAAGTCACATCATCCTAACACCTCTGAAAGGTAGTCAGCCAGGTTCTTCTAGTCAGCCAGGTTCTTTGGGTCCTTCTTTGGGAGGAAGAAAATGTTTAACCTGGGTTATAGCATATGATATCCAGTAATATCATGTATAAAACTGGCACAGAATTCACCCAGCAGAAATGAAGCTAGGAAGTTTAATACCTTGATGACTTCACTCTCCTCCATCCTTCTGTTTCTTGCCAATGATTCCTGTTGGTCACATCACCTGGCAACAAATGGGCAAAGGAGCCCATTGATGCCATCAGAGAGATTACCCTCCTTGCACATAAGGCAAGCTCTAGAAGATGGCAAGTGGGTCTGGAGGTACAAGTGGAAAATATCCAGTACCAGAGATTTTTTGGGAGAAAAGTTCCCTCTTTTCTAAGAAAGAGATGCAGGACTATTAAGACCTGTTCTCTCTTTCTCCCCTGGATGTTGTTATATCTGGATACACAGCTTGGAACTGCTAAAGTCAATTGCTCCCTTTTAGAGAATGCACTGCACAGAGTCTGACAGAACAGAGAAATGGGATGATCCTGGGTCCTTGGTGATATCCTCAAACTCTAAATCAACTGCCCTTCCTCTGATTTCCCTGTTTGTGAGATAATACAATTAATTATTTTAAGCCACTCTGAGTGTGTTTTCTTTTACTTGAAACTTCTTACACCATAAATGGATAGTGAGCTGCCTTGAGTGGCATTCTTTCTAGCTACTAATGAATAAAGTTCTATGGACTAAAAAAAAAAAAAAAGAAAGGCTCAGAATTAATATTCCAAAAGGACTCAAGCAATGGGAGTTTCTGTAGCAAATATAACAATTAAAATTAAATGTGCCAGTAAGCTATAAACTGAATGAGTAGAAAGGTTGAGTTTTAACTTGTAGCAGCTATAGGTAGTCGGCACATTTATTTTTTTATAAGCCAATTAAAAAAAATTTTTTAAAGACTTTTATTTGTTTATTCATGAGAGACACACACAGAGACATAGGCAGAGGGAGGAGAAGCAGGCTCCCTGCCGGGATCCCGATAAAGGACTCAATCCCAGGACCCTGGGATTACACCCTGAGCCAAAGTCACACGCTCAACCCCTGAGCCACCCAGGTGTCCCAACTGGCACATTTTAAATGAGTGTTCTCAAATTTCAATGTGCCTAAGAATCATTTCCAAATATGTAAATGCTGCAAATTCCTGGAATCCTTTGGATGTTCTGATTTAGAAGTCTGAATCACTTCAAAGAGTGAGCCAGGTGATTTATATGCAAGTGGCCCAAAGAACACTTTGAGAAGCACTGATTTACCTGTTTGGTCATACAAAATCAGTAATAAGCTAACTTCCCTAATCCTTATTCTTTGAATTTCACCTGATTTTCCAGCTGTCCAATACACCAGCAAGAAAAATACTTATTTTTCAAACAGAAAACTCCAGTAGAATATCTGCTTATTACAAGTTTCAAGGGGACTGCAAAGGTCAACAGAAGCCATTAATGGCCTATGGAATACAGCTGATTGAATTAAATATACCACTTAGAAACCAAATGCTTACAAGTTGTGACTGAGGTCTACTCCTCTGCCTTAAGGCAATTCCAAAGGAGTCTAGAAGGAGTTGCTGGTAGTTTCCTCATTGAACTTTGTACCTGGCCCATGGTCCTCCCAGCCCCCACTCTGCCCAGGCCTCACACCCTCCCCCATAGTATTTACAAGTATCCAGCCTCGTGAAGTTCCCAGTATTTAACTGAAAGGCCCTTAGCAGCAAACATCTGCAGAACAGAAAGTCCATAAACCCTCACAAGGAACTGGGAACGAGTGAGAATGAGATTTAAGTATCTCAAAAAAGGGCAGCCCTGGTGGCACAGCGGTTTAGTGCTGCCTTCAGCCCGGGGTGTGATCCTGGAGACCCGGGATCGAGTCCCGTGTCGGGCTCCCTGCGTGGAGACTGCTTCTCCCTCTTCCTGTCTCTCTGCCTCTCTCTCTCTCTCTCTCTCTCTGTGTCTGTCATGAATAAATAAATAAAAAATCTTAAAAAAAAAGTATCTCAAAAAAGATCTCCAATTCTTTTTTAGACAAAGGCAATGCACTGTACTATGAACAGTCCCCTGAATGCACCTTCTTTCCCCCACTGACACTGATCAGCTAGCCTTTCTAGCTAGAAATAAATACTTCTGCCTCCTAGAGTCAGAATTTCCAGAAACTGAAAGATCAAATAGGACACAATCCAAGGCATAAATTCAAATGGAATAGAAACTGAGTTTAGTGGACATCTATTGCTTCTTCCTTTAAATTTTTTAAGTCTTTTTTCTCTTAATCCAGGAAAAGGTAAATGGCCAGACGTCATGGCATTTGTATTACTTTCAGAAGGGAAGTCAAGGTTGTTTAAAGAGGTGCTATGACAAATACCACCCCCCCACAAAAACTCAAAACAAAAACAAAAACAAAAAAAACCAGCCCCCAAAATAAAACAAAAACTCAAACGCAACAAAACAAAACCATTATTATTATATTAAATAAGACTTAAGAATACACAGACACAATATAACAAGGATACCACTAAACTATTAAAAATAAAAATTGTAAGATTAAAAAGGGAAGTCTTAAATAACCGTCTACTTGTTTCAGATAATACTAGATGCAATTCTGATACGACTTTAAACTGTTGAAGCTGGAATAATGGTATCTGATCTTCAAACTGTCTTTCATAATACATTTCCAAAAGATAAGGGGCATTATAGTAGTAGTAATAATTCCATGTATTAATTTCCTAGTATGAGCTACACACTGTGCGAGGTGCTTACACACATAGTGGCCTCCTAACACTTACCACTAAGTTTATGTTTGAAAAGAAATAAGTGGTACTTGCATAAAAGCGGGCATGGGATACGTCTGAAGGCACTGCCACGTTGTAAGGCCCCATGGCTCTATATAAGCATCTGCTGTGTCGCACCAGCACCCCCTGAGGCCATATTGTATTTTCTGACCAACTAAGGGAGAAAAAAATGCAACGTTAGCATATTGGCAATTACAGATAAGACAGTGTCTGGCAAGGCCAATTACATTTCTATGGAAGGAATTAAGTATTCAAAGCTTCATCTGCCTGAATTCTGAGAATATAGTAATTGCATAGTCAAACTGGAAAGTTCGGAAGGATCTGTTCTTATAACTTCATTGCTATAGTAGAGAGGTTGCAAAGTGATACAGTTAACTCAGTGTCAAAGGACCTATGAGGCTTAGGAAATTAATGTGTAAGGCACCTATGAGCCAGAAAATCGAGTGCAAGCAAGTGGACTGCCACCTCAATCCCAAATGAGCAAAAATATTGATGGAAATGCTAGAGAGAACAAACAAGAAGAGAAAATGCATAGTAGTAAGAATAGTGGAGAAATGAACACGCTGTCAAATTAGCATGACGTTTACCGCAGAATTACATCCCCCAAAGGTATAGAAAATCAGTCTATTTGTCACATACTTCAAATGCCTCATACATACGTGAAGCTATACAGAACACAGAGACACACAAGGTACTGACACACATACTTTTCTTTTTACCGCTTTCTTGGTTTATTTTTATAGAAGTTTCTTTAGCAAAAAGAAGTTATGGAAGAAGCTTCATTGTTTCCAGCACCAATGTGATGGAGTTGGGGTGGGGATGGGGATCTTCAGGTTAAGCTTTTTTAAAAAAAAATCTAAGTTAATTCATCTCTTCCTGATTTTGGAAAGGTTAGTTTCCTAGGGTAAGAACTGGGATAACATTTTAGATATATTAAAACAAAAAAAAAGGTCTAGCACCCTAAAGCTTTCCCAGTTCAGAAAATGTTCCGTCGGCCTTGCTCACACTTACCAGCATTAAAGTGATGATACACCTCATGGCCATGTGCCATCAGGAGCCTGAAGATGTACAGTACTAGTACTGTGGATTGTATTTTCAATTTTTATTGAAATTTTCCTTTGCCCACAGTCGGGTTTCTTTTCAGCCTGGCCCAATCTCTTTCAGTTCCTGGGCTTGAAGGCCTGTGCTAATCTGTATCAGACATCAAGGCAGATAATTGAAGGGATGACTCTGAGGGGGAGAGGGGAAGGGGAAAGTCCCCTCAATCTGTCCCACTTCATTAGGAAAGAATTTCTAGGTGATGAAATTTGTGAAATGTTCCAATTATAAAAGGGAGGAAGATGAAGATGGTCCAGGTCTGAGAGGAAGGTATGGCAAAGGACTCAGAAGTGAGAGAACAAAAGGGTTCTAAAGTTAACCACTTTGGATCATAGGGACCATGCACAGAAATGACTGATAAGGGGACACAATGAGAGGAATACTCACAGAGAACTCAATTAGGGACAGTTTTCATTAAATATGGGAAAAGCAGGGAAACATTCATTAGCAAGTTTAGGAAAAATAATAAAAAATGCAAGCAAAGAAAATTACTAGAACAAATTTACATTTATTAGAAAGGAAAGATGAGAGAAGCAAATTTTAGCTGTCTGAGTGTGAGATGATTAGCTAGCAACCATTAAGCTGTGGCAATGAAGAAAAGATGAATTTTACAATCTTCCAAAGAGAATTAAAAATATATCATGACTCTGTCAATCTGGGCAAAGGGTTAAGACTGAAAGAAAACTCCACTATTACAGCCTGGGAAACAAATTATACACTCCAGGGTAACCGGGCAGCTGAAAGGTAGGAGGCATTTAAGGAGGGACTGGGGATGGTGGTGGGAATGAGTTAATGTCCCCTGTGTTCAGTTTAGAGTGATGACAAGCATCCATGTAGACAAAAAACAAAAAATTAATGTTCAAAGCCAAGAACAAGAATGACATACAAAGCAAATAAACATGATCAGCAGCATGTAGAAAGGTGTTATATGGTTTTACCCTTTGGCTACTCACATGTGCTGTGGAGCATTGCTGTAGGACCCATGTTCGAGCTTCTGCCACTTGCCCAGGTGAGCAGCTGATTTATGTAGCAAATCACAGTATTTGGATGGCAGCAGTTGTGTGGTGAGCATGACAAAAGCATTGATCCACACCATAATGAGGTGCTCACATGACCAGCGCATGTCATAGTACTGGGTACTCTGGAAGAGATCAGAAGAGAGAGAAATGATCCATGCACTGTTAAGCAAGAAGGTAGGGGTGGGTGCGTGTACATACGCCCTGCAGACAAATGCCATACTGAGTCACACATGCATGGGTTGTCCTGCTGTCCGTGCAGAAAGTTCAAGAGCAGAGTCCTCCAAAATCCTTCAACCTGACTTTCTGGCTGTATGAATTAGGTTGGGAGGGAGAGGCGATTATATTTTAAGTGCTTCCTTTCTAGAAGAGGTGAGTGCCCTCTGTAAATGACCACTCCAGCTGCAGATGTGCTTCTCAATAGGTGAAAAAAGGGCACTAAAATGTCCCAAAAGACTTTGGGCCCAAGTGACATCCAGACCATTTCTCTCTTCTACTGAAGTAAATTGAAATTTAGATAAAGGTTAGATTAAATTCAAGGAAACTCCTGATTAACCATGTTAAGACCAACCACAGTAGGCTGAATTTTATTAAAACCTCAATCCTCTTTTTTTTTTTAAAAAAAAAACCTCAATCCTCTTAAGCTACTACATACTGATTCTATCATAAACACAAATTTTATTTTCCCCGGAAACTGGAAAAAAAATTAAAAAAAAAAGAAAACTTTAAAAAAGAAAAAAAGAGGGGACCACCACGGGTGCATCACATATATGGAAATACCTATCCGCCAACCAGGAGCGGTATTAGTGCACTCCGGATGCAGCCGAACTCCACCATCCAGGCTGCCAAAGGGGAGACAGAAAAAAGGGGGATTAAATAAGAAATACCCAGTTTATGTCATTCACACACAAATCCAGGAAGCACATAAAAGTAACCACTTACCTTCACAAAACACAGGGGGAGAAATGCAACATAGTAGGCACTGAAGAGGGAGTTGAAGAGAACTTCCTTGATTCTGTGGTTGAAATCTGCTTTCAGACATTCAACTTCATTGCGAATAAGGTCTGGAGATAGGGGGCAGCTGTGGGTGGGGATGGGCGTGGCATTATTAAACTGTTCTTTTAGAGACTCCAGCAATAGGGAGAGAAAGTCTTTGGATTTGGCCAAGCCACCCACAGTTGAGGCACTTTCTTCTACAGCCTGCTGCTGAACCATATAGTTATAGTCTGTGAGAAGAAGATGAGCTCTACTATCTTGGTGAAAACAGCAGAGAGGAACATAAACGCCAAACCTGCAGAAAACAGTAAATATGATAATGAGACCACAGACGTCACCATAGATCAAATCTGGTAACTATGTTAGTAAAATAGTCATTCACCAGAATGAACATAATATAAACAGGGACTCTGCTGACGGTAAATTCATTATTGGGGAAGTTCTTTAATTTCTTCTCACAAAGGCAATACACGTTCACTGTAGAGTAACAGAAGACTATACAAAATCACAATGACAAAACAGAAAACATGTAAAAACGATCGCTTTTAGAATTTTTACAACTGGGTGCACAGACTTCATACTTGTATACATTTGGCCTCATTAACTGTTTTGTATCTTTGTGTGTTTATGTATGGGTACCTATTTTGAGCATTTTTTCACGTCATTAAATATTTTTTCTATAACAATTTTTTAAAAATACTAGTAGTCTCATACAGATGTACCATAATTTACCTGTTTCTCTCTTGTTGGAAACCAGCGGTTTCTTACTTTGCATTACCATATGAATGCATGGATAAGCACTTTCCTACATGATCTTTGTGTCATCTGGTAATTTTCAAATGGCATGCCCTTCACCTCAAATTTCCCCTTCTTAATGAGGGGCTCCTCTGCCTCCCCACTACATCACCTACCTCAATTCTACAGGCACTCCTAGTTCCCTTCCCCCTGCCTAGTTATTTTTCTTCACAGATCTTACCACTTCATATATTTTACATGTCTATCAGGTTTTTTATTTGGGTGGGATTTTTTTGGTTGTTTTTTGGTCTATCTTCCCCTTACTACATTGTAGGTTCACTGTACCAGAGATTTGGGTCCGCTTAATTCACTGCTATACCTTGATGTCTAGAATAGTGGCTAAAACCTAGTCGGTACTAAGTAAATATTTGATATATTAATGAAAACAATTCTAGAAGTACCTTAAATAAATTTTTATAAATAGAATAACTTGGTTAAAGGACTGAATATTTTTGAGACTTTTCATAACTTCTGATAGTTATTTCAACCTCGGTTCCTTAAAGCTTTTTAAAATACTTTTCCCCAGTCCTCATAAGTAATGTCCACATTGTGACTTACATATTGTAAATAAAACGGTCATTTTGCAGGCATAAATTCAGGTATGAAAAATAGCAAATACAGGGCAGCCCTGGTGGTGCAGCGGTTTAGCGCCGCCTGCAGCCTAGGGTGTGATCCTGGAGACCCTGAATCAAGTCCCACGTCAGGCTCTCTGCATGGTGCCTGCTTCTCCCTCTGCCTGTGTCTCTGCCTCTCTCTCTGTGTGTGTCTCTATGAATAAATAAATAAATAATCTTTAAAAAAAATTTTTAAAGAAAAATAGCAAATACAAAGATATCCTATTTAGTAATTTTATAAAATTTTATAAAAATATTAACAAATTCACCTGTTTACAGTTTTCTATAGAGGGAGAAAGAATGAGCTTGTTATAAAGTAAGAGAATGGGTAGCAGCTCTGGGACCCACTGTGAATGTACCCTGGAGTAGTAGTGTGGGAGGGAGTAAATGCAGAGGCAACAGAGTTCACACATGTGCAAAACTGTGAAGGCCAGAGAAACCTGTCAATGTTGCTGAAACACAAACTACACATGTAGAGGTGAGACAAGAGGCTAGGGTGCTAGGGTGTGTGGCAGGTTGCAATAATGGCCCCATTTCTTAACTCTTCCTGTAGTCTTACTGCACAGCCCTCGCTCTGTGTATGAAGTGACCTTGCCTTATCCCCACAATGGGCTCAACAACGTGACCTGTTCTGGCCCATGGACCTCTTGGCCCACCATGAAACATGATGTGATCAGAAGCTTGAAATGGGCTTGCACACTGGGGCTTGCTTTCATGCCATTCGATCAATTTCATGTGTCCATGCCTAGCCTGCTAGAGCATGAAAGACATGTAGAGCAGAGCTGACTTTTCCTAGTTACTTAAACTGATAGTCAATCCCACAAGTGTGACTGAACCCAGCTAAGACCAGGAGAGCTTCCTGACTTCCAACTGAATCCATTGCATGCAAGTAAGTACATACTGTGGTATGCTACCATGGTTTTGCAGTTGTTTATTACAGCATTATATGGCAATGGACAACTGATATAGGGTACAATGAGAGAAACTAGAAAGACAGTATAGTATCGAAGGCTTAGACTTTGGAGGGCTCTGTAAGATGAAGAGGGTAAAGGAAACGATTCATTAAAGAATTTTAAAGAGGGTTAGTAACATGATCCAACTTCCATTTTGAAAATCATTACAGTTACAATGGAAAATGGAAAGGAGGGCAAGAATGGATCGCCAGAAAACCAGACAGAGGTTTAGAACATAATAGCAGAGGTTACAGAGAGCAGTAGATTCAAGATAAACCTAAGAGCAACAACCATTAGTCATTGGACTAAACTACCCCAAACTGAGAAGCTAGCTGAGAATCAAAAAAAAAAAAAAAAAAAGCAGAAAAGAATCCCTTTTTTAACTTATGAACAAACAAGAAAATAAAAATGTAGTTATTGTCATTGTCTAATATGTTAAATTTCTCACACTTTTTAAAATTTAAGTTATTGACTTTTAAAAAGTGAAGGCAAATATATTTAAACATAAAATCTGTTTAAATTATATGCTTATTTCATTGTTTTACAAGAGTGTGGAGAGCCTTCAAAAATAAGTTTCTTTATATTCCTAAATCAAAATGGAAAAGTTTACTAGCCATTTTGATATGGTAATCCTTTTAAACCTGGCCAAAATATTCCTTGATGTATCCATAATTAGCCCTTCAAATCAAATACAGTTAAACTTAACTGATTCAACCAGCTGTTGTTGAGAAACAGAATAATGACATCATTTGAAATCAAAGCAGTTAAAATATTAATCCAGAAATATAGAAACTGATGTAAAATATATACACCTTATAAGAAATATGAATCATGAAATATGATGTTTATAATATAGAGCTAATCTTGTAGGAAAAAGGGTAATACTAATGAACTAGGTTGATGACTGCCTTAAACAGTATAATTGGAAAAACAAATAGTATAATTAGAACTATTGTAGCACAACCAATAGACTCTTCCTGCCATCTCTGCCCATATTATCTCTGATTAGACCTTGATTTTATGCTATGTAACTACCCATTTAAATCCGTGCTTACATTTCAGCACTCTAAATGGTTATCTAAGGGATCCCTGGGTGGCGCAACGGTTTAGCGCCTGCCTTTGGCCCAGGGCGCGATCCTGGAGACCCGGGATTGAATCCCACATCGTGCTCCCGGTGCATGGAGCCTGCTTCTCCCTCTGCCTGTGTCTCTGCCTCTCTCTCTCTCTCTATCATAAATAAATAAAAATTTAAAAAAATAAAAAATAAAAAAATAAATGGTTATCTAAAGCAATGAATCTCAAACTTGAGCTAGAAAGAATCATCTGGAGGGCCTGTTAAAAGACAAATTGCTGGGTCCTACCTTCTGGAGTTTTTGTTTCGGTAGATTTGAGGTAGATTCTGAGAATTTCTATTTCTAAAAAATTTCCAGGTGATGCTGATGCCGCTGTTCTGGGAACCACATTTTGAGAACTACTAATTAGAGTAATGGTGCTGATAAGAGCTCTGGAATCAAAAAGACCTGAGTCTTTCTCACTAACTGACCATAAGAAAGTTTTTTAGCCTCTCTGTCTTTACCTGTGGCAAAGCCTGCTAATTGTCTGCCAATAGCCACCATTCTCCTGTTCTTCCACTGCAAAAGAATTTTTAGTTGAGATACAGCTGTTCTACTAAACACAAATTTCCAACAACCCTCATAATCTATCCTGCTAGAGAGGGTGGAGCAAGAAAGACAGCAGAAGCCTGGGTCCCAACACCACGGATCTAGCTGCCACAACTATCCAAGACAATTTATACACATACTGTACAGAAGAGAGGAATAAACTTCTCAGTTAAACCACTAGTACTTTGGATCTGTTATGTCAGACTAAATACACAGCCTCCTGGGTTATGGTGATGATTTCATGAGGTGATGCTTATAAACACCTAGCCCAGCACCTGGCACAGAACTTGTTGCTTAATAAATGGTAGCTATCCACTAATATCCAATGAAGAAAGTATTAGCCCAAGGTATACAAATTAAACTATGCAGAATAGTTTAAAAGCCAGTAACAAGATACTACTATTCACTTACCAGCACGGCTAAAATTTAAAAAACAGAAAACATCAAATGCTGATAAAAATGTGGAGCAACCAGAATGCTTACAGAATTGATGAGAGGATAAAATGATACACCTTCCTTGGGAAAAAGTCTGGTAGATTTTTATAAAACTGAACATATATCCTTCTACCTTATGGCTTAGTAAGGCCTCTCCTAAGTATTTCTTTCAAGAGAATGAAAAGATTTCTTACAAAAAAGATTTATAAGAATGTGCCTGTTTTATTTTTAGTAATAGCCCAAAACTAGAAACCCAGGTATTCAACAGAATAAATAAGTTTTAATATATTCATACAATGAAACATTACTGACACATGGAAGATTCTCAAAAGCAACAATATTTATCCCCACTTAGCTTTGAGACTCCTTGTTCACCCCACTCCTTCAAAATAAAGCAAGCGAATTCACTAGATCACCTGACCTTTGAGGGTCTTATTTATGTATCATTAGTCTATCTAAGACATTTTTGTATCAGAAGACTTCAGTGCCTCATATATCTTATTAAGTAAATTTTGTTACATTCTGAATCACTGAAAACTGGTTATCTGCTTATGATTTATTCTATAAACTGGAATATTTGATCCCTACGCTCCTGACTATTCTGAATTCTCACACTGTGTGAGAGAAGCCTTACAACTAAAGTGTATATACTGTAGGGTTCTATTTATATGAAATGCTAGAACAGGCAAACTAATCTATGGTGGGAAAAATCAGGATAGTGATTATCTCTGGGAAGTGGAGGATGGGTTTGGAAAGAGGCATGAAGGAACCTCTGGGATAATAGACCTCTGGGATAATAGTCATGTTGTACACTGGGATAGAGGTTTGACTTACAGGTATATGCATTTATCGAGACTCAGCAAATATACACCAGATTTATGAATTTGATTTTATGTATGAATCTTACCTCAAAAGAAAAACTGTAAACAAATATCAAATTCTAATAATTGATATGCATATACTGACCTATTTTGGAGGAAGTTGAGGTCTGCAATTTAACTTTGAAATGTACCAAAAATAAGATGGACTGATGGATGGACAGAGGACTAGTTGGACAGTTACGTGTTGTGCAATTATAGTAAAATATTAATGGATGGAATCTAGGTGGGGTAACACAGGTGTGTGCTGAAAAATTCTTTCAATCTCATGTTTAAAATTTCCATCATAAAAATAAATAAATAAAATAAAATAAAATAAAATAAAATAAAATAATTTCCATCATAAAATGCTGGTCAAAAAAAAAAAAAAAAAAGGACTTAAGTGCACAGGGCTTATTCCTGTTACGTGAACCCAAAGATCAAAGTAATCTGACCAAGAGTTAAGACTGGTGAGTCAGTTCATTGAACTAATTACCCACCATTTGTGCCAACATAGGCAGTATTTGCATGCTTTATTTGATAAAGAGCACCAATTAAATGCTCTCCATTGGTAGAATGGCCATACCTCTCAAGTTTCTTGGGACAGTCCTGGTTCATGCCTACTGTCCCAATTGTATCGTCGTATAAAAAATAATTATATGGTTACCCTACCCATGGGTTTTTCATATTTTCTGAGCTTTTGGTTTATATTTGAAGAATTTCATCTTCCTCACTTTTATACTATTATTTGCTTGACCCAAATAATTTCCTTAAAAACTTACTAATAAAATGGTAAAACTTGAGTACTCACGGGTAGCCAAGGAAAAGTAGATTGAGGACTGAATGGCTTCGGAAGAGATTGACGAGGGTCCAACAAAGTACCCATCCACATAAAGTGAGTAGCACCAAGCGAGCTGATATCAGAACCATGTAGTGAATCATAGATGCTGCACCCGCCTTAGTGGCCTGAAAGTTTGGAAGCACCAAAAGGAACACACTTTAGAAACTGCTGTATTCAAAAGCAATGTGACTCAAGGAATCAGTAGATTTAGTAGAAATCTGCCCCAACGGGGGAGGAAAGAAGAAAAACTGCCCCATTTCATCTTATCTTACTCATTTTTAAAGATTCAGACTTCTCCAGGCAATTCATTGTTTCCTCCTTGCATTCCCACAGTGTCTCATACAGACCTCACTTAAGTTCTTAGGACATTGTCTAATTTTTTTACATTGGGGCTTCTCAAAGTACGGTCCATGAACCACATTCATCAGAATTACTTGGGCTGCTTACTGAACTTGCAAATTCCTACTGTCAGTCCTTACCAGATATAGGGAACAAAACTGTAAGTCAGGGAACCTATATTTTAATAATTCACCAGGTGGTAAAGATAGTGAACCATTAATTTATCTGACTTCAGACTAAACAGTAATAGCCTCAATAGTAGCAACACTGTTTCCATTTTCCTTGGAATCCTCCCCCCAATCTATTTGCCCAATTAATGTTTAACGAATTACTGAAGCTTCAAAAAATAATCAGATCTTCTCTTACAAATCCTTATATAAATAAAAGCTCCTTTTCTGACTTTTGCAAACATGGAAATAATGGACAATCACTTCCGCTTCTTTATATCACAGCTATTCAAATATTTTCCCTTAACCACACATTTTAAAAACAGATTAAATATAGTAAGAAAGCATACTTGTCTAAACGTGAAGCTCTGCAATGTTATTCTCTTTCAGAATGAACTAGGAAGACAAGGAGCAAAATGCAGGGGAAAACGGCAGAATGCTACAACCTCAAAGCAGCAGTGTCCAAATACAAAGGGGAAAAAATTATGTGGGGTCGAGAGTAACGGGAGGGGGTAAGGAGCTTTTCAGGTCCTTCATCTTCATCTATCCATTTCTTAGTTTTCCCAATATACAACGCAGCATCTGTAACATATATGCGCTATGGTTCCTTATAAATGCAAAAAGCAGTTGAATTAATACCCTAAGCCTCAAACCATAGAGAAGGTTCAAACTAACCGTTCTCAGTAACAGCAGGGCAAAAATGCGTATCACTCCCGATACATGGTCTCACGACTATGTACCTTACATGTCAAAGCCTAAGGAAGGCATTTAAACTGCTAGGATTACTCTATTGCCTCCATTTTCAAAATTAAGAAGGCTGGGCTTCTGCCCTATGTCACCAGATAGCAGAACCTGAATGTATTTATCATTTCTGTCTTATTCCAGAGCCCAAACTCCTAATTACTATGCTATGTATGACAGATACCGTATCAGGTCCTAGGGATACAGTAATAATCAAGACAAGTTAGAACTCTGTCTTTATGAGGCTGCCCAAGAAAGATAAATACTAAACTTATATTTACACAAATAATTATTTTTACAATTGTGGTAAGTGCTACAGGAAAAGGCTGTTAGGGAAAGCAAATAACAAGAACCCAACCTAGGGAAGCCTTTCTGAGGAAGCGATATTTTAGCTGAGATCAAAGAAGAAGCAAAAATGAGCTAGGTAAGGAGTAGAAAAATATTCCTAATATGTTAACTGAGAAGTACAGTATATATGCAAATAAAAATTTATATATCAGCATACGGTCCTTTCAATAATGAGATTGTAATTAAAAATTTTTTCTGCTTTTTATTTTAGTGTATTCCAATTTTTTTCCAATAAAATGTACTACCTTCCTATTTAAAAGGTTTTTATTTTTTTTAAAGATTTTTATTTATTTATTCATTCGAGACATAGAGATGGAGAGAGAGAGGCAGAGATACAGGCAGAGGGAGAAGCAGGCTCCATGCAGGAGCCCGATGTGGGACTCGATCCCGGGTCTCCAGTATCAGGCCCTGGGCTGAAGGCGGCGCTAAATCGCTGAGCCACCCGGGCTGCCCTAAAAGTTTTTTAAAAAGGGAGTTGCCTCAGGTGGGTAGAAGAAGACTAGCTGAATAATTTTTTGGTCTTGTGGAGCAAGTCAAGAGGTAGAATTGGCCTGGAGGTGAACAGTCTTACCTAGTCGGAGGCATTCCGCACAGAATACTATTTAGCCTTCTGAATTAATTACCTCCAGCCTCTCCTTAAAAATTATTGGCCATTCTCACACAGGAATCCTTTCTGTGATATATAAGCTCTCCCCTGCCCCCCAAAGCAAAACATTTTAATGGAGGGAACGAAAGATGACTTAGGTCTTACCACCTATTTAGCTTTTTTAGGAAGAGAATCACTATACAGCTCCTATTTTTTATTTCTGAGTGGGTAATATATTCACCAAAATATTGTGAATATACCTAGAGATAAATTTATTCATCTAAAAGCAAATGTATTTTGTTCCTTCTACCCACCTTCTTTTAAACCATTATATACTTTTTTTTTACTTAGTATCTTACAGGTCAGTACATTTTCATTTTTTTAATGGCTGCATGTTATTCCCTTATGTAGAGATCCCATAATTATTTAAACATTCTTTAATTCTTTCTCATGGACTTCAAGGCACAGATATAAGTCTTTGACCAAAAATCTATTTAAACTTAGCTTAAGAATTACAGGTTTCCTTAGAAAACAGCTAATATACTACGTAAGGTCATATAAAACTTGTTAAGCTACTATTAAGCCATAAACAGAAGAAAACAATGGAATACATCAAGTTATAGCACTTGGAGCTCCAAGGTAGAAACCTCAGTTGTGAAGGATTTACACATTAGCTGGATATACTAATTTGACATACATATATATATATATATATATATATATATATACACAAGTATCATTTCTAAGTAATTGAAGAGATGAAACAAAATCCTGCCTGTTTTCACAGATAAAAACATAAAATTCCTCACTGAGTTCCTCTGAGCATCTATTTTCAGACCTAAATAATGAACCTGGGAGAAAAGATTTTAGATAGGCTTTCCCTTTGTGAAAAACAGGTAATCCTACCACCAGTGTTTTTCAGTTAACTTCAAATGGCTTTTAAGTAATGACTTAATGTTTGCAATTACTCTGTGCTCACAAGAAATAAGGTTCCTAAAAATCAGGGCTTACAGACACGAAACCTTTCAATGTAGGTTTTATTTTTTTTTTAATTTTTTTTTTATTTATTTATGATAGTCACACAGAGAGAGAGAGAGAGGCAGAGACACAGGCAGACGGAGAAGCAGGCTCCATGCACCGGGAGCCTGACGTGGGATTCGATCCCGGGTCTCCAGGATCGCGCCCTCGGCCAAAGGCAGGCGCTAAACCGCTGCGCTACCCAGGGATCCCTCAATGTAGGTTTTAGAAGGAAAAAAGTTGACTCTCAGTTATCTGTGTTTACAGTAATTATTAATTTAAAATTACACACTGAATTATAAGATCCAAGATTAAAATTATTAGCCACTTCAGCTAAGTTAACAGTTTTTTTGTTTTTATCATTTATAGGGCGTAAGATAATAAAATTGTCAAAGAACACATTTACCTCCTCCAATGGAGTTTACAAATAAAGAATCTTACCAATGGACAATTCTATCAACAACATTAAATTTTAAAAAGATCATATTAACATCTCAAGTCTTCCCTTACTGCCCACTAAGATTCTAATCTTTGAGATTAGTCTTAGGCAAATTTGGATGTTGTCGTTTTAAAATTCCAACTTTTAATAAACTCAAACAAATGACTCTCGCTAGCAACCCCACAAATGGTATAAATTTCAGTAAATATTACCTGAAACAGTTTTAGATACAACTGTTCATTTATATATAACTCTTCATATCACTAGTTACTTAAAATTCATTCTATTTTTACTTTATTAAAATTAGAAAAAAAAACTTTTTTAAAAATTTTTATTTATTTATGATAGTCACACAGAGAGAGAGAGAGAGAGAGAGAAAGAGGCAGAGACATAGGCAGAGGGAGAAGCAGGCTCCATGCACCGGGAGCCCGACGTGGGACTTGATCCCAGGTCTCCAGGATCGCGCCCTGGGCCAAAGGCAGGCGCCAAACTGCTGCGCCACCCAGGGATCCCCTAAAATTAGAAAAATTATACAGAACTTGGAAGCTAGAAATAAGCTCCTATTAAATGAAATTTCTAACAGTTCTCTTGAATTCTAGCACAATGAAGTACATTGTGGGAAAATCTTTTTAAAAAAACCTAACACATGGGGCACGTGGGTGACTCAGTTGATTAAGCAGCTGCCTTGGGCTCAGGTCATGGTCTCAGGGTCCTGGGACTGCCAGAGTAGAGCTCCCCACTCAACGTGGAGTCTCCCTGTGCTCCTGCCCCCTGCTCGTGCTCTTTCAAATAAATAAATAAAATCTTAAAAAAAAAAAAAAAAAAGGAAGAAAGAAAGAAAAGAACCAGCACAACTCACACGGAAGTAGAAAAAATTTAATTTGTAATTGTTTTCAAATATTTGCGCACTTCACATATTCAGCTTGAATCCATTCTACTAGTAACTCACTCCAGCTCCAAGTGATAAAAAATAGTGAATGAGCTGTTACCTCTGAGATGAGGGCCCATACCAGCCTCCTTGCAAGCATCACTGTGATGAATGCTGCCAGGTGGTAATCAATGAGATGAAAATTCTGTAAGAGAAACAAATCACTGCATCAGAAAGAAATATGTGTGTTCAGCTAGAACTACTACATCAAGAGATCTGGCCCTCAAAAGATCTTCCTTACATCACCTTACATGTACTGACCACAATAATTTGAGGTCGTAGAGAGATTACTTTCTACTTCTACCTAATTCTACTTCCCCTTTCATGAAAAATTGCTTTAACTTTTCAAACACAATTTTAAACTATCTGGAATGTACTCTCCTTTTTTTGAAAGTTTACTGTATTGAAAGGAAAAGACTATAGCTTTGGGGTAAAAAGTGATAACCTGCACAATTATGGCAAGAACAATTTATTTAAGGGGTTCCTAGGTGGCTCAGTCAGTTAAGCATCTGCCTTCAGCTCAGGTCATGATCCTGAAGTCCTAGGATGGAATCTGCACCAGGCTCCGGGCTCAGTGAGGAGTCTGTTTCTCCCTCTGCCCCCCTCCCTGCCCATGCGCTCTCTCTTTTTCTCTCTAATAAATAAAATTACATTTAAAAAAGAATAATTTATTTAAATGCAACATTTATAATGAGTGTCAAATTCAATGGATCAGATGGAACTCCCACTGTTCAGGAGTTCTTATTTTTGGTCTCTCTATGCAAGCTACGTTAATCTAATTGGGCATCTATTAACCTAACTGGCTGACATGTCAATTACTTTCTTAACTTGATTTAAAAACATGTCTTATATTTGACCTTTTCTTCCTAAGAAATGATAGTATTACCTAGATGCTGTATGGTTCCTTCTAGTTCTAAGCCTATATAAATAACAAGTACAATGAAAAGTCATCAGCAACAAACATAATTGGGATTATTTTCATTTTGATGGTCAAAAGGTCTGTTAAGTTTCCAGTGTCATTCTTTCAGAATCAAAAGCTGAATTTCTCAATTCATCAATAAATATGTACTGGACACCCACAATGTGTACCACAATCTTCTTCTTGATACTGAGGATACAGTGATGAAAAATGACAGACAAGCTTCCTGCTCTCCTGGATCTTATTTTTTACTGTGGTGTGAGAGGGAAAGGGGATAGCAAGGATTACGGGTTGTTTCTTCTGCCATCATTGTTGAATTTAACTGGACACTGACTCCTTCTTAACAAAGGTTCATTTCCTTGCCTCCCTTGCAAAAACTACTTGTAGCTAAGACATGTGAGGGGAGATGATATATACAACGTTCAAGCCATGCCCTTAAAGGAAGGAGCTATCTTTCTCCTTTCCTCCTTCCTGCTGGCCAGAAGTGCTGACAGTAAGTAGTTGGGGCAGCTATATCTTAGACCCGGGTTTGGAAGAATCATGTTAGGAGTAGTAGAGCAATGGAAACACAGAGTTTCCATGCTGGCGTATCACTTGCCTGATTCTTATTTAATAAGGAAATAAGGTTCTACTCTGTTTTAGCCACCCTATTACAGCAGCTAAAGCCATATTTTAATAAATGTGAGTGTAAGGCCAACGACAAGCTAACAAGCAAAAGCATTTTAGCTTGTTACAACCACTGTCAAGAAATAAAATAGTGATAAATAATAACTGGGAAGGGAGTTGCAGAGCCAATTTAAACTGCTGGTTATGGAGGACACCTCTGAGACTGTGACATTTGGGCTGAGAACTGAATGACAACAAAGTACCACTTATGACAAGATCTGAGAGCAGAGAGCCCCAGGTAGAGGCAAAATGAATCACAAAGGCCCAGGGCAGGAAAATATATGCCTGGTGTGTCTGAACATCACCAAGAGGGCTGGGATGAGGTAATGAGCAACAAAAGATTTAGTTTATATATATATATTTTTTACTAATGCAAAGTCATGGAAGTGTTTCATGCAAAGGATGCCAGGTTCCATTTTAAAACAATCACAATGACTGCTGGGTGGAAAATATACTGTATCAGGGCAAGATCAGTTAGGAATTACTGCTTTTAATGCAGGTAAGAGATGATGACGGACTGAACGGATTGAACAGGGTCAGTAGCAAGGGCAATGGAGTGGCCAGATTTGGGATACATTTTAAAGGCCAAGAAGCCAGAATGTTAGAGTGGCTTACCTCAGATCATTTCCTTTTGAACAATATTTATCCCCACTCAGCTTTGAGACTTCCTTGTTCACCCCACTCCTCCAAAATAACGCAAGCGAATTCACTAGATCCCTTACCTAACCTTTGAGGGCCTTAGTTATGTATCACCAGTCTATCTAAGACATTTTTGTTTCAAAAGATTTCAGTGCCTCATGTATCTTACAGTTAAGTACATTTTGTTATATTCTAAATCACTAAAAACTGGTAATCTGCTTATGATTTACTCTATAAACCAGAATATTTAATTAATCACCCTACACTCCTGACTATTCTGAATACTTTGCTACACTACTTTCAGCTTTTATGTTTCTGAGGGTTAAGACTCATTCAGCTAATTGCTTGATGGCTACAATGATACTTTACATATTCAGGGGTCCATATTTTCTTTTTGATAATTATTAAGATCTTGAAATGGGAAAAGAAAAACCTAATATATAAATCTGAAAAATTTCTGAGACAGACACACATAGTAGAAGACTTAAAAGAGACAGACCACTAGTTGAGATTTAAGTCCCTTCTACGACATCGCAAGCAGGTAGCCATCTCCTATGTCACCTTCAATGACAGGAACTAGGTATCTGGCAGCCCATTCACCTTTGAAAAGCTCACTGATTCAGCCCCTTTCAGACTGATGGGCTAAAATCTTATTTGCTATTCCACAGATGTTACTCTTAGTTTCACAATTAAACACTAAGGTTTGTGTGAGCTAAGACCGTATGTGGCAGATAAGTGACCCAGTCCACAGGATAACCTGCTTCAAGTGTGACTTCCTCTATTGCACAGACCGGAAAACTAAAAACTACATTTCCAGACTTTCTTGCAACTGAAGTTCTAGATTTGACTTAGTTTCTGCCAACCGTAAGCATTACATAAAACCTGAATTCAGAACTGAGTGAAGTAGGGAGCAAGGTAGGGTAAAAGGCAACCATTTTTGATGGTATGAGTCAGAGCAAAGGAAACATAATTCTGGACTCAGCAGCTCTAGCAGCAGCTTTCTGATTATAACAGGAGCACTGGCTCCCTTTGTTGCAAGGCAGCATTTGTAGGGGACTTTTAAAAGAACTGTCAGGAATAGTTGACTGAGAGAAGAGCTCTTTGATTAGCCTGAAAATTCAACAACTGAGAAGTTTCCATGGAATGTCAAAGTGAAAACTGAATAATGAACTACCCAACAAGTATTTACAGAGTAAATATAGACTAAATATAGGAAGTAGAAATAGCAGTGAGAGTACTCACTTCATCACTATGCGATTTTGAGCCAGTTTTGGAATTTCTAGGTCTCCTATTTCTCATTTATAATATTGGAACCAAACAGTAGTATCTACCTGTTTTTAGGAGTAAATGAGATAATACTTGCAAAGAACAGTAAATCCTTTAATGAATGTTTGCCAATGCCGTTGTTAAGATGAGAAATTTACATATAGAGCTACACAGCTGGAAGAAGCCTTAAAAGTCATCTAATCCAACTTCTTCATTTTACAATACCATGACCAAAGAAGGATGAAATACAGGTCCTAAACTCATAAATTCATAATCCAGGAAAAAAGATTATAAAAAAAAAAGCACACAATATGGCACCGAATCACCTCAGTTCTTCTTCTTTTTTTTTTTTTTAAAGGAACTCAAGTGAGAAAGTTTATTATTTTTTTTTCAAGTGAGAAAGTTCATTAAACCAAAAAGTACACTCTTGATAGAATAGGTAAGCTCAAGAAAAAGAGCTGCGCCAAATCATTGTAATTCTTAAAGAAACTGAAATTCTCTTTACTTGGTATTAAGTAGGTATATCATCAATATGGAAAGAAAATTCTTAATACTTAATTCCAGGAACAACCAAGTGATAAGGTCATTTTTAAAAAACTGTTTATTCCGTTCCCATATTATTTTGAACATTTTGGTCCACATTTGATTCCTTTTTTTTGTATATTTTTTTTTATTCATTCATTCATTCATCAGTTTTTTATTCATTCATTCATTTTTATTCATTTTTTCTGTTCGATTTGCCAACATATAGTATAACACCCAGTGCTCATCCTGTCAAGTGCACCCCTTAGTGCTCATCACCCAGTCACCCCGTCCCCCCGCCCAACTCCCTCCACATTTGATTCCTATGTTCACCAGGCCAAGAAGTTTTCTAATCATTGAGAAGCCCCCAAACACATACATAAACTATCTAGCACAACAGTCTTCTTTATCCTATAGTGTTATCTCCACCCGAATCTGCCACTGCCAACCATTTACCTATCAAGTAACCGGAGTAGCCTTACTCGTTATTTTACATACCCATCTATAGGGAACATTCTCTGCGTCAAGATTATCTAACCTCTCCTAAATAAATGGAAAGAGGGCAGAAGAGACCTACAATATATTTTGAGGAACTTCAGCAAAGACAGCTAGTTCTTGTCTCGATTTTGTTTTTTAACAGCGCGGTTTTATTCACGGTAACAAATCCTATGAAAGGATCATAGTTTCCAGTCTCCTTGCAGTTAGGAGTGGACATACGGGAATATGCTGTGAGCCTGGCCACTAAGAACCTCTCCTTTATCCTTCTGTATGCCTTTCCCCTTTCCAGCTGAAAGAAGTGACCCACAGTCAACTTGGAGACCACATACGGGAAGACAGCAGAGTCTGCATCAGTCTGAGTCCACTGACTGACCACATGGAAGTGCTACTCCTGCAAATCAAACAACTGCCTCAGACTATTATGTGTGTGAAGTATTACACAATTTGGGGTTTATTTGTTACAGAAGCAACTATCATCCTAAGGTAGTCATTAAAAGGGTAAACTTCCGGGGTGCCTGGGTGGCTCAGACAGTTAAGCATCTGCCTTAAGCTCAGGTCATGATCCCAGGATCCTGGGACTGAGTCCCACATCAGGCTCCCTGCTCAGCAGAGAGCCTCCCCCCATCTGTTCTCTCTCATGCTCACTCGTTCTCTATCAAACAAATAAATAAAATTTTAAAAAACAAAAGGGTAAATTTCCTGGAATTTAGTCATATTGGCACCTTAAGTCCAACAAATAGTGCAAAGAAAGCTAAACATCAAGACTCTTGATATTATTATAAGTTATTTAAATGTTTTCTGCATTTTCATTTGTATTTTAACTTTCCAGATACTTATATTTTAATGATCTTATGAGATTACAGTTCTGAAAGTAATCTGTGGTTTAACAGAAAACATTTTTTTAGAAGAAAAATTACTAAGAAAAGTATAATTTGTACACAGAGGCTTTCCAGCTAGTTTCTTGGTTAAGTAACATACTGAAATTAAAAGGCTATTAAGACTTACCAGTGAAGTACAAGACGCAGGATGATTATAAGGATACCACCACACTGTTTTATAGATATTGATGTATTGAATAAAGAGAGCAACCAGCAGGTAGATGAAAAAGAGAAATTCAAAGAGCAGGCTTCCATCTACAGGCAAATCAGGAATTTGGCAATGACGAACAGGACCTGGGGTGATTAAGGCTGTGATAGGTGGGACCGGAAGGCCAATAGCACTACCATTTCTGAAAGAGAAAACCACAATTAATTCAAATCGTGGTACCTTTCAATCTTAAACAGCATAAAGGGCCCCTGCTTCCTTCCTTCTCCACTTACTGCTTAACTGTTGGCCTTCCCTCAGGACTCTTCCCCCAGAATCTCCTGTTCTTGTCTTCTCCCTCTACACACTTTCTCTTAGTGCCCAAAAATGTGGCCACAGGTTCCATTCTCTTTAACATGTTGAAAACTAAAATTTCTCTCCGTATAGTTCACTGCTGAATTTCAGATCTATGTGATCAAGTTGTGTACTGGACTTTGCTGTGTTCTTCCTCCTAAAATCCTGACCGTGGTTCGTGGCCCACTCAGTAACTGCTTAAATTAGAAACCTGGGAGTTATATTAGAACTTTCCTGACTCCCCATATCCAGTCACTCTCTAAATCTTAAATATTCCACTTTGTAAAACTTTTCCCACTGCACCCTCCTCTCTAAACACATTGCTTAGTTCAATTACCATTTTTCACTTAAACTATTGAAGTAATCTCCCTAAAATTAACTTCATCAAATTCTCCAACCTACCTTCAGAGATCTAAGTGAAACTGACAGTGCTACCGTCTTGCCTAAAACCCTTTAATGGCTCTCTGCTGCCAACAGGATAACATCCAGAAATTTTTAGTATGTCCTATGCAGCTCTCTGCTTAACAGATTAGCCCAATCTCTTGTCACTCCTCCACATGCAACCTATAGACTTGCTATTCTATAGCAAAAAAAATTCAAAAGAGCAAATATGCTATTTGCTATTCTTTTGCATATTCTTTTCACCAGCAATACCACTCAAAACCACCTTCCTTAACCCCTCACCTACACATTTACTGACAAAATCCTTCAAGACTTTTTAAATTATTGAGCATATCCTCCATGAAGCTTAATGACTCAATCTAAACCAATTCATCTCACTCCTGTACCACCATTATACCTAAATTATGCCTTTACTATTGTACTTTTCATTATTATTACATAATTTCTTATATACTTTTATGTTTTGTCTATCAGATCATAATCTTAAGGACAGAGACTGTACTTTTCCTAGTTCAAGTCACATATATACCTTCATGTTGAGAAGGCAGCAGACTAATGTGGTCACAAAAGAGAGATCTTTTAATATACAAATTAAAATACAGAGATTTTACTCCCCCTCTTCTGGCTGTTCTTTCTTTCTTCCAGGCTTGCTTTATTTATTTATTTATTTATTTATTTATTTATTTATTTATTTATTTATTTATTAAGCTTCCAGGCTTTTTTTATAAATCATAAATAGATGGGCTATTGAAAACGCTAAGACGGAGGTGGGTAGGGAATAAGCTCTCCCATTGTTTACATAGCTGGGAATAGTTACAGATATCTAAGGGTCTACTATTATTTCAGAACAAGGAAAAGAAGCTTGTTTCGGATATTTTCAAAGAAGATTCCAGAGAAGGAACAATAATACTGTTACCTTCCCCTCTAAGATTTCCAAATATAGAATTATAACATTAGCATGTGACATTTATAGTACTTCAAGTGACTCATGGGAATATGAACTCTGCTCATTCTGACCAGTTAAGAATATCATGGCAGAGGGGCACCTGGGTGGCTCAGTCAGTTGAGCATCCGACTCTCGATCTCAGCTTACGTTTGATCTCGGAGGTTGAGTTCAAGCCCCATGGAGCCTACTTTAAAAAAAAAAAAAAAAAAGAATACCATGGTAGAATCTGAAAAGAGCTAGAAGGGAAGAACAGGAATAGGCTGGGAGAGGGTGGGAAAAACTGTAAAAACTACTTCCCCTCATTTCCAAATACTAATCGAATACAACAAGCTTACCACAGAGTAGGTTGTGAAGTACCAGCAGGTCTCACAACCTCACTTGTTCAATTATAAACCAATCATTAACACATTATTATTAACACATTGGCCACTGCACAACTCCAGCTTTCATTCATATAGAATACAATGTGAAAGGTGCTCTGTGGAGTTGTACAAGTTGGTGGACCTGAATGTAGGCGATTAATGCCAATAGTCAATCTATTGCCTCTCCCCAGTTAATCATGAGATAAGGAAATACAAAATTCTGATGAAAAGTTATAAGGTTAGGTGCCTTTACTCTAGAATAAGTTGAAAATTCTTATTCCTCTTCCATCAAAAATAATGAAGGGAGAAAGCATGCTAAATTATTTGTTACTATTTAAAGGTTAAAAAGATTCTTACAGAATTTTTCCCAAGTAAAGCAGACTAACATGCTTCTGCTGTTAACAAATAAATGCTGAGGTTCAAGAAATATTCAAAACAAAGTGCAGAAGATCTATATTTGTGAGATTTTACACAAGATTTTGGCTATTATATTTCAAGCCAAAAAAAAAAAAAGGGAACAAAGGTCAAAGTGATGCAGAGTATCTGAGGGAAAAAGGAAAGCTTTCTTCTAATTTGAACGCTTAATAGGAGATAAGATCAAAGTTCTTAAAACCAAAAAAAAAAAAAAAAGTTAAAATAAACAGTCTTGGTCTATATATCTCAGATAATTAGTTAGACATATTATTCAGGAAAAATGAAAACATTATTTCTCTCACAGGATATAAAAATAGATGCAAAAAAGGCAAAATGGCAGAAATATATTTGAGACACAATGTGGGATAGTCCTAGTCTAGATAGACCAGCTGTAGTCTTTGAGGAAGTAACTTTATATCCTTGAGCCTCGGTTTCTTCACTTAAAATACAGGAGTTGGAATATATTCTCTTTAAAGAATTCTTTTCAGGGACACCTGGGTGGCTCAGCAGTTGAGGTCTGCTTTCAGCCCAGGGCGGGATCCCAGGTCCCAGAATGGAGTCCCGCATCGGGCTCCCTGCGAGGAGCCTGCCTCTCTCTCCATGTCTCTCATGAATAAATTTTTTAAAAAAGAATTCTTTCCAATGTTAACATAGAATATTCTTTCAAACTGTGCTACAGGTCCCCAAGATCATGCCCAGGCTTGAGGGTTCATTAGGAAGATTCAAAGAACTTGGCATATAGTTGTGTTCATTACAGCAAAAGGATACAAATCAAAATTAGCAGAGGGAATAGGTACATGGGGCAAAGTCCAGAGGAAACCAGGTACAAAATTCCAAGAGTCCTTATCAGTGGAGTTACATAGGACTCACTTAAATCCTTCAGCAACTACCTGTGAAAACACATGTGAAATGCTGTCTACCAGGAAGGTTCATAAGAGGCTCAGCACCCTACGTTTTTACCAAGGTTTTGGCTAAGCATAGGGATAAAGCAAGAAAGAGCCTAAAGAATAAAAAAGAATTAGGAGGGATGGAGAAAGCAGTGAGCATTTCGACATGCTCAGGTCATATTATTAACAAAGTATATGCAAGGCCAAAACAAAGAAAAAAAAATCACTTAGTCCTTCTCAAATAAAATTCTCCCTCAACTAAACGATCTCTGGGAAACTCAGAAATTCACAGCATATCCTCCTTCTTTAGAAGGCAATCAAGTAAATACTTTACCCTATGAATAAATCCCTGCTCCCCAGAGGGAAAAAAAAAAGAGGACATGAAACTATGGATTTCAATCTTGATTGTGTCATCAAACTAGCTCTGACATTCCCAAGCTGACCTTCACCAATCTTGCTACAAACATTGGCAAATGCTCTCTCCTCCAGCTGACCTATGTCTTACAGAATCAAACATATCATCTAAATTATATCACGCTTAAGAAATTATCAATTTCTCTCCTTAGTACTCTACAAACACTCCAAAAGTGAGTTTTCCTCATCTTTCTTTGTATACATCCTTCCTAAAATTATTTTCTAGGCCTTTTACCACTGGTTTTATCCATATTTCTTATAACTCTTCCTAGGTGTTATATAATAACCTATTTTAGGCTTTTTCTTTCCCATCAAAAAACAAATATAGAACCATCTTCTTCCAAAATAACCTCTTTAGATAAAAATGTCACAAAATAACCACTCAATAATAGTTTTAGTGATTTTTAAAGCCATGAACAACTATGATCTTTCATTTCATTCAAATATGTTTGAATACTGTGGAGTGGAGAAGTAGATCAAGGTGACCATGACTGGAACCCTGAGAGCCAGGACAGAAGAGCTACAAAGAAGGCAGAAAAAAGGGCAACCCGGGTGGCTCAGCGGTTTAGCGCTGCCTTCGGCCGAGGATGTGATCCTGGAGACCCAGGATCAAGTCCCACATCAGGTTCCCTGCATGGAGCCTGCTTCTCCCTCTGCCTGTGTCTCTGCCTCTCTCTCTGTGTCTCTCATGAATAAATATTTTTTTAAAAAAGGCAGAAAAAAGAACATATGATCATAGCTACATCCTTTCAAGAGCACAGGTATTTTTCAAATGTTCCTAGGTCTTTCGAGTATTCTACCTGCAAACCTGAAGGAGGATTTTAGTCCACATTTGATTCCTATATTCACTAAGCCAAGGAAGAACCATCTAGAAATGTGATTTTCAATGCTTTTTTTAACTAGCAGAACACTTCATTTTCCCTCCCCCAAAGGACATTTTACATGGTATCTTGATATTTATTTATTTATTTTTAAAGATTTTTATTTATTTATTCATGAGAGACAGAGAGAGAGAGAGAGAGGCAGAGTCACAGGCAGAGAGAGAAGCAGGCTCCATGCAGGGAGCCTGACGTGGGACTCGATCCCAGGTCTCCAGGCTTGTGCCCTAGGCTAAAGGTGGTGCTGAACTGCTGAACCACCGGGCTGCTCCAGTATCTTGATATTGAAACACACAGGAGAAGGAGTTAGTCTGATTAAGAGAGGACTGGGAAACCTGAAGCCTGGACTACTAGGCCTGCCTAACTCTTCCTCCTCAAACAGTCCCCAAAACTGTGAGGAGGGATTCCATCAGGGCAGTCTGAGAACGAATTACTTAGGGGAATCCACAAAACCAAAGTAGAAGAAAATGAACAAACAACTGCCAGAGTTAATACAGAGAATTAGAATTTTTTAGCTAGCTACAATCCAAGCTAGGCACAGCTACAATTTTCCATTGCAATTGTAAACAACTAAATCATATATTGGTAAAATTAAGGCATGTACTTAAATACAAAAACATCCTTTACCTCAAAATCTATGTTTTATAGTACCTTTCTTCAAAAGCATTTTCACTTATTCTTTTTTCTTATTTTTAAAAATGTAAACTAATACAAGTTATTGTAGAAATTTTGGAAAATTTAAACTTTCAAAAAGTACTGCAGTTTACTATTTCATTTATTTTCAACATCTTACTACAGAGCAGTGTATCACTGTTTTTAACATCAAGAAATCCAAAAAACAATAAAAAATAATACTCTAGAATAAATTACAAGTGCTCTGTATACATATATAAATATAAAATTTGGATTGAAAATTAGTATAAGAATCAGAGACTAGAAAAATCCCTTCAAACTGGAATTTCAGGGAGAGCCCCACTGAAACAAGATCAGAACTGATTTTGAGGACCGAGTAGAACTTCGGTTGGAAAGTCAGAAAGAAAGAGGGAGGGCAGGCCAGGAAGAGAGAAGTGCACAAGTAACATCAGGAGAGCCTGAAAAGGCAACAGTACTGATTACTACTAGTACTGAAAACTAGAATCCAAGCAAGAGAAAACTATTCAGAGAGGAAGCAGAAAATAAGTGACAAAAATTATCTTGTTCAAACACTTGATATAAAGTAAAAGTCACTTCTTTCCACTGCTACATGACTGAAACTTCTCATGAAATGAGTTATCCTAGATAAGATTAGAAATAATTCATCCTAACTTTAAAAATTAGGAACAAAGATATATTTCCATTAAAAAGACCAAATTCTTTATTCTTATATACAAGTCTTACAATGTTTGGGTTACAATCGAGTTTATTCATTTCAAACAATTTTTTGAACAAAATAATTTTTAAGACTCTTAATAGAATATGACTTATAATTTTAGAATTTCATGTTAACTATCAGTTTTAATTCGTCCTCCTCTGCTAAAAAAAAAGAATGCTAGTAAAGAGTTAAACCACAACACTCCTCTAGTACTTTATTTATTCTTTTTTAAAGATTTTATTTATTTATTCATGAGAGACACAACAGAGAGAGAATGAGAGAGAGAGAGAGAGAGAGAGGCAGAGACACAGGCAAAGGGAGAAGCAGGCTCCATGCAAGGAGCCTGATGTGGGACTCGATCCCAGAACTCCAGGATCACACCCTGGGCCAAAGGCAAGCGCTAAACCACTGAGCCACCCAGGGATCCCCTCCTCTTGTACTTTAATTCACTTCTCCCTTCTTTTAATAGCCAAAAAGCTATTAATGATGATTAGATGATTAGAATTTCGATTATCAGCCATAGGTGAGAACTGGACTGCTTTCACTTTGTGGGCTCTATATCACAGCTTTCCACTCCAAAATATGCTGAAATACTGAGCTTTCAATCTTCAGGGCAGGATTCCCACTTCACTGCCAAGAAATAACCCTGATAAGCAAGTATCTGAATAGCATGATGACTGCTATGTTAGTCGTACTGATCAGAGTATATTACAAATTATGTATAGTTTCATTTCTCCTTTACCTGTTTCTCAGGCCTGTTCCATTGCCGCAGCCCCCACCAACCAAAGTCTGTAAAGAAGGTAAAGCTGAACGGCTTAGCTGCTGCCGACTAGGGCCCCTCCTTCCACCGGGCATGTCCGGGAACCAGTCTGCTTCCAGCGCCACCTGTAGTTGCAACCTAGGTTAATGGCTGTCAACCTGTTTCAACTGAACAAAAGAAAAGACATTTAAATATCAGTTTACTATTTTTAAACTAAGCAATGTAACAAAACAACAGAAAAACTGAGTGAGCAGGCCTTGTAAAACCAGATATTCAAATAAATGCTCCCCCAGTGTCTATTACCTATTTTATTCTAAAGAAAGGACTAGGGCGCCCCAGGGGGCTCAGTGGTTTAGTGCCGCCATCAGCCCAGGGCCTGATCCTGGAGACCCAGGATCAAGTCCCATGTCAGGCTCCCTGCATGGAGCCTGCTTCTCCCTCTGCCTGTCTCTGCCTCTGTGTGTGTGTGTGTGTGTGTGTGTGTGTGTGTGTGTGTGTGTGTCTCTCTCATGAATAGATAAATAAAATCTTTTAAAATAAATAAATAAATAATAAAGAAAGGACTATTCAGACTTTAATGGGTCAGAAGCCTAAGTTCTGATCTAAGCTTTGTTCAGCCTTACGTAAGTCACAGTTTGTGTCTTTCCTGAGTTGACCTGTGTCGTATGAATGATATGACACTCAGGTAAAAGTTAACAAGAAATGCCTAACATACACATTTTCAATTCATACGTAATACTTTACAGTAAACCACTGGAAATACAAGAAAATCAGCACTGTCCAAAATGTCGGGTTTTGTGATCAAAGGATCTGGGTTCAGGGGATTGGATCTGCTACATATTATGAGACTGTAGCTCAAGCATTTAACCTCCGAGTTTGTTTAGTCAAAAGTGTTCCTTGTCCTACAGAGGTTGCCGCAAGGACTGACAAGATGGAAGAAAGTATAGCAGTTGGCCTGTTAGCTCTTTAAAAGTAAACTGTTCGGGGGCAGCCCGGGTGGCTCAGCAGTTTAGTGCCAGCTTCGGCCCAGAGCATGATCCTGGAGACCCGGGGTCGAGTCCCACATCAGACTCCCTGCACAGAGCCTGCTTCTCCCTCTGCCTGTGTCTCTGCCTCTCTCTCTGTGTATCCCTAATAAATAAATAAAATCTTAAAAAAAAAAAAAAAGGAAACTGTTCAAATGGCAACTCCATATGTCAGAGTGAAAATATCAGAAGGGGCTATGGTGGATGCCCACTGCAGAAAAAACTGGTATAAAATCATCCAGAAAGCACTTACACGGTACGATTAAAAGACAAGGAACAAAGACCCTCACCGAAAAAAGAGGGTCTGTTTATATATACGCCCCCAAATCTGCTTCCTAAATAATACTGGGGGAAGAAAACTGAAAAATGGAAAAGCCCTGGTTTTCAAATGTTCCTGCAGACCGATCCGGTGTTCCGTATTCCTAACAGCTTCTGGCTGTGGGCTAAGAAACGCCAGAGGAGACGAAACAGCCAAACCGTTGGGCGTCAGGACTGCTGGTCCGCGCTCCATTAACGAGGGAAAGAAACGTGTGAAACTGGGATAGAAGAGGCGAGAGGATGGGGGGTGGGGGTGGGGGTGGGGGTGGGGGGCGGCTGACAAGGGACCACACACTTCCACAGGCTGGCCCCTACAAGGGGAACCACGACAAAGCGCTTCTTCCTGCGCAAACCGGGAGCCGCAGCAGGCCGAGACGACCCCGCGGCGCCGAGGCTCGGTCATACTCACGCATGGAGGAGGCCCGGCCGGCGGGGCGGGATCCCGGGGAGGCGGCGGCGGCGGCACAGGCTGGACCCCAGGCGAGAGCACTCCCTCCCCGCGTTGACGCGCTCCAAACCAGCTGCTCGCCCGCAGGCCGTCCCCGCCCGGGAAGGCGACAGGAGGTGCCCAGGCTTCGGGCTGCCAGCCCGCGCCCCGGCCCCAGGTCACTACCAGAGTCAGAGCCAGAGCTAAAGTTAGAGGCAGAACCCGGCCGGGTCAGCACTCATCCCCGGCCTCCATTACCGCGGAGCTCAGCAGACGTGGCAGCGCACGGAGATGACGTCAGCTCCGCGACTGGCGGCGGCCCGGGTGCCCAGCCGGCGTCCGGAACTCCGCACTGGGTCCCGGGAGCGGGCACCCCACCCCCTCCTGCGTGCGCCTGCGCAGTGGGCCTCGCCTGCCCCCGCGGCGCTGGCGGGCGGGTTTTCTCCCTGGGCCCCTGCGATGCGCTGGCTCCGCTTTGGGGGACCTGGGCTGTCCCCTGGACGCCCCTTAACAACCAAGTACAAAATGTCACCTCAGTTTTACAGATGGGGGAGGTTGGGAGATGTCACCGGAGGTCGCGTTCCTGCCAGGTAAAAGGACCCCCAAGTCGTGAGGTCATGCTTCAGCATCCAGTCGTGCGCCTATTGTAGGTGAAGGACTGGATGGGTGCGGAGTTAGGCGGATGCCACAGCTTGCTCAGGCTACCGGACACGGGGCACCAGGAGAACACAGTGATTGCAATAGAGCAGCTGCAACGACAGTATCCCCCAGGTCCAGATGGTAGCGTGCAATTCATCGTAATTTATTCAGAGTAATAAATTCTGCAGGATGGTAGTGGTGGCGATACCGAGGAAGACTTCACAGTGAGCTTGGGGGTTGAAGCTGAGACTTCAAGAATGAAGAGGCTGTTCGTGGAGGAATGGCTTTCTTTTCTTTTCTTTTTTTTTTAAGGATTTTTTTTTTAAAGATTTTATTTATTCATGCAGGCTCCATGCAGGGAACTCAATGTGGGACTCGATCCTGGGAGTCCAGGATCACGCCCTGAGCCGAAGGCAGACACTTAACCACTGAGCCACCCAGGCGTCCCAAGGATTTTTATTTTATTTATTTATTCATGAGAATACACAGGAGAGAGAGAGACAGGCAGAGAGACAGGCAGAGGGAGAAGCAGGCTCCATGGGGAACCCGACGTAGGACTGATCCCGAGTCTCCAGGATCAGGCCCTGGGCTGAAGGCGGCGCTAAACCGCTGAGCCACCCGGGCTGCCCGAGGAATGTCTTTCTAGTAAGGGAAGTGGCAGGATGAACGGGGGAAAAAGTGGGAAAAGGGAGGAATTCAGAAAACTGCCAATAGTTTAGTATTAGAAGAAGAATAAAAGTGTCTAGAAGAGCGTGTGTTTGAGATCTCCAGCTCCAGAGATTTTAAGCTCTTTTTCAAGAGAAAGCTCTTTGTATATGGTATATGATTAGTTGACTTTTATTGTGAGTTTTTGCTGTGCCTGGCACTACATTGTCATTTTTACATATTTCACCTACATCTCACATTGCTTTGAAACTATCATTGTTCCTTTTGTTTTTTTTTTTATTTTTTTTTTAATTCATGAGAGACACAGAGAGAGACAGAAAGAGAGAGAGAGAGAGAGAGAAGTAGGCTCCATGCAGGGAGCCCGATGTGGGACTCATCCCGGGTCCCCAGGATCACACCCTGGGCTGAAGGTGGCACTAAGCCACTGAGCCACCTGGGCTGCCCATTTTTCCTATTTTATAGAGGAAACAAGTTTTAAGAGAGGTTAAATAACTTGTTGAAAATAACCCAGCTAATAAGTGGCAGAGCAGAATTTAGAGCCAGAAGGACCAATATCAAAACTACTAAGCTTAGTAATATTCCAAATATTCTCAGTGTCCTTATGTGCTAGAGAATTTTCACTAATGAATACATAAACCCAAATGCAGAAAGCCCAGATCATTACATATTTCTGTAATTTTGTACATTTATTTTCCTATTTGCTCTGCTAACTGCTTCCTAGCTTGCTACATTGAAACACCTTTGCCATTTTTCTGTTGGCTCACCAGCATCCTTCATTCATTCAGCAGTTATTTGTTTAGCGCCAACTGTGTACCAGGTACTTAGTGAACAAGACAGATATGTCCCTGACCTCCTGGAGCTTATATTCTAACAGGAAGCATTTAATGAAATAATTACACATTATAAGAATTATGGAGACAAACAGGCTATGGTAGAAAATAAGGAAGGTTCTATTTTGAGGGAGGTAATGGCATCTCAGCAGAAACCTGAATGTTGGGGAGGAACCGGAGAGGCAAAGATGGGAGGGAAAAGCAGTTGAGATAGAAAACAAAACTTAATGCAGAGATTATAAGGTGGGCAAGAGCTTGGCATGTTTGAGAACACAAAGCTAGGTTGTGGTGAGCAAAGGAGAATGTGGCATGAAATGAATCTGAAGACGAAGGAAGAGCTTATATGTGGAGAATTTTGCATTTTAAATTAGGGGATGACACAGGACCCAGAAATCTGTGATTTTAATAGCTCCAGGATTCTGGCACTTAACTTACATATGGGAACCACTGGAATAAACCATCTCATCTGTTAAGGAAATGAAACAATTATTGTTCCATGCGGCTCATTCCTCCTTTGTACGGGGCCCACTAATCTCCCAATCTCTTCTATGTCTTCTTCCACATGGATACACAATGTAAAGTTGTAGAAAATACTGATTTATTCTTACTTCAAAGACATAACACAAGGTGATTTCCTTTTTCTTCTGATTACAGAAAACTGAAATAACAGAAAATAAAGACTCCTTTATTAAAGTTCTAAAAATTATCCTCCACTATATTCATTTTAGACTAACTCTGAAGCAAAGCTTACTCGGTGTTCAGCTATGTAACACCCTGTTTTAGTTATGTGCCTTCGATGAACCATTCATTTTGAAGTACTGCATACCTCCTGGAAGTACAAGAAATGAATTTCAAGTTTTCATTTGGATTCCTGAAGAAGTCTTGTATAATATAGTGTTGGAGATCCATGCTCTCTTCTTGCTTACTCACCCAAAGTAAGTGATATAACCCATTCCTAACTAATCAACATTATTGTATCTTTCATCATTACTCAGTGTACATCCTAAACCTCCACGACCATCAGTCTTTTCTACCCCCACCTTCTGCAAATTGTGGCTTCCCTGTTTTTAGTGTCTCCAACATAATATTCCTTAACTGCAATATTTTATTTTCATTTCAATATACCCCTCACACCCGTTTTCCAAATTTCCATCTCATATTGATCTTTCCACTGAAACCAATAGCAATTACATATTGCCTTATGTTGTAAATAATTTCTGGGTTAGTATATTTGTCTTCCCACTAGTTTTAAACCCGGCACAGATCTCATCTTGTACTTTCGTGTATTTCTACAGAGCCTAGGATGTTACCTTGCACATTTTAGTGAATTGAGTAAATTTACTCTGAATAAATACTCGTATGATTACTATATATACCCATGTATAGCTGTAAACCTGTACTGTCTAGTATAATGTTACCGATTTTTCCCATGTCTAAGTCACCCCAATTGTTATAAATTCCTATTACAAAGAGATTTGTGCTAGGCTATTTTTCACCCCTTGGGTTCTAACAGTGTTGTAATCATTCAGGTATTCAACAAATCTATACTATAAGAAGCAGTTTAATGTCATGCAAAGAACTTGCTAGCCTACGTTGTACCACTAACTGTGAAGTTGTGGGCAAGAAACATCCGTTCTGATCGTCAGTTTTCAGGCTGCAGAAAATAAGGTGCTTTAAATATGCCACAGAATGTAAGGAATTACCATTATTAGACATATTTTCCCAGGGGATGCCTTTTATTCATTCTCTCCTGGACTTCGATTGTATGAGAGAGAGAGACGGAGTTTGAACATTTTATTACACCTGGCGACGCCGCCCAGCACTCGGGGGACGTCCCGGGGCCGCCCTCGCGGAGAAATCGGGCCTCCGGCCGGGCTGGGAGCGGGTAGGCGGAGAGGTGCACGGCCAACCGTGTGCCGGCGGCCCTCCGCCCACCTGGTCATCCGCGTGCGGGGCGGCCCTCCGCCCACCTGGTCATCTGCGTGCGGGGCGGCCCTCCGCCCACCTGGTCATCTGCATTCGGGGCGGCCCTCCGCCCACCTGGTCATCCGTGTGCGGGGCGGTCCTCCACCCACCTGGTCAATGCATTGGGGCGGCCCCCCACCAACCTGGTCATCTGCATTCGGGGCGGCCCTCCGCCCACCTGGTCATCTCCGTGCGGGCGGCCCTCCGCCCACCTGGTCATCTCCGTGCGGGGCGGCCCTCCGCCCACCTGGTCATCTCCGTGCGGGGCGGCCCTCCGCCCACCTGGTCATCTGCATTCGGGGCGGTCCTCCACCCACCTGGTCATCTGCATTCGGGGCGGCCCTCCACCCACCTGGTCATCTGCATTCGGGGCAGCCCTCCGCCTACCCGCTCATCTCCGTGCGGGGCGGCCCTCCGCCCACCTGGTCATCTGCATTCGGAGCGGCCCCCCACCAACCTGGTCATCTGCATTCGGGGCGGCCCTCCGCCCACCTGGTCATCTCCGTGCGGGGCGGCCCTCCGCCCACCTGGTCATCTCCGTGCGGGCGGCCCTCCGCCCACCTGGTCATCTCCGTGCGGGGCGGCCCTCCGCCCACCTGGTCATCCGTGTGCGGGGCGGTCCTCCACCCTCCAGCTGGGGCGCCCACCGCCATCTTTGTGCGGGGCGGCCCTCCGCCCACGTGGTGCGGCGCCCACGGTCCTCTCCTTGTGCGGCGCCCGCCGCCATCTTTGTGCGGGGCGGCCCCCGCCCACGTGACGTGTCTCCCCGCCCCCCCCGCCCCCCCCCCCCCCCCCGGCCGGGCCATCTTTGTGCGGGGCTGCCTTTCCGCCGGCGCGGCCGCGGGGCCTCCGCAGTGGCGTGCGGGCGATGGAGCGGTGGGCGCGCCCGCGGCTCGGGCTGTGGCTGCTGCTGCTGTTCCTGCCCCCAGTGCCGGGCCGCCAGAAGGAGTCAGGTGGGCTCCGGGTCCGGTCCGGTCTGGAGGCGCCGGCCCGCCCCCCGGGCCCCCGGTGCGGCCGGCTGATGCTGCGGCCGCTGGGCGCAGGGCTGGGCCGAGGGCGCCGGGCGCCTTGGAGCGTTGAGCGACCGCGTCCGGGCGGCGCTGCTTGTACCCCCGCCGCAGGGACCCCGGGGACCAACCCGTCGTGAGGGATCTGGGTGGAGGGGAGGACCCCAGCGGGCGTCGCCCGCGCCTGGCTACACCGCTCCTCCCTGAAACGCGTGCGTGCGCGGTTCTCAGCGAATTACCGGAGAGGGAAGGGAGAGCTCACGTCTCTGGCTTCTCATTGATCCCTATATAGGGGTCGCTTTGATTAGGAGAAGGGGAGAATGCATGTCACCGGTTTATTCCCAGTCCTCCGAACGCCAGGCTGGGACATTTCCCCACTTGTTGGACACCCAATAGCTCAGTAGAGAAGCCGACTTGACCCAGGAGCTGGCGAGTTACAGAAAGCATCCTTCCTGGCGTTTCCTTCCCATCAGTGGAATAGGAAGAGTCGGTGTCTGCAGGTTTTGGCCTTCTCTTGGCTCTCTGCATGCCTCCTGCTGCTAGCAAAGGAGAATGCTCAGGATATTCTGTTAACTCTCGTTCGCTTCTTGAAGGTTCAAGGTGGAAAGTGTTCATTGAGCAAATTAACAGGTCTTTGGAGAATTACGAACCATGTTCAAGTCAAAACTGCAGCTGCTACCATGGGTGAGTTCTGGTCTCCGATGAGTGTCTTTTGAGAGTTGAGTGCTTGTCATAAGAATTCCCTTAAAATTCCCCCAAGAGACCTGGGTCACAGTGATGGGAGAGCCAAGCATGCCTAGATAAAAGGCAGAGTTCCTGTGGTGGGTTTCCGTAGGATAGGAGAGGCCCAGGCAGTCTCAGCAAGGCTGCTCACTGCTTAGAATGAAGCTGCGCGTCCTTGTCGGTGTTCCACACCGGACTGAAAGCTTCTTGAGGTCAAGGCCTAGGTCTTTTAATCAGTGTTGCATCGGTGGTGCTGGCCCTCAGTAAGTACTCAGTAAATATTGTCAGAGGGAGGCCTGTTTATAGATGGACCCAATCATAAATTTCCTACTGGTTATTTTTTAGGTATGCGAGTTATGGCTGAGAGGGTAGTGTGGTAGAGAGATGACTTTGAAAGCAGTCTTGGGGGCAGCCCTGGGTGGCTCAGCGGTTTAGCACCACCTTCAGCTCAGGGCGTGATCCTGGGGTCCTGGGATCGAGTCCTGCATCGGGCTCCCTGCATGGAGCCTGCTCCTCCCTCTGCCTGTGTCTCTGCCTCTCTCTCTCTGTCTCTCAAGAATAAATAAATAAAATCTTAAAAAAAAAAAAAGTCTTGGGGTCTAGTTGCAGATCTCCCACTGATTATCCATGTGGCAAGTCACTTAACTTCTCTGGGTCCTAGATTCCTCATCAGCTAAATAGCTGGGCCCTTGAGTTCCTCGTGTGTCATTCTAGGATTCCTCAAAAAATTCACCTAATGCTTATGACACTTACTGAAAACTAACTGCGCACTGAACTTTAAAAGGGATACAAAATAGTATAATTTCTGGTGACTACTGTCAGGTTCTATGTGAGGTGAGTGGGGGCCAGACAGACCAGAATAGGGGTGTCAGTCTGAGACCAAGGGCATCAGACAGTGTCAGACTGTAAGTCATAAATCATACCTTCTGTGGAATTGAGAGATCAGTGGGACTGCGGTGACTAGGAGCACATGGGTGTGTTGTGAGTATCAAAGGAGAAATTGCATCAATCAGAGGGTAGACAGTCCAGATGGAGAGAGGAAGAAGAGAAATTGACTTGCTTTTTCCTCTTTGTGGCTTTATTGTTTTGGTTTAGATTACCTATGTGCTTCTGGGGAAATGTTGCTCATTCCTGCCCTCTATTCTTTCCCTGGGGTACGGTGTTTTCTAATACTAAATCTAAACCCACAGATAGGTAGTAGGTGGAATGGTACCGCTTTCTTGACGCGCTTTCCTTGACGATTCACTTTCTTTCCCAGGGTCATAGAAGAGGATCTGACTCCTTTCCGAGGAGGTATCTCCAGGAAGATGATGGCAGAGGTAGTCAGACGGAAACTAGGGACCCACTATCAGATCATTAAGAACAGACTATACCGAGAAAATGACTGCATGTTCCCTTCAAGGTAAGAGTTATGAGATAGATATATCTTCTGATCTTTGTTTTTAATCTTTTTTTTAAAAAGATTTTATTTATTTATTCATGAGAGACAGAAGCAGAAGTACAGAGGGAGAGGCAGGCTCCATGCAGGGAGCCTGATCTGGAATTAGGTCCTGGGACTCCAGGATCACGCCCTGGGCTGAAGGCAGGCGCTAAACCACTGAGCCACTCGGGCTGCCCTCTTCTGATCTTCTTATATATGGGCTTACTTGATACTGTTCTTGTAGAGAAATTAATTAAAGGGATCCATCAATGAGTCTCTCTTCGCGTTTCAAAGAGAATACAAAATAGCGACAAGCTCTTCTTGGGGATTTTTTTTGCCAACTCCCTTTCTCCCATATTAACGTCTTGTCTCCTCCTTCTTCTTAAGGCTTGGGCACATCGCTGGTTGTACTGGCTGTAGCTCTGCACTACTCATCTTTCCCCAGATATAGAAGCTGCAGGGTACAGGCTGATAAGACCTGGCAGGAGTGAGCTAGGCTGGAGGAGCGGTACTGAGTGTTCATCACAGGCCAAGTATCGTTCTAGCTATTGGTATTTGAAGAGAAGTGGCAGAAAGTCAAGAGTAACTGGAGCTGAAGATTATGCAAGCTACACTAGCCAGGAAGGTGTGGGAGCTGAGGTAACATCAGTGGGCTGAGGGCTGGAGCCCATTGAGGAAAGGTCATGGACTGAGCCTGGAAATTGGATTTAGGTAGCATTATATGTTTATACAACAGATGAGAAACATCCCTTTTAGAAGACTTTTTTTTTAACTCAAATCTTTATAAAATTACAAAGTACAAAAATTCAGAGGCCATAGTTATTCCCCTGCCTAAGATCTTCTTTCCAATCTCTATTCTGTCATTAAAAGTAAAGTGAATGAAGGGCATCTGGGTGGCTCAGTCAGTTAAGCATCTGCCTTCAGCTTAGGTCATGATCCCAGGGTCCTGGGATCAAGTCCCATGTCAGGCTCCCCCCTCATCAGGGAGTCTGCTTCTTCTTCCTCTGCCCCTCCCCTCTGCTCCTGTGCACTTGCCTGTGCACGTACTCTCTCTCTCAAATAAAATGTTTTTTAAAAAAGTAAATGAGCAGTATTGCAAATAGCATCCATCGGTATGAACATAGGAATGATTCTTAATAACTTTATTACAAATTACTACATTTTCATTATCAAAAATATGTAAAAACAACAACAACAAAAAATAAAAATCACTTAGTGTCCTACTGTGAAGTAATCACAATTATACTTTTATTATCAAGTGTCAGGGGCAAATAAGGTGGTACGTGGGGAAGATTATTGAGGTATTTTATCTTATTTTTATAAAAAGATTTTATTTATTTACTTGAAAGAGAGAGAACAAGCAGTGGGGAGGGGTAGAGGGAGAGAGTGAGAGAGGCAGACTCACTGCTGAGCAGAAAGCTGGATTCGGGGCTCCATCCCAGGACCCAGAGATCATGATCTGGGCCAAAGGCAGACACTCAACCCATTGAGCCACCCAGGCATTCTTATTGAGGTATTTTAAACAGCTATTTTTTTTTAAAGATTTTATTTATTTATTCATGAAAGAACACACACACACACACACACACACACACAGGCAGAGACACAGGCAGAGGGAGAAGCAGGCTCCATGCAGGGAGCCCGACGTGGGACTCGATCCTGGGACTCCAGGATCACGCCCTGAGCTGAAGGCAGCACTGAACCGCTGAGCCACCCTGCCCTTAAACAAATATTTGTTACATTACTTGGGACATTAAGAGAGACTTTACAAATTATGAGTGTAGAGGAATTTTTGATTTCTACAAATGAGAAAGAAAATATGAGTATAGACACTGTTAGACTTTGAAAGCTTACTTTATGTTTAATAGCTGAGCAATTTTCAGATGAAGTTAAATACATTCAAAGTTTCTGAATGAGGGCACATACCTCTCGTTCCAGACCTTATAACATTTTGGTCAGAATCATGAGCTCTTAGAAATGTTTGTAAGGGAGTACAGACCGTTTATTGATGATAAAATAGTGTGTGTTTATATATAAAAAGCATGGAAAGTTACCTGTCCCAACTGCATGCACAACCAAGGAAACGGAGTTGAGCAAAAAAGAAAAAGTGAAATGTTCGGAACCAGTGTCCCTAATGAAATGGATATAGTTGAATAATATCTCAGATTCCCATCTAGCCAAAAATAGTATCTTTTTTTTTTTTAAAGGTTTTATTTATTTATTCATGAGAGACACACAGATTGAGGCAGAGACACAGGTAGAGGGAGAAGCAGGCTCCATACAGGGAGCTCAACATGGGAATCAATCCCGGGACCCCAGGATCACGCCCCGAACCGAAGGCAGACACTCAACCGCTGAGCCACCCAGGGGTCCCCTAGTATCTTTCTAGGTCTAGATCCTTTTAATTCACCCAGTTGGAGAAAACTACATGGCATTTAAAAATTTTTTTTCTAAACAAGCTAAAATATAAATTCAGTATTTCAGGGATGAGCTGAGAAATTTTGCTTAGGAACTAGAGCTCCATTTAATTAAATGACTGGAAACATGTCATTTCAAAGATGGAAAATAATGATATTTTTAAAATAATGACTTTAGTGAAATATAGCTGACATAAACTGCACATACTTAAAGTATACAACTTGATAAGTTTCTTTATGTTCATTATCTTTTTTAAAATTTATTTTTAATTGACGTATAGTTGACATACAATATTATATTTGTTTCAAGCATACAACATAGTGATTCAACATGTATATGCATTACGAAATGTTTACCATGATGCATGTAGTTACCATCTGTCACTATACAAAGTGATTACAGTATTATTGAGTATATTCCTTATGTTATACTTTTCATCACACTGACTTTTTTTATTGAAGCAGAGACATAAAGTTACCTTAGTTTCAAGTGTACACCATAGTGATTCTGGACTACTCTTATATGCTATGCTATGCTCACTACAAGTATAGTTATTGTCTGTAACCATACAACACTATTACAAAAGCATTGACTGTATTCTCTGTTCTGTAGCTTTTATCCTCATGACCTAAACATTCCATAATTGGAAGCCCATATCTTTTGTCTATCTTCTTACCTCCTTTTGCTTTGGCAAGCATCTCTGTACTTATGGATCTGCTTTTGCTTTTTGTTTTATTCATTTGTTTTCTAGATTCCATATGTAAGTGAAATCATATGGATTTATCTATTTATTACACTTTTTTATGTATGGTATTTGTTTTTCTCTGACTTATCTTACTTAGCATAATACTCTCTGGATCCATCCATGTTGTCACAAATGTCAAGATCCCGTTCTTTTTTATGGCTGAGTAATATTCCAGTGTGTGTATGTGTGTGTGGTGTGTGTGTGTGTATTTCACATCTTTATTCACCTATTGATGGACACTTATGCTGCTTCCATATGTACACTATCGTAAACAATGCTACAGTAAACATAGGGGTGTATATATCTTTGCAAATTAGTATTTTTTTTTCTTTGGATAAGTACCCCTTAAAAGCAGAATTACCAAATCATAAAGTATTTCTATTTTTAATTTTTTGAGGAACCTCCATACTGCTTTCTACAGTGGCTGCACCAATTTTCATTTGCCCCAACAGTGCACAAGGGTTCTCTTCTCCTCACATCCTTGCCAAATTTGTTATTTCCTATCTTTTTCATAATAAGCATTCTGACTGGTGTAAGATGATGCTATCTCATTGTGGTTTTGATTTAGTGATGTTGACTATCTTTTCATGTGTTTGTTGGCCATCTGTACTTCTTCTTTGGAATATGTTTATTCATGTCCTCTGCCCATTTTTTTTATTGAATTATTTGTTTTATTGGTGTTGAGTTATATGAGTTCTTTGTTTTTGATATTTACCCTTTCCCTTTACCAGATACATCATTTGGAAGTATCTTCTCCCATTTAGTATGTTGCCTTTTTGTTTTGTTGTTTCCTTCACTGTATAAAAGCTTTTCATTTAATATAATCCCAGTAGTTTATTTTTGCTCTTGATGCCCTTCCCTGAGGAGACACATCTAAAAAAATAGTGTTAAGACCAATGTCCAAGAGTTTACTGCCTGTTTTCTTTTAGGAGTTTTATTGTTTCAGGTCTTGCACTTAGATCTTTAATCCATTTTTGGGTGGTTTTTTTGATATATGGTGTTAAGAAAGTGGTTCATTTTCATTCTTTTGCATGTAGTGGTCAAGTTTTCCCAACACCAATTATTGAAGAGACTATTTTTTCTCCATTGTATATTCTTGCCTCCTGTCATAAATTGATTGACCTTACAAGTGTGGGTTTATTTCTTATTTTGTTCTGGTATTCTCTGTATTTATTTTTGTGCCAGTGCCATACTCTTTAGATTATTATTGCTTTGTAGTATAGTTCAAAACTTGGCTTTGTGTGTGTCTCATGAATAAATAAATAAAATCTTAAAAAAAAAATCCTGGGATTATGGTACCTCCAGTTTTGTTCTTCCTTCTCAAGATTGCTTTGGCATCCACAGTCTTTTGTGGTTCTATAAAAATTTTAGTTTTATTTGTGCTAGTTCTATGAAAAATGCTATTGGTATTTTGATAGAGGCATTGAATATGTAGATTACTTTGGGTAGCATGGACATTTTATCAATATTAATTATGCCAATCTATGAACATGGTATATCTTTCCACTAATTTGTATCATCTTAAATTTCTTCGATCAATATCTTACAGTTTTCAGAGTACAGGTCTTCTACCTTATTGGTTAAATTTATTACTGAGTATTTTATTCCTTATGATGCAATTACAATTTAATAAGGTTTGATGTATATATACACCAAGATAATGAACATATCTGTCACTCCCAAAAGTTTCCTTGGGCCTCTTTTGCAATCACTCTTCCCTATCCCTTCCTGCCATGCCGTCCTTTTACCCCAGCCCTCTGGCATCTGCTGATCTGTTTTCTGTCATTATGGATTATTTCTTAGAGTTTTATATAAATGAAATTATTTTTTTAAATATTTTATTTATTTATTCATGAAAGACACACAGAGAGAGAGAGGGGCAGAGACACAGGCAGAGGGAGAAGCAGGGGTCTCCAGGATCGCATCCCACATCGGGCTTCCGGTGTATGGAGCCTGCTTCTCCCTCTGCCTGTGTCTCTGCCTCTCTCTCTCTCTCTCTCTGTGACTATCATAAAATAAAAAAATTAAAAAAAATTAAAAAAAAAAGAAAGAACATGCGGTATCTTCTGTTCCACAACTTTTCTTTTCTATATAACAGTAGATTTTGAAATTGTTCCTTTAGAGTACATAGGGTATATCCCCCTTTTTCGTGACTACATAATAATCCATTTTATGAATTTCTTTATTCCACCCTCTGTCAATGGACATTTAAATTATTCTCCAGCACTCCCCTTTGAATCTTGACAAATGCAAACAGTGCTTCAGTGAACATCTTTGTACTTAAACCTTTGAGTATTCGTGTAGTTGTATCTGCAGGCTAAATTTCTAGAAGTAGAATTAAGTAGGTCAATTAATGTGTTTTTTAAATCTTGATAAATAGAAGTAAACTGTCCTCCAAAGGAGTTTTGCCTATTTTTTTTTTTTACATTTTTTTCTTTTAAGTTATCTCTGCACCCACCATGGGGCTTCAACTCATGACCCCAAGATCAAGAGTTACATGCTCTACTGACTGAGCCAGACCGCCACCTCACAGTTGTGCCTATTTTCACTTCCACCACTCTGTATCACGTGCTCAGAGTGCACTTCATATTCTCACCAATACTTTATATCTTTGGACTCTGATCTTTGCTAATCTGATTAGTGAAGACCAGCATCGAGCTTCACCAGCACTTTTCTGTCATAGCGATACTTTAATTTTTTAAAAGTGAAATATATTTAACATATAACATATAAATTTAAGGTATACAACATGTTAATCTGATACACTTATATATCATAATATGATTGCCATTGTAGCAATAATTAGCACTTCTATCACATTATGTAACTATCATTTGTTTTTTAGTAGTTGGAATGATTAATTTCTAGTCTCCTAGTAAGTATGATTATCACACAGTATTGTTGTCTGTATTTATTATACTGTGCAAGAAATCTCTAGGGCTAATTTACGACTTGTTGTAAGTTTTATCCTTAAACACCATCTGTCCTCTTCCCCACCCCCACCCCCCATAGTCCCCTGACAACCACCATTTCATTCTGTGCTTTACAAGTTGGTCTTTTGGGGCATTTCTTTAATACAGTTGAGCATCTTTTGTGTATGAATCACTGATACTTTTTGCAGTTACCTCCTTATATATAAATCAGTGTTTTAAATCAGTCATTTCCATGCTTCTGAAAAATTTTGGTCGAACCTTAGAATGCTATCTCCAGAATAGTGCTGGTCAGGACCTCAAAGGAAAGGGCAGAAAAGCTAAGCCACCAGTGTATCCTCTTCCCAGAAATCCTCTCAGGATTCCTGAGAGTCTAGCCAGAAAGCTATATGGGCATACCTTGTTCTATTGTTGCTTTGCTTTATTACATTTTGCAGACACTGCTTTTTTTTTTTTTTTTTTTTTACAAATTGAAGATTTGTGGCAACTCTGTGTCAAACGAGTCTATCGGTGGCATTTTTCTAACAGCATTTGTTTACTTCATGTCTCTGTGTCACATTTTACTGATTCTTTCAGTATTTCAAATTTTATTATTATTATATTTGTTATGGTGATGTGTGATCAGTGATTATAATTCATTGAGGGTCCAGATGATTGTTAGCATTTTTTAGCAATAAAGTATCTTTAATTAAGATACTCATGTTTTTTTTTTTAGATGTAATGCTATTCCTGAACATTTAATAGACCCCAATATAGTATAAGCATAACTTATATATGAACTTGGAAACCAAAAAATTCACTTGACTTGTTTTATTGCAATATTTACTTGATTGTGGTGGTCTGGAACCAAACCTGCAGTACCTCTGAAGCATGCCTGTATTATGGTTTCCATGATTGTATACGTACACTCTTCTTCTGGCTTGCATAACTGATTTTGATAGTGTTCTGTACTTAAGTTGAAGGCAATAAAAGTTTTCCTATCTTTCTTCCTAAATTATGAGACTTAATTATGGTAGAAATAAAAGAATATCATTGTTAGAAGCAAAGCCTAAGGGATACAATTAGAGAATTAGCTTTTTCCAGTTCCTGTCAAAATTTGTTTCTTGCTTACTAATTAAACAAAAAGGGAAACTTAAAAAAAAAAACTAGGAATGGATAGAGAAGAGGTGGTAGGAGTAGTATTAATACATCCTTCAAACTTACAATCTAATTGGAAAATTTCATTAAGTATTATAAGCGGGAGCAGTTAGCTAGGAAAATAACTCGTACAATATAAAAGTAAAAAGGTCCTTTTTGAAGTGTTGCTTTCAGGAAATTTTGCAGTAGGCTGATGACCTATCTGAACACTAGCTTTCAAAGTAGGAATGAGACCCTATTTTGTCCTATAGCAGGCACTGGTCTGGTGAATTTTGTGGTATTTCTGGCTGACAGGTGTAGTGGTGTTGAACACTTTATTTTGGAAGTTATTGGGCGCCTCCCTGACATGGAGATGGTGATCAATGTACGAGATTATCCTCAGATTCCTAAATGGATGGAGCCTGCCATTCCAGTCTTCTCCTTCAGTAAGGTAAGTATAGGGAGAACTGTATGGGGAGATGGAGGGTGGTCCTCTAGAGTATGAGTAGGAGGTAATTGTTCTATGACAGAGTTTGATGGGTAATGGTAAGGATGAGACCTGGGTTCCAGGAATTGGTCTGTGTCCCTCTTAGTTTCACAGTGGCTGAGCAATGACTGAGGAAACGGATAATGTAAGATAGCTTAAGTGTCTATAGGGCTTGGGATGAAGGGTAGAGAATGATGGAGGCCTGAAGAACCTATAGGACATTGAAGGCAAGGTACAGAGATCCTGTGGAGTGTGGGAGAGTAGCTCATGGGCTTTTAGTTAGGGAACACCTTTGTTCAAAAAATATTTGAGTTCATACACACACACACACACACACACACACACACACACACACACATAGTCCTATCTGTCCTGTCAGTCTATTCCAGGGGCTTCACATGGCTAATTGTAAAACTGAAGGTGGTAGATAACTCTGTACAGTTTGTGCCTGAGCAGTGCATTGAGGAGGTAGGTCTGGGATATCCAAGAAGGATATGTGAGAGGGTCTAGTTGTGGAGGAATAGGAGTACTAGCTCATGTTTCTGGACTTGGAAAACTTGGGACAGTTAATATCTTCTCAGTGTTCAGGTATTGGCAGGGATGGGCCTTGGTTCCCCAGAGACTAGACGGGATTTGGGGGCGGGGGGGAGCTCAAATTGAATGGATGGAAGACTCTATGGGGGAAGTATGGGTTTAGGAAAACCCTATGGACTTTGAGAAAAGGAACACCATCTGATTTGGTTTCTCCAAAGAGGAAACTTTTATCTGCACTTTTTCTTTATCACAGTTTACTTTCTCTCTAGACTTGGTTATTTCCTGTGTTGCAAGTGGGCTGAGACCACATTGGTGTTGCATTTCCCATGGTTTAAGCCTCATTTCTCAAAAGTGCTTGGTCTCGTTTATCATAAAACCCTCCCAGAAGAACAGATAGAGGCTCCCATGTAAGTCAGTAAGGACTTTATGTTTGTTATTTATTTGTTGTTTTGGTGGATGGCAAAGTATGACCATCACTATTCAGTATTCTAACTTTCCTTTCATCTTTACTTCTCTCCTTTTTTTTTTTTTGACCAGTGACTCCCAGGCCCTAGAGAGGGATTTTAGTCTTTCAACTTTATAGGAATTGTTCAGCTTCTGTTGAGCAGCTGATGATGTCTGAGCTGCTTGATGAATCACATGCTGTTTTTTAAAAGTATTTGAGAAAAGGCAAACAGCATATTGTATGTGTAATTCCAGTGAAGAAACCAAAGAGTTAGAGGTTTATCAGTCGCCAGAATTTTTTTTTAAAGATTTTATTTATTTATTTGTGAGAGACACAGAGAGAGACAGAGAGGCAGAGACATAAGCAGAGGGAGAAGCAGGCTCCATGCAGGGAGCCGGATGTGGGACTTGATCCCGAGACTCCAGGATCAGGCCCTGGGCTGCAGGCTGCACTAAACCACTGAGCCACGCGGGCTGCCCCAGTGGCCAGAATTTTAACAGAAGATACCATAAGAAGGGAACAAATGGTTTTAAACTTTTTTTTAAAGATGTGGGATAATATCCCTTTCTCCAATTCTGCCCACCAGCACTTCTGGCCCCAATCAACAAATAACCCAAAATCAACTGAGCAACCAGTGTGAGCTCCACAGTACTACAATATGACATTATCGTAATTAATACTTATTAAATACTTACTATGTACCAAACACTGATCCAAGCTTTTCACATGTACTAACTCATTTAATGCTCAAAATAAGCCCATCAGGTAAGTAATATTATTGATGTTATTTTTCCCATCATAAAGATAAGGAAACTGAGGCATAGAAAAATTAACTTCCCTGGAGTTAGAAGGAGATAGAATCATCATTCAAACTCAGATGATCTGTTTCAGAGGCCACGCTTTTTGGGGATCCCTGGGTAGCTCAGTGGTTTAGCGCCTGCCTTCAGCCCAGGGCATGATCCAGGAGTCCTGGGATCGAGTCCCACGTCAGGCTCCCTGCATGGAGCCTGCTTCTCCCTCAGCCTGTGTCTCTGCCTCTCTCTCTCTCTCTCTCTCTCTCTCTCTCTCTCTCTCTGTCTCTCATGAATAAATAAATACAATCTTAAAAAAAAAAAAAGGCCATGCTTTTAACCATTGCACTGTGATTCTTGCTCTCAAAAGACCCATCTAGGAAATAATCAGGAACTGGTAAGACAGCATATACTCCAAGTATAATAGCAGTTGAAAGATGAGAGAGCTCTGTGATCATTCGGAGTTAGATATTTTATTTCCTTAAAGTAAGTACCCTAGCAGTGTACTGTCCTCTAGAAAAAAAAGAACTTTGAGTAACTGGATTCACTGAGCCTGTGAATTTTAACCCATGGTCTAACTTGCCTTTTAATGTCTGGAGTCTAGACTTTGCAGACTAAGGAAAATATGTCTGTGGAGATGTAACACAAAGAAGATGTAACACTTTTGTCCAGATCTTATGGTATGACTGTAGTTTGTCTCTCCTGTCTGTCCTAAGACTGATTTAGAATAACCTTTCTGTTTCTGTTGAAGACATCAGAGTACCATGATATCATGTATCCTGCTTGGACATTTTGGGAAGGGGGACCCGCTGTTTGGCCAATTTATCCTACAGGACTTGGACGGTGGGATCTCTTCAGAGAAGATCTGGTAAGGTAGGTCCTTTAGAGAGGTTTTATTTGTCCTTCTTTGTGAGTCTTCTTCAAATAAACAGTAGGACACACATAATTACCTACTTTAAAATGACTAACTTTTAAGTTAAAAACAAAAGAAAAACTACTTACAGCATAAGCAATTTTGAATGTGTATTTACATATTTACATAACCATGGAAAAGAAGAACCTACCCTAAAGTATCAGCAATGCCTTTTTTGAAAGGATTATGAGAACCCTTTCTTTTTTCTTTAAATTTTTCTATAATTTTAAGATTCCTGTATTTTTATGAATTCCATTCATAATTAGAAAAAAAAAACCATGTTGTGAGGGAGAATAGAGAATTACTTGGAGGAACATAAATGTACTATAAAATTTAGAGCTAAGTCCTTGAGGTATGGGGATGGGGAGGGCATAAACATCCTTACAGGTATCTCTAGTACGAGCTGATTCACAACGGAGACCTGCCTGGGGCTGTTGACTCTATCTGTTATCATTTCAGAATTTAGATTGTCCAGGACATCCAAGCTGAGGTATTTCTTACATAGCTACATTTTACATTAATGATTCAATCAACATTGGTACCTAATTAGCATACTTCTAAAAAATACAGCCTTTATAGGTCTTCTCTCAGGTAGTGGGAAAGCAAAAATTTAATTCAGCTTTATTTCTACAAATATCTATCACCTGTACCACATATGGCTGGAGATTCAAAGGGGGCAAAAAGAATATCCCTTTCCTGAAGAAACATGTAGGGGTGCAGTCCTCAATGGCAGTTAGAGCTACTGGGTTAAAAAATGAGGCTATTATCCAGTAGATGTATTTTGAAATTTATTTTTTAAAATATTTTACTAATTTAAGAGAGAAGAAGAGAGAGAGAGCGCAAGCATGAGCTGAGGGAAGGAGCAGAGGGAGAGGCAGAAGCAGACTTCCCACTCAGCTGGAGCTCAGTGTGGGGTCTTGGTCCTAGGACCCTAAGATCATGACCTCAGCCAAAATCAGATGCTTAACCAACTGAACCACCCAGGAGCCCCAAAAATTACTTTTTAAGATACTTTGTTTTATACTTCATAGAACTAGAACTGGAAATTGTCCTTTTCAACTCTGGAAATGAAGGCCCAGAGAAATTGAGTGACTTGGTTAAGGTCAGGAACCAATCTAGGCCTAAAGTCCAGGTGTCCAAGTGCATTACTCTCTCCACACTACTAGTTAACCTCACCCATGCTCTCCAGTCATTGATACCATCATTTTCTATGTAGCTTTTGGTTTTAAACATTTGAAAGGGAAAAATCAAAAGGTCTTTAAACTGCCTTTCTTCAAGTTATTCTTGGCCTTAATTATCTAATCCTTTTTTTCCTTGCAAATACACTTTTCACACTTTTTCTTTTTATAGCTCTTTTTTGACCCGCTATCCATCTACTTTGTTGTTGTTGTATTTTTTTTTTTTTAAGATTTTACTATTCATGAGAGACACACAGAGAGAGGCAGAGACACAGGCAGAGGGAGAAGCAGGCTCCATGCAGGGAGCCCGACACGGGACTCAATCCCGGGACCCCAGGATCACGCCCTGGGCCAAAAGCAGCGCTAAACCACTGAGCCACCCAGGGATCCCTGTTGTTGTTTTAGAAGGAGCATGAGCTAGGTCGGCGGGAGGGGCAGAAGGTCAGGGAGAGAATCTTAAGCAAGTTTTGTGCTGAGCGCTGAGCCCAATGAGGATCTTAACCTCATGATCCTGAAATCATGGCCTGAGCCGAGTCAAGTGTTAAACACTCAACTGACTGAGCCACCTAGGTGCCCCCTATTCTGTCTCTTAAATCTTTAAAAAAAAGCTTTTTTTTTTTTTCTGATTATGAAACCTATACATGCTCATAAAAATATATGTTTAACATTGGCAACTTTCCCACCAACTTACTAATGTGTCTTAGAAATCTTTGCATATGGAAGATTATTTTTATCAGTTGCGTGATATTACTTTGTGTGGATAATAATTTACCTCATTATTTTCTGTGACAGACTTTTAGCTGCATATGTAATATATGAACCATTTCTTGTTTTCTGGACTATTTGAAAGTATGTTACACACCTGACCTGTACATCTTAAAATATTAGTGTGTATTTCCTAAAAGCAAGGATAGTCTCTTTTATAACCATGCTACAATGATCAAATTCAGGAAACAATATTGGTACAACATTTAATTATATTGATAATATCATATATGGCACATTCTACCTCCAGTACAGGATACAGTCATATGTGGCATTTAGTGGTCATGTCTGTTTAGTCTCCTGTGATCTGGAACAGCTCTTCAGTCTCTTTCTCTTTTATAACATTGACATTTTGAAGAATGTAGGCTGCTCATTATATAGAATGTTCTTCAGTTTGGTTTTGTCTGTTTCCTCATGATTAAATTCAGCTTATGTACCCGTGGTCTGAATACTTAAGTGATTTGCGTTCATCCATGCCTCTTTAGAGATGTTAATTTTGATCACCTGGTCATAGTGTTAACATTCCTCCACTGTGTAGTTACAGTTCTCTGCACCACCACCCCCATTCTGCCTTCTAAACTACTAAGCAATTTTTAGGGAGATAGATTATGTTTTAAAATCTAAGTTTAGGGATCCCTGGGTGGCGCAGCGGTTTGGCGCCTGCCTTTGGCCCAGGGCGCGATCATGGAGACCCGGGATCGAATCCCACGTCAGGCTCCCGGTGCATGGAGCCTGCTTCTCCCTCTGCCTATGTCTCTGCCTCTCTCTCTCTCTCTCTCTCTCTGTGTGACTATCATAAATAAATAAAAATTTAAAAAAAAAATCTAAGTTTATAAGAACATATTTTTCTTTTGATACCATCCCATCTTATTTTTCAGTTGAATTTATTTAATGGAGTGCCTGGGCAGCTCAGTAGGTTAAGTATATACCTTCAGCTCAGATCATGATCTCAGGGTCCTGGAATTGAGCTCCTTGCTCAGTGGGGAGTCTGTTTCTCCCTCTCCTCTGCCCCCTCCTCTGCTTGTGGTCTCTTTCTGTTTCTCAAATAAATAAAATCTTAAAAAGTATGATAACAGAATTACAATTTTATTGTTTAGAGCCCTCCATTCAGAAGCTCTAGCCATGTAATTTCATTTAATTTGAAACTTTAATAATCTGCTTGTTTATCTGCATTGAAACCTGCCTTCTATTTTTCTAATCTTTTGGGAGTTTGTCCCCACTGACTTATTTTTTACTCTGTAGAAGAATTCAGTGTTTCTGTTGATTTAAAGATTTTGGTCTTTACTGTCACAGGGTGGTGATAAAAGAGGTCTGAGTCAGCACCAGCATGTTACTTTTAGCACTTGCATAGGGAAAAAAGTCCTAACATAGGTCTTTTGAGGGGCAAGTAAGTAGATAGAAAGAATGAGGGAGAGGGAAAACAGAGATGGTACAAGTCTGTGAATATTAAATACAGCTTTCCCAGGGACCAAGGACATTGATACTCAAAATTGTAAATTTATACTTTTTTTATTAGGTAGTTTGGCAATATATATCAAAATATAAAATGTGTATATCTTTGACTCAGCCATTTCACTTCTAGAATTTATCCCGAAGAGTTAATTAGACAAGTATGTAAAGATGTGTACGTGAAGATGTTCATGACTGTGTTGTTTCTTAAAGCAGGAAGTTGGAAACTTTTTAAAAGCCAATGAATAAGTAATGAAGTAAATTATGACATGGCTACAAAATGCAATATTGTACATGAATGTGAAGTTCAGGTAGTATAAGGCTTAAAAACAGGTATTCTGGGCAAACTGCTTAGCCTCTCTGTAAACTCAACAGTAAAGTAGGGTTAATAAAACCCACTTAAAGAGGCTGTATCATATATATATGATCCCTGTTATATAGAGCAAGGTTTGACATTTTGGACTGGGACATTCTTTGTTGTACGGGGCTTGTCCTTGGTCTTAATGTCACTAAATGCCAGTAGCCATCCACCAGTAGTGACAATGAAAAATGTCTATAGTCATGGCCAAATGTCTTCTAGGAGAAAGGGGCAAAATCAACACCAGTTGAGAACCACAGACGTGTAGAGATGATTGGAAGGAAATTCTTCATGGAAACGTTAAATTGCTAAAAGTGGTTGTCTACAGATTGGGAAAGTTCCAGATGATTTTTTTTGTCTACTTTTACTTTATGCTTCTCCCTAGGATATATCATTCTTTATATTAAAAAAATTACAACCCCATAAAACAAAAATAAACTGGGGTTATGGTGTGTTTCTATTTTGGTCAAAGGGAGTGTAGGACACAATGACAAAGAGTTCTGGTCTTGGACTGGGGAGTCTGATAAAGATGATCCATGAAGAAAGAGTTCTAAGACAGGCCAGGAAAATGAACAGTGCTCTCAGCTGAGAGAAAATGAGTGATGGTCATCTGTACCTAAAAACTTTATTATATCCTAAGTCACTCCATTATGGTAAATAGTGTACCAATCTCTCATTAACTCCAGTTCAGCCCTTCCCCTCCTTTTTCAAAGGAAGACACTGTGCAACTTCTGTGCAGGGTTCCTACAAAGGAAGTTAAAAATGATGCATCTGTCAGCTAGCAGTTTCAGCAAGGAAAGCTGGTCATGGAAATGTATACTGAGACCTCAGTTTCAGGGATTTTGGTGGAGCACTTAGTACAGTCTCAAGAATATCAGGGTGCTTTGCAATAGCAGACAAATTTTTGGTGATACTGCCTGTGTATCCAAAACACGAAGTCAAAGAGTGATTTGTTTTCTTCCCCTTAAATCAATTTCTGATTTTTTTTTTTTTTGCAGTTCTCTTTGCCTGTTAAATTTATCAGTAGCAGCACTCTACTTATAAAGTAGAGAAGAAATCTTCATTGTATTGCATTTAACAGCTCTCAACATGTCATTTAGAGCTTGGGAAATTTTTTAAAAGATTTTATTTATTTATTTAGAGAGTGCACATGTGCATGCTTGTGCCTGAGCAGGGGGAGAGGGAGAGAATCTCAAGCAGACTCCCCGTTGAGCAAGGAGCCTGATGTGGGGCTCAGTCTCAGGATCCTGAGATCATGACCTGAGCTGAAATCAGGAGTCAGATGCTCAACTGACTGAGCTACACAAGTGCCCTGGGAACTTTTCTTTCAGTATTGTTAATTTATTAATGAAGCTATGGATTGTAGATTATTGGCTAGCATCTCCGGAGTGAAGTAACAACAAAAGGGAATATAATGTCTTTGAGGGCTTTTTCTTTGAGAGCCTGGGGCAGACTTATTTAAAAATGTAAAGCTCCGGACTAATCTTCAGAAATGGTTAAAACACAGGACACCTGGGTGGCTCGGTGGTTGAGCATCTGCCTTTGGCTCAAGGTGTGATCCTGGAGACTCAGGATCGAGTCCCACGTCAGGCTCTCTGCATGGAGCCTGCTTCTCCCTCTGCTTGTGTCTCTGCCTCTCTCTCTGTGTGTGTCTCATGAATAAACAAAGTCTTAAAAAAAAAAAAGAAAGAAATGGTTAAAACACATCCTCATATAGTTAAGAGAAAAATATAGAAACTAATTGAAATCTGTTTTTAGGTCAGCAGCACAGTGGCCATGGAAAAAGAAAAATTCTACAGCATATTTCCGAGGATCAAGGTGACTGTATTTTCTGATATTTTGTAAGATATTTGTAAGATATAAGTAATTTTGAGTGTGTGACAAACTAGTTCAAGGAGAAAGCTAGAAGAACTAAAGCAAATGTGGAATCATAGAATTTTAAACTAGAGAAGAACTCAGATTATTTGCCCAAATCACTTTTTTCTTTGTTTTTTTTTTTTTTTTTTTTTTTTTAAGAGAGCGAGAGCATGCGCATGTGAGCAGGGGAGGGGGTGCCGATGGAGAGAGAGAGAGAGAATCTTAAGGCTCCACACCCAGCACAGAGCCTGACTCAGGGCTTGATCTTAAAACCCTGAGATCATGTCCTGAGCTGAAATCGAAAGTGGGACACTTAACTGTTTGAGCCACCCAGGCACCCTTCACCCAAATCACTCTTAATTGAGCTGGAACTGAAAGAAGTAAAGTTCATTCATCTAGTCCTTCAACAGGTATTTACAGAGTGCCATGAGTGTATTAGGCATTGAGTATATGTTGAAGAGAACAACTGAGTTGTCCTCTTGCCTTAAAGATTGCAGTTTTCTGCAGGGAGCTTCTGACCTGGCCCTATGCTAGTCACTCTGCTAGTTAATGGCAGAGCAGGAACCATCACCAGATATCCTGATTGCCCTTCCTTCCTTCCTTTTCTTCCTTTTCTTTCTTTCTCTCTCTCTCTCTCTTTCTTAAAGATTTTATTAATTTATTTGAGAGAGAGTGAGTGAGAACAAGTGGAGGGAGGTGGGGAGGGCAGAGGGAGAAGGAGAAGCAGATTCTCCACTGACCAGGGAGCCTGATGCAGGGCTCAATTCCAGGACCCCAAGATCATAACCTGAGCTGAAGGCAGACCCTTACCTGGCACCTCTGACTGCCTTTTTCATGAGGCCATTTGGCTGCCAAATAGTGGTGGAGAGCAGAGACTGAGACTGCTGGAAACGGAAAGGGGAGAAAGGGAGGAAGAGGGAGAGGGAAATGTTGGGCAAGAACCCTCTCCATGTTGCTTAGACCCACATCCCATGTGCCAAGAACAGTACTTAGCATGCAGATACATGACTAAGATCTGCTGTACAGATGAACAAAACAGGGAGAAGGGTTTTATCATTTTCCTAGTCAGTCCTTGCACACCCTCTACTTGGGCAGTGAACTTGAGAATGTAGATGGGCCCAGCAGCCACTGTTTACTGGTCCTTATCAATGTCTCTGATTCTCAGATCTTGGGATCACAGCTTCTTAACCTGGGACCCATGTGTGGACTTGAAGAGTTCTAGGATTTCCTATAAAATATGTGGGGATATGGACACTTTTCTAGAGGTCCACAGGGGGTCCAGGGCCCTCAAATGTCAAGACCATCTGCTACTTGGACCATAACTAGGACTTTTTCTACATATAATCTTCAGGTTTTTAAGCCTTTTAGTTTTTTTTTTAATTTAAATATTATACTAGACTGTATAGAACACAGACAACAAATGTCGTGTAGCTATTTTGGTGAGGCATGGTGCTTACCTAGTCACACAGCTATGAGTGATTATAGAGGCTACATGGTGCTTACCTAGTCACACAGCTATGAGTGATTATAGAGGCTACATGAACCCTGCTAAAAGGGAACTCATTCCCTGGGATATGCCTGTAGTGCCCAGAACAACATAATCTTAAAGATTAGATGCAAGCAAAAAAGGGCCCAATACTCTCCGTCCCTGAAAGGTAAAGTAGGGAATAGCCAGGAACACCTATATGCTGCAGAGCCCAGTACACCCTTTCTCTGCTGTTAAAATAACCAATAAGTTATCTATGTGTACGGTCATTGCATTGATCCAATTACTGCTTACCTTTCAGAGATTGGGAACAGTATTATGGTGTAGGATACCTTGTTTTATATCACATGTTTCTTTTATAGGACAAGTCCAGAACGAGATCCTCTCATTCTTCTATCTCGGAAAAATCCAAAACTTGTTGATGCAGAATACACCAAAAACCAAGCCTGGAAATCTATGAAAGTAATCACCAATTGTCTGAATAGAATCATAGCAGGGAACATTCCTACTCAAAGAAATTGCCACCTGGGTAGAATTCCAGATTAGGTTCCCTCTCAGCAGTAGAGGAATGTAGAGAAAGTTCCACAAACTAGTATTAGGATATATGTAAATTATTATTTTTCAAATTCACGTTGCTCTTCTGGGCCATATTATGAGTAGTAGTTTTTAACCACTTTGAAGGTTTAAGCCAGAGGACACCAACTTTTTATGGAAAGGGCCAGATGGTAAATATTTTAGGCTTTGTGGATTGTATATGGTCTTGTTGTAGTTATTCATCTCTGCCGTCACAGGGTGACAGCAGCTGCAGAATATATATAAATGAATGAACCTGGATATATTCTAGTAAATCTTTTTCTACAGCACGGAAATTTGAATTTCATGTAATTTTCACATGTCATATTCTTCCTTAGGTATTTTCAAGGACTAGAAACATAAAATATTCTTAGCTTATAGGTTGTATACAGAAACAAGCAGTGGGCCACAGCATTTGGCCTCTGGGCTGTAATTTGCCAGCCCCTGGTTTAAACTATTAGTTCTCAACCCTGACTATACAATCTAATCCGAGAGCTTAAAAACATCAATCAAATGAATCAGAGTCTCTGGGGATGTCCAGGCATCTTCATTTGTTTAAAAATAGGGGTTTACATTTCAAAACTAATAAGGCACATGTAACTGAAATATTATAACTCAATGCCAGAACTAAGGTTTAGGTGAATAGGTAAAACCAGGTCAGAAGGAGGAATTGGGATTCAGAGAGGTGAACTGTAAGGTGAAGCCAGCAATGACTGGCTCCTTCAGGTTGGAGTTCATCTCTGTTCTCTTAACCTCTGTGACTTCCTGCTTTATTCAAAGAACTTTAAGTCTTAAATGTCCTCATTTGAAATTTCCATATACTATATGGGGATAATAAGGAAAAAAATTTTAAACTTGTGGGAAAACTAAGCATATCTGAGATGTATTATTTGATACTTTTAATCAAACAGGAGCAAATGAAATTTTAAGAAATTTTGTTAAAAAATAAAAATATGAAAAAATGTATCCATTCAGCACAGCCTCTACTGTGGGAAGCTGGGAAAGCAAGTAAGACTTGTTTCCCTCACTAAGACGTTTACCATCTGCCAGGGTAGCTGGAATATAGATGGAGGCTGGGGGGGGAGGGGCGGGTCTCAAACTCAAATGCCTCTGAGGGCCACAGGAGTGAGCAAGAGAGAGTGCTAGAGGACCAGTGATTGCTGCCAAGGGACTAGGAGTCCAGTTTACCAGATCTTCTTTTTTCTTTTTATGAGAAAAGTTGGAAATCTGGATTTTTGTAAGAAATATCTTACCATCTATGAGTGTTGGCAATGGTTTGAATTTTTATTTCTAAGTACTTTGCATCCCCAACAAAATCGTGTGTGCGTTACACCTCTAAGCCCACCAGCCACCCCCTAATGTCTTGTATGTATAACTTACGCAGAGTGAAACATGCTGTAAGTTAGGACCTCTAAGTACAGAGAAGGATCCATGTGGCTCTGAGAGCTTTAACCTCTAAAATCAGACAGGCCCTGAGTTAAAACCGTTGTTCCTCTACTTAGGCACACATGACCCTGAGCAAGGGCCCTCCAGCTTTTTAAGGCCATGACTCCTTCATCTATAAAATGAGATAATAATCTGAATTATTATCAGAATGTGTTTATCAGGGCACTGAGATGAGGTCATGTTGATGGAATGCTTAACAATGCTTGCTGCAGTGAGTGGTCTTCAATCAATACGACCACTCTCAATACTAATAACATTCTTTTTGCTTGAAGGATACCTTGGGGAAGCCAGCTGCTAAGGATGTCCATCTTGTGGATCACTGCAAATACAAGTAAGACTTCCAGGACTCCTGACTCTTGGTTTCCCTGTTGCATTTGGAGTAGCTTCACTTTGGGGGAGAACTTCAATACTAGGACCCAGGTGGGGTTTATCAAAGTCCTGTCCTTCATTTGGTTGTTTACCGAGACTATGCTATATGCACGAGGCTCTCACCTGAGTTCTGTGGGAACTGTAGGACAATGATAATAAAGGTCCCGGCCTCCATAGACCTTGCTGCTAGTAAGCAGAATGGTGGGACTCCCTCTCTCCAACACCCCATCCAGCCAAGAGGTGAAGTTAGATGAAGTATGTATCAAGTTAATAAGGGTTTACATTTCAAAACGAATAAGGCATATGTAACTGAAATATTATAATTCAATGTCAGGACTAAGGATTAGGTGAGCAGGTAAAACCAGGTTAGCAGGAGGAAGTGGGGGAATTCAGGTGAATGCTGATTACACTGCACAGTGGGAAGTATAGGGTAGAAACAACTCTAGCTGGAGATGGGGGTGCATGAGAAATGCTGAAAAGAAAATGTTCTAAGATAGCTTTTTTCCAGAGAGTATTTCTTTGAAGGTTGATGATGTGTATACCTGGTTCTCTTCTTCCAACTTGAGAAAAAGAGGGAACAGGGAACAGCGGAGGCTTTCAGTGGGGTACCTTATGGGAAAAACAAGGTTTTGGGGAGCCATGACTCATTAAAGAGATTAGGCCCAGGAAATCTTGTACAAAAGCCCTAAGATACTGTCTCCATCTGAGTCTTAACATGTCTATCTAGCACCCAGCTCATGGCCCTATCTGGGTCTGTCTGGAGAAAGAATTCTCCTTGCTCCCCTCACCCTGACATTACCTAAAACAGGCAATAGACCCTGGAAACCCGCAGGGACATGTGGATGTGTCCTAGAAAGCTGAAAATAGAAAGGGAGGGAGAGGAATCATAAAAAGAGAGAAGAGGAGGAGGGAACAAAAAGAAAAAAAGATATTTGTGGCAGACGTATAGTATCAAGTGTATTTTGCTCTTTCTTTCCCAGGTATCTATTTAATTTTCGAGGTGTAGCTGCAAGCTTCCGGTTCAAACACCTCTTCCTGTGTGGTTCACTTGTTTTCCATGTTGGTGATGAGTGGTTGGAATTCTTCTATCCACAACTGAAGCCATGGGTTCACTATATCCCAGTCAAAACAGATCTCTCCAATGTCCAGTGAGTAGCTCTCCCCCAAGCAGAGTGCCTAACTAATGATGCCCACAATCTGCCTCTCAGGCCCCTGCCATGTAGGACATTTACAACTGGTGACTTTTTCACTTGAAAGATTTTTTTTCTTACTTGGTTTGCATATATAGTGCCGCTATTCAACTAGGCTATACGTGAGATTTAATTTGAAAAAGTGCTCTAATGCTACTTTGAAATGTAACATTCAGACAGTATGCGGTGGAAAAGCTCTTATCTCTCAAAGACTAAAGATAGGGATGTTAGATGCTGTTATATTGTCAAAGAGACTTTCAGATACAATGTGAGAACTGACACCACTGAGACTAATTTTGTCACGTGATGGGAGGAGCTAAGAAGAGATAGGGCAAGGGGCCAGGAATGCGAGCCCCATGCCCTCTTCTGGGGGCAAGAGCAAGAGACAGAAGGGAAACTTCATCACTATTGATTTTTTTTATGTGTATCATTGAACATTTCTCTATTCTCTCAAGTATGTCCCAAATCTATAAACAGATTGCCTTTAGACTATGTATGAGCTTTTGTTATTGATATTGTTGTTGTTTTGGCCCTGTGAGGACTCTAATATCTTTGCTTTAAAAAAGAAATAATCCGGGGCACCTGCATGGCTCAGTGGTTGAGCGTCTGCCTTCAACTCAGGTCATGATCCCTGGGTCCTAGAATCAAGTCCTGCATCAGGCTCCCTGAAGGAAGCCTGCTTCTCTCTCTGCCTGTGTCTCTGCCTCCCTCTGTGTCTTTCATGAATAAATAAATAAAATCTTTAAAAATATAAAAAAGAAGGAATCCATTATCTACCTATCTAGAGATTAACCATAGATCTTGGTCTATAGTCTTTTTTTTTTTTTTCCAAATTTAGGGAACTGTTTCTATTTTTATTTTTAATTATTTAAATTTTGTTAGTTACCATACAGTGCAATATTGATTTCTGGAGTAGAATTCAGTGATTCAGCAGTTACATATAACACCCAGTGCCTATCACAAGACCCTCTTCAATACCCATCACCCATCTAGCCCATCCCCTACCCACTTCCCTCCATCAACTCTCAGTTTGTTCTCTGTCATTAAGTCTCACATATGGCTTGTTTCCCTCACTCCTTTTTTACTTTCCCCCTTCTGATATGTTCATCTGTTTTCTTTCTTAAATTCCACAAATGAGTGAGATCATATGGGTTTTTGTCTTTCTCTGACTGACTTATTTCACGTTAGCATAATACACTCTAGCTCCATCCACATAGTTCAAATGGCAAGATTTAATTCTTTTTGATGGCTGAATAATATTTCATTGTATGTACACAACACATCTTCTTTATCCATTTGTCATTTGATGGACATTTGGGCCCTCTCCATAGTTTGGCTATTGTTGATAATGCTGCTATTAACATTGGGTTGCATGTACCCCTTCAAATCTGTATTTTTGTATTCTTTGGGTAAGTATCTAGTAGTGCAATTGTTGGATTATAGGGTAGTTCTATTTTTAGCTTTTTTTTTTTTTTAAAGATTTTATTTATTTCTTCATGAGAGACACAGAGAGAGACAGAGACATATGCAGAGGGAGAAGCAGGCTTCCCACAGGGAGTCCAATGTGGCACTCGATCCCAGACCCCAGGATCATGCCCCAAGTCGAAGGCAGACACTCAGCTGCTGAGCCACTCAGGTGTCCCTATTTTTAGCTTTTTGAGGAACCCCCATACTGTTTTCTAGAGTGGCTGTACCAGTTTGCATTCCTATCAATAGTGCAAGAAGTTTCCCCTGTCTCCACATCCTCACCAACACCTGTTTTTTCTTGTGTTGTTATTTATCCATTCTTTCAAGTGTGAGATGGTATCTCATCATGGTTTTGATTTGGATTTCCTTGATGATGAGTGATGTTAAACATATTTGCATGTCTCTGTTAGCCATTTGGATTTCTTTGGAAAAGTGTCTGCTCATGTCTTCTGCCCATTTCTTAATTGGATTATTTGAGGGGGGGGGATGTTGAGTTTGGAGTTCTTTTGGATACTAACCCTTTATCAGATCATTTGCAAATATCTTTTCCCATTCTGTAAACTGCCTTTTAGTTTTGTTGATGGTTTCCTTTGCTGTGCAGAAGCTTTTTATCTTGATGACGACGTCCCAGTAGTTCATTTTTACTTTTGTTTCCCTTGCATCCAGCAATGTGTCTAATAAGTTGCTACCAAGGTCAAAGAGGTTGCTGCCTGTGTTCTCCTCTAGGATTTTCTGTCTCACATTTAGGTCTTTCCTCCATTTTGAATTTATTTTTGTGTATGGTGTAGGAAGTGGTCCAATTTCATTCTTTTGATGTGGTTGTTCAGTTTTCCCAATACCATTTGTTAAAGAGACTGTCTTTTTTCCATTGGATATTCTTTCCTGCTTTGTTGAGGATTAGTTGACCATATAGTTGTGGGTTCATTTCTGGGTTCTCTATTCTGCTCCATTGATCTACTTGTCTGTTTTTTTGCCATATATATATATATATATATATATATATATATAGTCTTTTTTTTTAGCTTGGTCTATATTTTAAAGTCTAATAATTATTTCAATTTTAGGGAGTTGTTGCATTTTGTAAAAGCAAATGATGATGTGGCTCAAGAAATTGCTGAAAGGTAAGTTCTGTTCATTTTTCCTTTTTTTATTTTACTTTAGCATCCCCAATTTGCACTCTAGCTGAAGGTATATGAATATTGTTATCATGGTGATAGGTAGATTACATCCTCACTACACAGAGATAATCAGAATTAAAGCTGTTCTGGAGGAAAACACACATTCTCATATGTCCCAAGCCCATTCTTTATAGAAATAGACTGAAATTTTTGAGGTAATTAAACAAGTACAGAATTTCTGAGCATTCACTCCTTATACATTTGTTTTTAAGAAAAAAGATATTAAGTTTATAAGTTTTATTGCTAAGTGCATGTATGTGGATAGGCTGGCTATAAGCTTGGCTCTGAGAATCAAAAGAATTCATATAAAGCATAAGAATTCTGTACAGTACTTAGTACAAAGTAAGCTATTACAATCACATGTAAGCTATTAGTATTATAAAATGCTGTGCTTTAAATGTTCTTGTTAATTTTGTCTCTAGGGGAAACCAGTTTATTAGGAACCACTTGCAGATGGAAGATGTCACCTGTTACTGGGAGAGCCTGTTGACAGAATATTCTAAATTCCTGTCCTATAATGTAACAAGAAGGAAAGGCTATGATCAGATTATTCCGAAAATTTTGAAAACTGAACTCTAGTAATCATCATCAGACCACAGTTCTCTCTGGCAGCAGCTCTCAGATAGCCTGTGGTGAGAAGCTTACCATGAATGTGGCACGATACCTTGAATACTTTTATCAAGCCAAATACCTGATTTTCCTTATCATGCTGCACCCAGAGCAACTCTCTAGAACGATCCAAAATGTGTATAATACAGACCTGAAGCAGCTCAAAGCTCTGGCTGAATAAGGACCAGAAATCATAAGATGTGGGTTTTGAACCCAGTTCTACTTTTTATTTTCTTAAGACCAATCACAGCTTGTGCCTCAGACCATCCATACATGTATGTCCATCACTGTGAAATTAACTGTGTCTATGGGATGGTACTTTGTCCCATTATTTGGAGCAGAAAATTGATCATTTGGAACTAGTACAACTCATCACCACAATTCTTTTTTTTTTTTTCATCACCACAATTCTGCAGTTATCCTAGGTTTTATCTCTGTCACTGTATTTTAATGTAGGAAGCCCTATAGGGTTTGTGAAAAATTCTTGGGGATCATTGCCTGAAAGGTCTAAGGAAGTAGTAGTTGTACATGCAGTGATGTGGCAGTTCTCTTTTGTAAAAGCATAAGCTTTTTGGTACTCAGGAGGTTTCTATAATGCCACATAGAAAGGGGCCAGTTGCATGAATAATTATTGCAACTGGATTTCAAGTTCCCCTTTTGTGCCTTCACACACTTGTTTTATGGTCTCTATTTAAAAACAAAAACAAAACCTCTTAATAAATTTAGGAAGTAGTCTTTACTCTTCAAAAGAACTGTGCATAAAACACCAACCAGTTCTTCCTTACTCCTTGCACACCCTTAATATTTTTCCTCTTTAAATTGGCAGTAGTCCATAGCTTCCAGAGTGTGTGGTGACCTCAAGGAGTCTTCACCTCTGAAATGTTACATTGGGAGCTTAGACATCCAGCTTGAGGATGGAGAAGATACTTCAGTGCAAATCCATGTTGGAGTACCTTCTTTCCACTTTCCATTTTTTGAAAAACACATTTGGATAGTAGCTTAATTGCTCAGGATGCTCCCCTAACACAGTCAAAAATAAAAAAAATATTAAATGAAAACCCATAGAGTCAGGGGACTCAGAATCAACTTCATTCCTTAGGCCCAACTTTCCCACACTGAAATCAACTCTTCTACTTTGCTTCTTAAGGAACCATTCAGTATTAGTTGGTTTCAAAATTAGTAAATGTGAGTGAGGTTCAGTCATATAAGATCAGGGATTTTATTCCATTAGTGAGAAATGTATTTGGTTTTTTAAACTTCGTTCCACAAAATTTTAAGGACAGTCATAGAGGAGTTGGATATCCTTGGTAAGATCATCGCATAGAATAAGGCAGACATTGAAAGTTAGATGTTTCTATGTATTAAAAATTCATGGGGACCATGTCTTCAGGTGCTAGAAGTCTAGCGATAAGCAATCTGGATTTCTGAGTTGTACTGTAGTTTTGCCTTGTCAGTATGAGGCCTCAGTAATGTTATCTTTCTCTCCGTGTTTTAATTTTCCTGTCACTAGACTAGAAACAATTTTCTGTCCTTTGGATTAGGAGCTGAAACTGCATTTCCCTGGGAATTTCCCATTTTGCTTCAAGTTCCAGCTCAGGTATCCCATCTCTGAACGTTTTCTTTCATTCCTCTATGCAGGTAGGAGCTATCATAAATAACTTTGCTCATGCCTGAGTTATATAACATCTCATTGCACCGCAAGTATTTGCCTATTTCTGGTACTGTTCTGTGGGCTTCTTGACATGTGGGAATCATGTTTTACTCATCTTGATGTCTCTATTATCCAGTACAGTGCCTCGCACAGAGTAGATACAAAGAATTATTGGGAGAATGGGTGGGTAGATGGATGGGTGGATGGGTGGATGGGTGGTTGGATGGATGGATGGATGGATGGAGGCAGTTGACTTAACTAGATCCTATTTACAGATAGCCTAGCCTAGCCGTTAGCTCCTAAGGGGGACTGGACAAGACTCTAAGAGTTGGATCAATGCAGATTCTTACCTGCTCTTTGAATAGTCAATAAGGCTATCTTTGTATTAAATTCAGGAAATGTTATTCGGATTTTCTACTTATGTGTTTACCTCAGTGTAGGTGGTATGAGGATGGTGTGTAACTATGAAAAATGTATGTTTTTGAAAATAATTTTTATCCCTGTAACTTTTGAAGGTTGTTGTTTGTTGTTAACACTGGCTAGGTCCTGCGGTGCCTGAGTGACTCAGTCATCTGAGCATCTGATTCTTGGTTTCAGCTCAGGTCACCACCTCAGGGTCATGATCATCGAGCTCTGCACTCAGTGTCGAGTCTGCTTGAGATTCTCTGCCTGTCCCTCTCCCTTCCCCCCCCCCAAGTAAGTAAATAAATAAATAAAATCTTTAAAAACAAAAAAACACTAGCTAGGTCCCACACTTACCTTTCCTCCTTAGAGCACTAAAGGTCATACTTTTCTTAGAAAAAAAAAAGAATAGTTTATTTGAATGAAGTAGGATACATGGGTAAGACAAGTAATGCCTTTCCTTTCTTTATCTGGAGAGTATCCTCTGTGTGATGTCACCAGTATCCAACCTTATTCTACTGTGGTAGTCAGGTTCTCCTAATTGCCAAGAACAGAAACTTCTAACTAGTTTACTCAAAAGAACTTATTAGAAGCATATGAGGGCATCTCAAAGAACCTTGACAAATTTCCTAGCAGTTAGAGGGATAGAAATAAGGGCAACTCCAGGAACCTCAACAAGAATTTTGGACTGCTCTAGAGTGCTGCTGTGTACAGTTCCAGAGACTGTCAGGCTCTCTCAGCCTGAGATTCCCAAGAGAAAAAAATTTAATGGGCTCCTTTGGTTCAGCTCCAAAGAGGATAGTTCCTTACACTGACTACAAACAAGAACACACAGAAGTACAGAAAAATCCATCTTCCCATGCATCTAAATATGCCATCACTTAAGATAATCCTACTGCATCCAGAGGTAATGTGCTGTGGGTGAGGCAGAGGGCTACAACTACAAAATTTAACATTTTTCAAATACTTCTTGAGCATCTACTGTACACAGAGTGGGAGATAAGAAAATGTTTACAACAGGCTCCCTAGCCTCAAGGGGCTCTGTAGTTGAAAAAAACAAATAACAGTATGAGAGGCATCATAAGCAGAAGGTGATTAAGGTGACATGAGGCTTTAATCAGGAGGCCAGTTATTCATACAATGTGAATTTGGAGTTGAGAGAAGAAAGAAATTTCCATCGAGTGCAGATGGGAATCTTCATGGTGGTAAAATCTGAGTTGTGCTTTGAAGGATGAGTAAACGAAGTGGTCCTGAGGAGTTCTCAAAATTTGTTTTTTTCTACCTATGAAAACAGTTTATGATCATATATAATACAACAAACTGTAATATATGTAGCAAGGGCAGTATCTGATGAACCTAGCAGGGAAAGGGAAACTTGTGACTCCTGAGAGAAAATTCATGTTTGGGGAGGAAGTGTTTGAGTTTTGTGCACGGAACTCAGCAACAAGGGCTGAGGGTAGAAGAATGGTGGTTCCAGATAGTGTGGTGACTATATCGAAATCCTTCCTTGATGCCTTTACTCTAGTAGCAAAGGCACATGCTGGGAAGGAGAGAGCTCTATTTAAACAGTAGTCCAAGCAACCTCAAAACACCTTTTGGGTTAGCATTGTTCGGAGTCCCCTCAAGAAGACCCCAGATCACACAGTAAGGAGGGTATTTCCCTAGTGATTAGAAAAAAGTAAGACCTGGGGATCTGAAAAAGTGGAAGTGTGACAGAAGGTAGAGTCTGAGTTGCTGAGATGGAATCGCAGCAACAGTGTGAGCAGTCACCAACGCTCTGGGGACTTGTCGAGGTACTACCAGATGGTAAAGGGAACCTTACAGTAAGGCTCCCAAAGTTAACCAAGAAGCAAAGAAGGCAGCTATAGAGTTCATGAAATTTGCCTGTTAATAAGACATCATTTGTATCTGCAGGGTACGCGTGTCCCTGGGGACATTTGAGTTGTATCCAAATGGCTTAAGTAGTAACTGCCCAACATCCCTGCTCCAAATTGCAAGTCCTCCCTCATCCCAGAATGACTCTGGAATCGTCACAAGCATTTTTTTATTTTTTATACATGTAGACTTGCAGACTTCACCACCATTTTCTTGGACTTCAAAGCCGTGGGGCTTCATCCTGGTGCCCACCTCTATCTATATGGGGTAGGCAGCAACCTGGAGTGAAAGCCAGGAGTCAGGGCATCTGAATTCTTTATGGAACAACCTATATGCCGGACCCAATGCTAGGTCCTGGACATACGGAGATGAAGATCCCTGGCCTCTGAGCTCAGAATTAGTCTACTGAGACACATCAGCAATTAGGCAGTTGTGATGCAATGTAGTAAGCGATAACGATGGGAGTTGATGGAACCCGGTCTCCCAGATAGCGGTCACTAATTCAGGTAGCCCCTGTAGTCAGTCACCCCTCCGGGCCTTATCAAAGTCCAGAGTTCCGTTTACTGTATCCTTCTAAAGAGTGTAGCAGTTCTCAATTACGTCTAGAAAGGAATAAAGGAGGGGTGGGGATCGGACTGGGTCTGGTGGCCAGCGAAACGAAATCCCACAAACCAGTTCGGGAGTATCATAAACGCGTGCGTTTTATTTTATTTTATTTATTTTATATTTTTTTAACGCGTGCATTTTAACAAAGACTAATACCTCGACTGCTATGTTAGCAGAGGCTGTACTGAAGGTAAATTATGGCTAGAATATGCAAGAAAAACACCTGATAGCAATTCCAGCACTTGTTCTGCCTTTTGAGAAAACAACAGGCATGTGAACTAACGGTGGTAAAATCCATCTTGTGAACGACACCCCCCGCCCCCGCAGCTGATTCCTCAAAAAATTGTTCTGGAAACCCCAGTGTATCTGGCACCAAGGCCCATCCATGCTCGATGCCGCAGCCCGGGAGGTCGGCGACAGGTAGGTCGGGCTCGTGCTTGCGCAGGTGGTCTTCCCCGCTCCACTTGTATCGACTGTTGCATTTTCTTTTTCATCTGTGCGGAATCCCCGGAGTCTTAAGGACCTAAAGTACGTAGCCTGCGACACCTGGACGCCCGGAACCGGCGAACGGGGGCCCAGAAAGCCGGGAGACACCCGGGGACGCCGGGCGGGAGGCGGGGCGCACTCGCCGCCACTCACATACTTCCGGGGGCGGGGCGGGCGTTGGCACCGCTGAGGGTCGCCCCGCCTGCAACCGGAAGTGTTTTCCAAGGGCTCCGCCGTCGCCCCGCCCATTGACCTTTGCCCCTGGCGGGGACGGCACTTCCGGTCTCGTGTATCCAAGGCCTCCCAAAGTGAAGGCGGGTTGGGAGGACGGGGATGTGAGGAGTTGAGGCGGCAGGTCGGGCAGCCGGCAGGCTGGGGCCGTAGCGCGCGGGGGCTGAGCCCCTCCTTGCCGCAGTTCTCCTGTGTCCTCCCCCGGCGTCTCCGGGAGGCCTGGGAGCCCTGAGAACCCAGGCGTGTGTCTGTCCTCAGGTTCCGAGAGAGCCATGGCGGTGCGGCCGCGGGCGCCACAGTGCTTCCTCTGCGGGCGGCTGAGTCCTTTCCCCCGCGTCTTCGCTGCTGGAGCTGTGGCCGCCGAGTCGGGGGCCCTCGCGGGGGACCAGGAGCTGCCCGACTACGCGGAATCCGGATGGGACCGCCTCCGGGACCTGTTTGTCAAAGAGTAAACGCGCCTCGGGTCTGTGGGGGAGGGGGCCGTGAAGGGCTGCCGGGCCCCTCAAGGGAGAGCTTCTTCTTCTTTTTTTTTTTTTAAATAAGATTTGGCATTTTAATATTTGTATCCCCAGCTTGCGTCCCCTGACATCCCCATCTGGTAGTCGTGTTGGTTGACAGGACAAGATTTCCAGTGGGAAGGGGGAAACGCACTGCATGTGGGAGCTCTGAGGGCTGTTGAGGGAGTAGAGCCTTCAGGGTAAGCTCCTGGCTTTGCAAGTTGGAAGAACTGGGCCGAGCCAGTCCGTGTCAGAACTCACCCCGCAACCCGCGTCTGCAGGGCTCCGCTCCAGTGTTGTTCTCACTTTATCACAAATTGGTATTTTGTAAAAAAAAAAAAAAAAAAAATGGTATTTTGTGATCATGACCCCTGCTCCTCTCCAAAACATGAAGGTCGAAGAGATGGCAGAGAGACCCAGAATATTCATTCTGTCAAATAAGGGGGAAAAAAATTATATATGTGTGTATATATATATATTTACATACATATATAAAATAGCAAATGTCTCATCCATTCATGGAACAAGATGTTAGCTGGATTAGCGGATAAGGTTATTTCAGAGTAAAGGATAACCCTTCAAGTGGAATTGACTTGAATGAAAGACTCCGGATATTTCAGTCGTCCGTGCATTCCATCATTTTTTCGTTTATCAATCACTGGTGAAAAATTTGCGCTTTTATGGAGTAGGTTCCCCTACAGTTGTCAAGCGGTTAAATGAGCTGAAGCTTTGTGATGTCGCTGAGGTTGTTGGGGCAAGAGAGCTTCAGAATCGTGTTTTAATTGCTTTATTGAGATTTCATCTTTTTTTTTAATTTTAAAATTTTTAGATTTAAAATTTTAAAGATTTTTTTAAATGTTTTTTTGATTTTATTTTTTTAAAGATTTTATTGATTTTTTAAAAGATTTTGTTTATTTGTTTTAAAGATTCTATGTATTCATGAAAGACACAGAGGAGAGAGAGAGGCAGAGACATAGGCAGAGGAAGAAGCAGGCTCCATGCAGGGAGCCTGATGTGGGACTGGATCCCATGTCTCCAGGATCGGGCCCTGGGCTGAAGGCAGGCGCTAAACCGCTGAGCCACTCAGGGATTCCCAGATTTTATTTACTTGAGAGCAAGTGAGAGAGAGAGTGTAGGCATAATTGGGGGGGGGGAGGGTACGGGGCAGGGGCAGAAGGAGAAGGATAAACAGACTCTGCTGAGCAGGGAACCTGTCCGGGGTCTTGATCCCAGGACCATGACCTGAGCTGAAGGTAGACGCTTAACCCACTGAGCCACCCAGGTGCTCTTCGCCTTTATTTTAAAGTCATTGAGGCAGCCTTTCTCATTGGTCCTTCCAGTAGTTACTTGAAATGCTTGTGAAAGAGCCTACTAGGATATAACAGAAGAGGTCTTTTTTTTTTTTTTTTAAATGATTTACTTATTCATGAGAGAGGCAGAGACACAGGCAGAGGGAAAAGGAGGCTCCATGCAGGGACAGTGATGTGGGACTTGATCCTGGGACTTCAGGATCACACCCTGGGCCCAAGGCAGGCGCTCAACCGCTGAGCCAGCCAGGCATCCCAGCAGAAGAGGTTTAATGTTGACCAGCTTTATAAACCACAGAAGGTTGGAGCTGAAAGAAATTTGAAGGTCATCTAGTGTAATTTCTGTGCTCCCCTCCATTGTAGATGAAGAAACTAAGACTTCTAGAGATTGTGATCTGGCTGCAGGTCACCTAACAGTGGGTGACAGAACCAGAACCACAGTCCTATTTGTAGTTTAGGTCCTTTCTACCACTGTGCCATTTCTTCACTTTTCATTGGGTATTTGAGCCAACTGCAGAACTTCTGAGAACCACTATTTCCATATCAATAAAATGGATAGATAGATAGATAGATATGTATATCCCCCATGTCATGGAATTTTTTGTAGAAAAAAGGCAAAGCATATACATCTGGCTTATTAAATGTTAAGCTTTTTACATTTTCTCTTTTCTGAGTTCTGCCACAGACCAGTTTTTAGGTAAATATTTTTTATCTTATTCAGTGTAAACGATAAATACAGGGTTCAAATTTTTTTTTTAAAGATTTTATTTGGTTTTATTTATTCATGAGAGACACAGAGAGAGAGGCAGAGACACAGGCAGAGGGAGAAGCAGGCTCCCTGCAGGGAGCCCCATGCGAGACTCAATCCCAGAACCCCGGGATCATGCCCTGGGCCAAAGGCAGGCGCTCAACTACTGGGCCACCCAGGGATCCCTACAAGGTTCAAATTATAGCAGTTTTTCCTATTGACATAAATATAAGAATTACAGTTTTCTAAGAAATTAGATTTCTCTTGTAGATGCAGGAACTGTTAAAGACTCCTTGATTCTGATTTCAGAAATGGGGTTCTTGACGGAGCACTTAGGTGGCTCAGTCAGTTAAGTATCCAACTCTGATTTTGGCTCAAGCCATGATCTCAGGGTTGTGGGAGCAAGCCCCATGCTCCCAGGGTCTGTGCCTAGCAGGGCATCTGCTTGAGGTTGTTTTCCCCCTCCCTCTTCCTCTCTTCTCCCTCCACTCATACTTACACACACTCTCTCTCATAAGTAAGTAAGTAAGTAAGTAAAGTAAATAAATAAATAAATAAATAAATAAATAAATAAAATCTTTTTTTAAAAAATTCAAAAAGGGAAATAACTGATCTTTGCATCCAGCTTACAAATTCCTGTTTCCAGAGATGTGGTTGAGTTGTAATAGTCATCAAATAAAAGTACCTGAGGAAAAAAAAACTTTATTGGAACATAATTTGCACCTAGAAAAATATTTTCACAAACCAAACATAGCTGTGTAACCAACACCAAGAGACTGTTAGCAGCATTTCAGAAGCTCTCCTTGTGCCACTCCTAGTCACTGCCTTTCCAACAAATAGCCTAATTTCTAACAGTGTAGATTAATTTTGGCCAAGTTTTGAGGTACTTGTAATATAACTGCATTGTTTAATGTATCAGAAGATTCTGCCCATAATGAAAAATGTGGTGATACTAGTATTGGGATAATTTTGAACGTACTGTCAGGGAGCAGTCTAATTCCAAACATTGTCTTTTTGATGTCTTAGTGAACAACAGAGAACTTCAAAGGAACTTGAGAATATTTATAAGGCAGCAGTTTCAGCAGGCATTATCGGCTGGGCATATGGCGGCATACCAGCTTTTATTCATGCTAAACAGCGCTATGTTGAACAGAGCCAAGCAGAAGTTTATCATAACCGATTTGATGCTGTGGTGAGTACTGATATTCTAAAGGTATAAGGCACACCAGTTTAGCAATTCACTTTACACTTAAGTAGGAGGGCTGGGAGGGTTTAGGATGTTAGGTTAAAGAAATAGTAACAGTGGAACTACTGATGGTAAATGCATACACATGGCTTGTCAGACCAGGTTTCTTATCTTCAGAAGGATTATCACCAAGGCTGTACTTTCTGAAATAATATTTCTAATCCCTAGCCAATCATCAAGGTTAGCTGTAGCATATTAACCCCATTTGCAGAGCCTCCATGGAAGACAGTAGTTCATACCTAACAATAATTAGCATTTATAACTTGACAGTTTACAGAGTGCTAACACATTTGTTAGATCTGTATATCACTTTTTGTTGTAAAAGTGAGGAAGTTAAAGCTCGTAGAGTTGTTTTAGAGTATTTTGAAATTATGTCAGACTTAACAAGTTGCAAAAGTAGTACAAAGAATTCTTTTATACCTTTAACCTAAATTCTGACTTATTTATTAAAAGCCATGAGTCCAGGGGTGCCTGAGTGGCTCAGTTGGTTGAGCATCTGGCTCTTGGTTTTTGCTTAGGCCATGATCTTGGGGTCATGGGATTGGGGCCTGTATTGGGCTTCCTGCTATGCAGGGAGTCTGCTTGGAGATTCTCTCTCCCTCTTCCTGTGCCCCTCTCCCTGCTCACATGCTCTGAATTTTAAAAAGATAACATTTGGGACTCCTTGGTGGCTTAGCGGTTTAGTGCCTGCCTTCGGCCCAGGGCATGATCCTAGAGTCCCAGGATCGAGTCCCACATCGGGCTTCCTGCATGGAGCCTGCTTCTCCATCTGCCTGTGTCTTTACCTCTCTGTGTGTGTGTGTGTCTCTTATGAATAAATAAATAAAATCTTTTTAAAAAATAAATAAAAATTAAAAAAAATAACATTTAAAAAACAAAACCAAACAAAAAGCCATCACTCAATACTGATACTCTAGAGGTTTCGACTTGCCCAATATCATATAGTAGTTAAGGATCTACTTAGGAATTCTCTCAAAATCTAGACTATATCCTCAGGATATTATACCAGACTTGCCCTATGGTGATATGAAAATGTGCTGTGGAGACAGACAACCTATTTTCCAATTCTGACTTTATTCCTTACTGGCTGAGTGATCTTGGTTAGAAACTTCCTTTAGTAAACTAGCTCTAGTAAAAACTGAAGCACCTGTCTCAAAAAAATTATAGATTAAATGAGGTAGTATGTTAACACAACTTTTACATCGAAAGTGGACGCTAAATATCAGTTCTCTTTTCTTTCTCTGTTCCTTTCCTGCATGTCTGTGTTACTATCATCCTTTCCCTTTTATTTACTGTTTAGTTGGTTGTTCCTTTTTATTTTATGGTTTCTTTTTCCCAAGATTTCTTGAATATAAAAAGCATGCCTAACACTGACTATATATTTGCCATGGCATTTGCTCTATAGATTCTCAGTTTATGCCTCATTGATAGATTACTTGGTTGACACTGGCAATTCTTAGTTCTTTTTCCATTTCTTCTTTTTTTTTTTAATATTATTTATTCATGAGAGACACAGAGCGAAGCAGAGATATAGGCAGAAGGAGAAGCAGGCTCCCTTTGGGAAGCATAATGCAGAATTCAGTCCCAAGATCCCAGGATCACGGCCGTTGAGCGCCGCTCTTTTTCCATCCTCTGATAGATTAGGATGTTTGTAGGACTTTGGCTTTATCATCTCATCACTACTTAAACAATGATATTGCTATAGGTTGTATGGTGTTTCTGTTTAGATGTCTCTACCTAATCCATAGCCAACATCCTTCTGCCAGTCTCAGAATAAAGAAGGTATCAAAGTATCTTGGAACTTCACAGCCTTTTCATTAACTTTAGCAATCTGCACATCGTGCTGCCACACGAGGCTTCATCCGGTACGGCTGGCGCTGGAGTTGGAGAACTACAGTGTTTGTGACCATATTCAAGTAAGTTCTCTCTAAATTGTGACAAAGGGTCTTGGTATTTCAGGAGCATATCTTTTGAGCAAGTGATATTTTTAAAAACTAAATACCCACATGAAAGTGACTCATAATACCCTTTTCCTCAAGAACTTTTATCTATCTGTGTAAAAGATTTGCAAATGTAGTTTTGCATCCATGGATGGAAGTCTATTAACTATTACCCAAATAAGTGCAAGGTTTCTTAGTAAGAGAAATTCTGCAGAACTCTTCTTTACATATCTTTTTCTAAGTGAATATTTTTTCCAGAAATTTGACTATTCTTTGGTTCATTCTTCAGCAGAGGAAGGCCTACCTAGAAAACCCGTAGGCATATTAGTAGTCTGGAACACATTGATGAGGCCTAGAGTAAGACTAGGAATTGACATAGTTGGCACTTCTAAACTAATACTACTTTAGTGAAAATTATGGTCAAGAAAGTAAATGAGATATGCTTTAAATTTTGTTTTCTTCCTTCCCCCTTCTTCCTAGCACAGTCAACACTGGTCTAAATGTGTACCGAAATAAAAATGCTCTAAGCCATTTTGTCATTGCAGGAGGTAAGACATTTTTGTTCTTATTTATGTTTTTCAGTCTTCTCAAATATGATTTGGGAAATATTTAAGGACTTCTAAATCAGAGCTACCGAATTCTTTGGTTGACTTCTCATCACATCTCATTCAACATTCATGTAAAATGTATAAAGAGCATTGTGCTTGGCCTTTGGTATACTTGGTGAACAAAACAGAAAAAAAAAAATCTGTTTTCATGGAGTTTTACCGTCTAATGTAATTTGGAAAAAAAGATTGCGGTGATAGAAAGTAACAAATAAGTGAGACAGTGGGATGGTCAAGGTGATCAGAGAAGGTTTTTTCTGGGGAGATGACTTTGAAGCTGATACCTGAAAAATGGGAAGAAGTAAGCCTTGAGGGTGAAGGCTCTAAGGCAAGAAAAGTTCCTCAAAAATAGGATAATATGACTGGAACATAGCAAGCGAGAGGGAAGAGTGCCTTGAGATAAGATTGGCGAAATGAAGTAGAAAGGGACCAGATTTTTTATGGTAAGAATTTGAATTTTATTTTAAAGCTCTATGCCTCTGGTAAATGTGACCTCTTTAAAATGAATGTTAAAAAAAAGTATTGAAGTATTATTTCCAGAACTATAAATAAAGTGCCACATATACTCAAGCATTCACTACCTCTTGTACATTCTCTTGCATACAAAAACATAGATATATAATGCACATAACATTTAAAAAATATTTAATTTGGAAATAATTTCAAGCTTACAAAGAGTTTTAAAAATAAAAGTAGTACAAGGAATAGCCTTCATATCCTGAGACTCAACTGTGGTTAAACATTTTAGTCCATTTGCTTTATCACTTGTGCTCTTTTTTGGGCGCATGCTATGTACATATACACACATGTAAAAGTATATACACATAGTTTGAACTTAATTTAATGGAAACATTTAAAAATAAATATAGAAATTTTAAAACAGGGATCCCTGGGTGGCGCAGCGGTTTGGCACCTGCCTTTGGCCCAGGGCGCGATCCTGGAGACCCGGGATCGAATCCCACGTCAGGCTCCCGGCGCATGGAGCCTGCTTCTCCCTCTGCCTGTGTCTCTGCCTCTCTCTCTCTGTGTGACTATCATAAAAAAATAAAAAATAAAAAATAAAAAAAAAAGAAATTTTAAAACATTTTAACATAAAACTAGAAATAGTTATTAATAGCATTGGAACGGTTGGAACGTGCCCTTTTTTAAACTTGCAGCCATTTTTCCATTGGTGTTCTGTAGACTCCAATGACTGTATCCAAACCAAATTCTGTTTTCCTCCCCTAGCTTCCATGCTTGTTCCTGCTCTTATGATCTCTATCATCTATCCTTTTAAATTTAAAAAACCTGGGATCCCTGGGTGGCGCAGCGGTTTGGCGCCTGCCTTTGGCCCAGGGCACGATCCTGGAGACCCAGGATCAAATCCCACATCGGGCTCCCGGTGCATGGAGCCTGCTTCTCCCTCTGCCTATGTCTCTGCCTCTCTCTCTCTCTGTGACTATCATAAAATAAATTAATAAAAAAATAAATAAATTTAAAAAACCAACAAAGCCAAGCAAGGATATGGTCCTGCTCTTCATCTCCTCCTTTACAAAGTTCTAGTCTTACCAATATATTTTTTTAAATATATATGGACCCCCATCTCCTTTTTCCTCTCACTGCTGCTATCCAGTCTTCCCAGTTCTAGTCTTGGTTTGCTCTACTTCCAGTGTTGCCTTCGTACTTTTTTGAACTAGAAATACGATTTAACACTTTTTTGCTTGAGGTTCTTCCATAGTTTCACATCATTCTAATGCTGATTCTTGATCTGGCCCCCATAATCTGCTCTTGCTCCACCCTTCTGACTCCGCTGTAATTTCCCAAACCCAGTATAATCTTGCTTCACATGTATGGGTTCCTCTTCTTGAACCTGCCTTACCACTACCATATACAATTTTGTTTAGCTCTTACTAAATCTGTCTTTCAAGGTTCAGCTTGTCTGTCAGCTTCAGTTTTCCTAGAGATCCTTCCTAGCCCCTATTTTCTTATCTTCAGGTCTTTTTTTCTTTTAATTAAAAAATATATTTCATTATTTCAGTTATTTTAATGGAATCTTTGGTTATTCTAATTACAAATTATTGATGGACAATTTATAAACACTGTGTGTGCACTGTGCCATTCTTAGTTTATTTATTTTTTATTTTTTATTTTTTTTGTATATTTTTTATTAGAGTTTGATTTGCCAACATAACAGCATAACAGCCAGTGCCCATCCCGTCAAGTGCCCCCCCTCAAGTGCCTGTCACCCAGTCACCCCATATCCCCCTCTCCTTCCATTACCCCTTGTTTGTTTCACCTTTAGGTCTTTATAGGTGTTTTTCCCCTATAGTTCAGTCTAAATACTTTAATCATAGCACTTAAAACACTATGTTGTAGCTGTTAATTTGTTTTGCTTCTCTACTAGATGACTTACTTGGTATCAGAAAAGTCTTTGCCTTTTATATCACAATTCTTTGATGCATAGTAGAGTAGAATAAATGTTTTTTGAATGTAAATTAAATGTAAAAATTAGGAAAAATAATAAGAATAGAAAAATAAATCTGATACAATATAATTCTTTACCTCAAATCAGCAACCAACATTGAACTTAATGATGTAACACAAAAGTAATTTCCCCTGAAGTCAGAATCAGACCAAGGATATTGGCCTCTCATTATTATTATTATTTGGCATTCATCTGGACATTTATAAATGTAAATGTCACTCAGTTGGCTGAGTGAGGAGCTTGGCAAATCCTTTCCACAAAAAGCAACAATAGAATTAGACAAAATTATCGAAAGCAACCATTTAAAGATGCTGGAAGTTGACCACAAGCACCCAACAAATCAGTAAGCATTTATCCAAGAGTTTCTACTGAGTCTTAGTAAGAACATTGAGAGTCTGTGGTGTTTCAGCCTAGGGTTGCTCCTGCCCCCTAACCCACAGTTCCATGATGCAGAAGTTTCACAAAGATAGGCTGGAGGACCAACTTTCTGTTGCTTGAGGTGGCTGGCTTTATTTGGAACAGAGAATAAAAAATTCCAAGCCAAAGGGAGTTGCTGAAAATAATTGTGACAGAGAAGGGTAATGTCACACAGCTAACCTGAGGTTTTGATACTATTTGGGGTAAGGAATAGACTGGCAGAGGAGACAGAATCTTAACAGGGATATCTAGGGGACAAGACAGCCAGAGAGGGCTTTAATAAGATCCTGCTTATCCCTAGAACCCTGGAAAGTTGCACACGTGTGTAAATATTCATGCACATTCAGGAGAAACTGGTAAGGGCCCTTGCAAGCTACTTATCTTTGGTTAGTTGTGAAGGTTAACTGTGAACACCAAAAGAAAATGCCATAAAAGACTTATAAACTGTCTAAACTTTGAATGCATTCTTCAACACAGATACATTGGCAAAGGATGGAAGCCTTACTGGCTTGAGATGTTTAAGCATAACCTCTAATGAATCATTGGCTGACTACTTAAGCCAGTGTTATGTCTAGGAAACCAGGCATAAAGATAAAAATTGAGCAAAGACTTTAGTGTCTATAGTCTGAAGACAAAAGACTCCATAAAATTGGTCCAGTCAAGTTGCTACATAAACAGAGAATTACAGCCATGCCCCTGGGATGTACCAATAACTCCAGAGATGTGTAATTTATTATCTAAAAAGTATAGTTTTCAATAACAACAACAACAAAATTACAAGACCTACAAAAACAGGGGATTAAAAAAAGTCATTAGGAATGTCTCTGACAGAACCCATCTGTTGAACCTAGCAGACAAAAAGGCTTCATACCTTTTTTTTTTTTTTTAAGATTTTATTTATTTATTCATGAGAGAGAGAGAGAGAGGGACAGAGACACAGGCAAAGGGAGAAGCAGGCTCCATGCAGGGAGCCCAACTCAGGACTCGATCCCAGGTTTCCAGGATCCTGCCCTGGGCTGAAGGCAGCGCTAAACCGCTGAGCCACCCGGGCTGCCTGCTTTATACCTTTTTCAAAGAAATAAAAGTATGATGACAGTGACTTATCAAATAGAGAATGTCAATAAAGACAGAAATTATTTAAAAAATCAAATGAAAATTCTGGAGTTGATAAATACAAAAACAGAAATTAAAAGTTCACTGGAGAGGAGGAGCTCAACACCATATTTGAAATAGAAGAGAATTGGTGAACTTGAAGATGGATCAATATAGATTGTCTCTTGTGAAATAATTTTTTTTGTAAAGACTTTGAGAGAAAGAGCAAGCACATGAGTAGGGGGCAGAGGGAGAGAGAGAGAGAGAGACAAATAGACTCCCCACTAAGCAGGGAGCCCAACATGGGGCTCAGTCCCAGGACCCTAAGAACATGACCTCAACTGAAGGCAGATCTTAACTGACTAGCCACCCAGGTGCCCATGAAGGACAGAATTTTTATTCTTATTTATTTACTTATTATTTTTAAGATTTTATTCTTTTTTTTTAAGATTTTATTTATTTATTCATGAGAGACACACACAGAGAGAGGCAGAGACATAGGCAGAGGGAGAAGCAGGCTTCCCATGGTGAGCCTGATGCGGTACTTGATCCTAGGACCCTGGGACCACGACCCAAGCCAAAAGCATACGCTCAACCACTGAGCCACCCAGGTGCCCCAGGACAGAATTTTTTAAATGAAGAGAAGTGACCTGACCCTCAGCAGTCTATAGGACACCATCAGAAATACCAACAAATGTGTGATGGGAATGCTTAATGGAGAGTAAAGAGAGAAAGGGGCATAAAAAAGTATTTTAAGAAATAATGGCTACAGACTTCCCAAATTTGATGAAAAACATTAATCCATACATCGAAGAAGCTTAACAAACTTCAAGAATAAACACGAAGAGATTCACACCTAGGTGTATAATAATTACACTATTGAGAGAGAAGAATCTTAAAACCAACAAGAAAAAAAAACAACTCATACAAGGAACCATTCCAATGAAAGTAATAGCTGATTACTCATCAGAATGATGGAAGCCAGAAGGCAGTAGAATGGCATTCAAAGACCTGAAAAGAATAAGTTGTCAACCAAGAATTCTATATCTAGTAAACCATTCTTCAAAATTGAAGACAAAAATAAAGACATTGGCAGATAAAGAAAATTTGTTGCTACCAGATCTAGAAAATACTATATAGGGAGTTCTTCAAGCTAAAAGGAAGTGATACCAGATGGTAACCTGAATCTACATGAAGCATTAAAGAACATTGATAAAGATAATTATATAATTAGTATAGTAAGGATAATTATATAAGTAATTATTAAAGACCATATAAATATACATTTTCTCAAGTAAACTAAAAGACAACACAAATAATAAAAGACAATACACAAAATAATAAAATTGAAGTATTAGACATATAGCATGTTTAAAGCTATAGATGGCATTAATATAGCAAATGAGAGGAAAGGAATGGAAGTATGTTGGAGCAAGGAGATGATACCAAATAGTAACTTGGCAGGAAGAAATGAAAAGTACTAGAAAAGGTAAATATGTAGGTTAATATAAAAGACTGCATAAACCTATAGTTTTTCCTTTATTTTCTTAACTGTTGTTTTTCCCTTCTTTAAAATACGTATGATTGTGTAAAATAATAATACTCTGTTGCTATGTTTTAACATACATATATGACATAAGGGACAATAGCACCAAGATAGAAGAGGATTGGAGCTGTATTGGAAGATTCTGTACATCTTACTGCAATAAAATTAGTACTGATCTGAAGTAAATTATGATAAATTAAGATGCATTGGGTAATCCCTTAAGTAATAAGAAAGTAACTTTTTTTTTTTTTAATTTATGATAGTCATACATAGAGAGAGAGAGAGGCAGAGACACAGGCAGAGGGAAAAGCAGGCTCCATGCACCGGGAGCCTGACGTGGGATTCGATCCCGGGTCTCCAAGATCGCGCCCTGAGCCAAAGGCAGGCACCCAACCACTGCGCCACTCAGGGATCCCAAGAAAGTAACTTTTTAAAGTAGTAACAAGGAATTAAATAAGATACATAGAAAACAGTAAGATGGCAGAGCTAAATCCAGCTGTATCAGTAATAACATTAAATATGAGTGGATTAAACACTGCAATCAATAGGCAGAGATTGTCCAACTATTTAAAAAAAAGATCCAATTATATGCTGTCTACAGGAGACAATTTTAGTTCAAAGAAACAAGTAAGTTGAAAGTAAAAATGGTGGAAAAAGATAAACTATGCAAACAGTAAGGAAAAGAGCTCAAGTGGCTCTTCTAGTATCAGACACGATAGACTTTAATATAAAAATGCCAGGGCAGCCCAGATCAATAAATATTTGGAAATTAAACAACATATTTATAAATAACCACAGGAATAAATAAACCACAGGAATCACAAGGTAAATCAGAAATATTTTGAGTTGAATGAAAATGAAAGCACATGCCAAAATTTCTAAGATGTATCCAAATTAGTATTTAGTGGGAAATTTAGTTACAAACACTTACATTATAAAAGAAGAAAGATCCCAAATGAACAGTCTAATTGAAAAGATAACAAAATAGAAAACCTTTAGCAAGACTGACCAAGAAGAAAAAAATACACAAATTACCAAGATTTACTCAAGAACAAATAGAAAATCTGGATAGCCCTATAAGATGTTAAAAAACTAAATTATTAATTTTTTTTTCCACAAAAGCACAGGACCAGATGGCTCCAATGGCTTTTGGAAAGTTTCTTTCTTTCTTTTTTTTTTTTAATTTTTATTTATTTATGATAGTCACACAGAGAGAGAGAGAGGCAGAGACATAGGCAGAGGGAGAAGCAGGCTTCATGCACCGGGAGCCTGACATGGGATTCGATCCCGGGTCTCCAGGATCGCGCCCTGGGCCAAAGGCAGGCGCCAAACCGCTGCGCCACCCAGGGATCCCTGGAAAGTTTCTTTCACAAACTTTTCCAGAAAATAGAGGAAAAGGGAACACTTTCAAACTTCGTTAGACTAGTATTACCTTGATATCGAAGCCAGATAAAGACAACAAAGAGAACTACAGATCACTATCACTGGAGTATATACTCCGGGGTGGCTGGCTGGTTCTCTTGGCAGAGCATGTGACTCTTGATCTCAAGGTTGTAGGTTCAAGCCCCATGAAAGGTGGAGAGATTACTTTTTTAAAAAAAAGTATTTGCACAAAAATTCATAAGAAAATACTAGTAAATGAAAACCAGCAACAAAGACTATTATATCATGACCAAGTGGAATTTATCCAAGGAATTTAAGGTTAGCTTAGAAAAAGCATTTGATAAAAACCCAACATTCGTGATAAAAACTCTCAACGAAGTAGGAATAAAAGGGAACTCCTCTAACCCAGTGAAGGTCGTCATCTATGACAAAACCTGCAGCAGATGTCATATTTAATGGTGAAAGACTGAATGATTTTTCCCTAAGACTGAGAACATGGCAAAGATGTATATATTTGTAATTCAAGTACTTGAGATGAATACAGTTATATATATTATACTGGAGACTTTAACCACAGCATTCAGGCAAGAAAAAGAAATAAAAAGTACCAAGATTGAAAAAAAAAAAAAAAAACCCCAAAAGTATATTGTCTTTATTCATAGAAAACAAGGTTATATGTAATAAACAGTCTAACTCCGTTTTTGGTGTTAGGCTGTTGACAGCTTATAAGCCTCACTACTCCCTCTCCCCACCTTTAATATAGTTTTAGGTTTGCAGTAAAATTGGGCAGAAGACACAGAGATTTTCCATATACTCTGTCCCCCCACTTACACGTAGCTATCAACATTTCACATCACAGTGGGATATTAGTTGCAATGGAAGAACCTACATTGATGCATCATTATCACCCAAGTCCATAGTCCCTTTAGGGTTCAGTTCACTCTTGGTACACATTCTGTGATTGGTACACATTGGTGATTTGTATCCAAACATATGTGTATGATATTGTAGTACCATAAAGAGCGTTATCATTGCCCAAAAAATCTGCTCTACATATGCATCCTGCCCACCAACCCCTGATAGCCACTGATCTTTCTTTCTTTCTTTCTCTTTTTTTTTTTACTGTTTTCATAGTTTTGCTTTTTCCAGGATGTTACATAATATTACATAGCTTTTTCAGATTGACTTTCACTAAATAATATGCATTTAAGTTTCCTCCAATGCCTTTTCATTAGTTGATAGCTCATTTCTTTTTAGTGCTAAATAATATTTCATTGTCTGAATGTACCAGTTTATTATATTATCTACTGAAGGACATTTTGGTTGTTTCCAAGTATTGACAATTATGAACAAAGCTGCTATAAATGTCTGTGTGCAGGTTTTGGTGTGGACATAAGTTTTCAGCTCTTTTGGATAAATACCAAGGAGCATGATTGCTGGATCATATGGTAAGAACATGTTTGGTTTTGTAAGAAACTATCAGACTATCTTCAAAAGGAGCTGTACCATTTTGCATTCCAACCAGCAATGAACAAGAGTTTCTCTTGTTCCACATCCTTGCCAGCATTTAGTGTTATCAGTGTTCTAGATTTTGGCTATTCTTGATAGTTTTTTTTGTTTTTGTTTTTGTTTTAAGATTTTATTTATTCATGAGAGACACAGAGAAAGAGGCAGAGACATAGGTAGGAGAAGCAGGCTCTATGCAGGGAGCCTAATGCGGGACTTGATCCCGGGACTTTGGGATCACGCCCTGAGCCAAAGGCAGAGGCTCAACCACTGAGCCACCCAGGCGTCCCTATTCTGATAGGTTTTTTAAAAAATATCTTATTTTTTAATAAGAGTAATAGAACTAAAGATGATTTTTGTTCTTGTTAATTTTAAAACTTAGAAAATTAAAGAATGAAAAAAAAAAGAAAATTAAAGAATGAATAAGTAATACTTAAATAAGACAAAAAAAAATCTCATTTATTTAAAAAGTATTTCTGAGATGGCATTAGTTGTGTTATACCTAGTAAGGGAGGAAAATGAATGACCTCATAAATAAATCATCCCAATGTGAAGGAAATAGGACCTGTGCACTGGCCACCAGGTGGCAGTGTAGGCCAAATGTCCACTTGTGGGTCTGCCTGAGGTGTGGCCCTACAGAAAGAGTGAGGCTGGGGGGCAAAGGTATAAACTGCAGGGGGTTTTGGAGAAAGCTTTTCTTGAAGAAAGAAGAAATGGAAGAGGTGGAAGTGAAGAAATTACAGATTTTTAAGAGGACGTGGGAAAAATGAAGCAGAATGAGAAGAGATTAGACCACTAGAACAGATGGAGAAATTAGGTTTATAAAAGGAATGTTTCTTCCCTTGAACCTCCCATATGGAAGAGAGAAGCTAGCCATGTGGCCTTTTAGATTCAGGATATCTAGGTTGTGGTGGTATATTAATGTTGGGTTCAGAAAACTTACTTAGTTGTTTATGTCCTTTTTATAGAAGGGAAATTTTAAAAATGGATTCTAGTGTTTAAAGATAATTTCATATTGGTTTTTTGTTTGTTTTAAAATAGCTGTCACAGGAGGTCTTTTTAGAATAAACTTAGGCCTGCATGGTCTGGTGGCTGGTGGCATAATTGGAGCCTTGCTAGGGTAAGTGTTCACATGGTTTCATTCGAAGTTAACACAACTTTAATTAATGCCGTACCTGTCAAAAATCTCATTCATTTCCAAAGAACAAATTCAAATCTAAAAGCCTGTAAAAGGTCTTTAGTCTTGTATTGGCAGTGGCTTTGACTGTCAAATTCTAATTCTACCCCAATGGTTGACTTTACTTCCAATTGTCACTAAGTAAAAACTGTTTAAATATCTCTAACACCTGAAAATACTTGCATTTTTTAAAGATTTTTTAAAAATATTTTTATTTATTTATTCATGAGAGACAGAGAGAGAGGCAGAGACACAGGCAGAAGGAGAAGCAGGCTCCTTGCAGGGAGCCCGATGTGAGACTCGATCCCGGGTCTCCAGGATCACACCCTGGGCTGCAGGTGGCGCTAAACCGCTGCCCCACCGGGGCTGCCCTTTTTAAAGATTTTTATTTAATTTATTTATTCATGAGAGACAGAGAGAGAGAGAGGCAGAGACACAGGCAGAGGGAGAAGGGAGAAGTCCCTCCCTTGCAGGGAGCCCGACATGGGACTTGATCCTGGGACTCCAGGATCACAACCCGAGCCGAAAGTGGCGCTAAACCACTGAGCCACCCAGGCTGCCCAATATTGGCAGTTTGAACAATGGTTTTTACAAGGAGCAGGAAGGAAAGTAAAACAACTAACAAGTACATTACATTAAAAACTTTTTTAGTTTGGGTTTTGTTTATTAAGAAGTTTGAAATTTTTTCTTCTCCAGCTTTTTACTTTGAAACATTTGGACCTACAGAAAAGTTGAATGACTTAGTACATTGAACACCCATATATCCTTCACTTATATTCACCAGTTGTTAACATTTTGCCAAATTCATTTTATATCTCTGTATGTAAGTACAGTTCTTTCTCTTTCTCTTTTTTTTTTTTCTTTTTGGTTGAACCTTTTGAGACCTCATAATTCCTCACCTCTGAATATATCAGCATGGATCTCCCAGGATGAAATGAAGAATATTCGTCAATGATATTACAGTGTAATCATCACAACAAATAGTTTAGCATTGATTCAATGTAGCTGTCTTAGGTAGGGTCCATATTCAAAATTTTTTAAACTAGAACAGTTCCACTGCCTTTTTTCCCCCAGAAAATTTCTCAATTTCTTTTGACTATTCCCTCACGATTAGATTTAGGTTAAATGTTTTCGGTGTAAATACAATATAGATGAAGTTGTTTCCTTGTCCATTTTTCACATCAAGAGATATATTGTATTGCCTATTATAAGAGATGTTAATTTTAATTACTTGGTGCAGTACTTTCTATTGCTGTGTGACAAATTACCACAAACTTCTGCTTGAAACACTGCCCATTTATTTTATCACAATTCTGTAGATCAGAAGTCTGAATAGGCTCAGATGGGCTCTCTCTGATCAGGGTTTTATAAGGCCAACATCAAAAGTACTGGTCACTCAGGGTCTTATTGGAGGCTCTGGGGAAGAATCTGTTCCCAAACCATTCTGGTTGTGAACAGGATCCTTGCGGCTATCGGGGCTGAAGTCACTGTTCCCTGGCTGGTTGTCAGCCAGGCACCACTGTTCATAGAGACGTCTCGATTCCTTATCCTAGTGCCCCCTCCATGTTCAAAGCACAACCAGCATGTTGAATCCTTCCTGTACTTTGAATCCCTCTGATTTCTACACTGCCACCAGAGAAAACTCTGTGCTTTTAAAGAGTTTACCCAGATCATTTTTTGATTCACTCAAATTCAACTTCTTACTGACCTTCAATACATCTGTAAAATTTTGCCATGTAGCATAATCATGGGTATAATATATTCATAGTTGAAAAATTAGGGCAGGACAATTTGGGGGGCCATTTTAGAACTCTGCCTACCACATGTAGCATCTACTAAGTTTCTCCACTGTAAAGGTATCTTTTTCACATTGTGAATAAATAATCTGTGGGATAAGACTGAACAGCCTGTTCACCTGTCTTTTTTCCTGGTGGTTTTAATGATCTATTATAATTATTGCTATAATCACTTACTACAAAAGTGATTGCAAAATGATTTGTTAGTTCTGTCTCTTTTTCTGTTTTTATTAGTTGGCACTCACCTGAATAAGAAGAGTTTTCCCTTTCCCTCTACCTATGCCCTCCCTTTTTCTATCCCCTTTTTAGGAGGAAGATATATGCATTCTTTTTAAAAATTCTTGAAAATTCCGCATGTCATAATTCATTGCTGACATTATTTTTATTATATTGTGGTTTTTTGTTTGTTTCTTAGCAAACTCTACCTCCAGTGTGGGACTTTAACTCAGGACCCCGAGATCAAGAGACATGCTCTACTGACGGAGCCAGCCAGGCGCCCCTTGTTATATATATGTTAATATATCAGCTTAGTCTGAAGGGAAAAATTGTTGAAATTAGCAAAAATAATTTATTTTTCTTTGTCATTAAAAATACAACATAAAATTTATAATCTTAACCATTTTTAAATGTATAGTTTAGTGGTGGTAGGTATATTCACATTGTTGCACAAAAGATCTCTAGAACTTTATCTTGCAAAACTGAAAACTCTATACCCATTGAACATTAAATCCCCCACCCCACCCCCCAGCCTTTGGTACCCACCTTTCTACTTTGTTTCTAGGATTTTGACTACTTTAGATACTTCATATTAATGGAATCATATAATGTTTGTCCTTTTGTCACTGGCTTATTCACGTAGCATAACATCCTCAAGGTTGATCCATGTTGTAGCATGTGACTCTTTTTAAAGGCAACATAATGCTCCATTGTATATACCACATTTTCTTTAACCAGTTGTCAGTGGACATTTCCACTTAGCAAAAATAATTTTTTGAATGAGCTACTTAGTTTGTAGTCAGGGGAAATTTAAGTTATATCAGAGTCAAAAACTCTTTCTCTTTGAGAACACAGGAACCATACCCTTGTCATTACTGTAATAATTGTTCATCGAAATCAGTTTCTCAAAGGGTAACTATTGACATTGTAAGTGAGACTGTTGTGCCAGACTTTTGAATTTGAGGATGTTTTGGTGGTTCCACCTCCAGAGGCTAGTAATATCCTTCCCTCCAACCAAAAATGCCCTCCATAGTTCCTGCCCTCTGCAGGGTTTGGTATCATTTCTGGTATTAATTTTGTTTCTGAGAAATCTTCAGTATAAAGCTACTTGCCAGAACTTGTCATAAGTATATATTTTCCCAGTTTATCACTCATTTATAAAACCCAGAGCCAAGGTATAGACCTGTTGTTTTTATACCAGTTAATTTTAGGAAGTTGCAGTGATAGCTTTTTTTTCTACGGTTTAGAAGACCAGGAAGGAAATTGCCATAATTTTTTCTTCATTCGACAAGGACACTTTGTCAGAGTTCCTATACCTGTCAGGGAATAGGAGGCTCGGTCGGTATTGCTCATGCCTTAGCAGATACTTACATGATGTGTGTTCTAATAGCTCCTGTTTCCTCAGCTCTCTTTCTGCTTTCACCTCAGCGCTCCTGTAGGAAGTCTTTTGATGGCATTTCAGAAGTTCTATGGGGAGACTGTCCAAGAGAGAACACAGAAGGATCGCAAAGCACTCCATGAGCTAAAACTGGAAGAGAGGTAAGGAGCATGTGAAGATGAGGGTAACTGATTTTCCTAAACATTGTGGTGGTCTCTTAACCCAGGTCTTCTAAACCACCCCTCAATTCAGAGATGAGTTTCTAGGGTACCTGGCTGGCTCAGTCGGTGGAGCACTCTTGATCTTGGGGTTGTGAGTTTAGGTCTCATGTAGAGATTACTTAAATAAAGAAAGAAAATCTCAAAGAAGAGTTTCCTTTTCTTCAACTTGTACCCTACCTGGTCTTTTAATCTTTTTAATGAAGGAATGAGAAAATGAAAAATACTAATTTTATTTTTAATCTGATGAGGCTCATTCTTTAGATACATTTTTTTAAAAGTTAAGATGTTGTAAATCTCATTAGATTGCATTTTTTTTCTTTTTCTATGTTATTGACTGCATAGGAAATTACCTAAAGGAAATGGACAGCAATGAATGAGTTTTAACTTGGCTTTATTTAAAAGATGATATCCCCGGTTACACATGCATCTGTGAACAATACAGAGCATGTTAGGTGTCTGCATTCAAAGATTCTACTTGCTGTGGATGCCCATGAATTAGGTAGTTATAGTGGCTGCTCATAGACTGGATGCCACTGAGGAGGATAAAAACTTTCACCTGTTCCACCTAGTCATTCCCTAGGGTGCAGTTATCAGACAGAGTGGATTTTGTGCTGATTCTTTGTAAGATCACCAGAATAGGCTGCTGTTAGCGCTCCTGGTACAAATGATTCTCATGGCTCAGCTTCCTGTGTACAACTAAAGCTTCTGCTGTTTTAGTAGTTGATAGTCTTTTTTCCCTCATGTTTTTACTTGAAGCTTCCATTTATGCTAAGCACACATGCACACATGGAAACTCTTAATATCCATAGATCAGTTATTCAGGGACTTAGGTTCGATAGGAGAAAAAGCATTGATTTTGCAGCCAGTGAAATCTTGAAAATGAATCCTAAATCCCAACTAGGCTATTAATTAATTTTGTGACTTAGATATTTTACTTAATTTCAAGCCCTCTGTTTTGTTTTCTCAGCCAATCTGAGGGCAGAATCACACCACAGTGCTCAATATGTGTTTGTTTCATTCACTCCTTTAGTAAGAGGGTAGATGGGATATGTAATTGTCTAAGTTCTAGGATAAAGCACTTAAGATTCTAAATGCTAGGATAAAATGTAATGTAGAGAATTAAAAGCATGAAAGCATTAGCTTACTTTTAGTTCTTTAGGTGTCATAAGAAACTTTTTTTTTTAAGAAAAGGAAGCTTTGAGAAAGAAATTGGAAAGGTAAGGAAAGTATATTCGATACAAAAAGTTACAGGAGAATTTACATTTGGAAAAATATGAACATAATAATTGTATCCCAATAAAAAAAGGAAAACAGAAAAGTAACTAGAGAGGTCGATCGGTTATTTAGAGATGGAAAACCCAAGATGGCTAAAAACAATAACTTGAATTGAATTATAGTACTGAAGGATACTTTAGAAGGAAATAAGGCCAAAAATTTATGGGGCACTTAAATGTCTGTGATCTATATGTGATATTCCTGAGGAGTTAATTTAAATCACAGTTAAGAGCTTATTCTATGCCTCCTTCTCTGCTTGAAAATAGAAGTCAAACAAAGTGAGAGTATAAATAATTGCCTTAGTGAGCCAAAAATGTGGAAAACTGTAGACATATGGAAGAAGAAATGGTCAAACCTGTATGAAGAGTCGAGAAAAAAGTTATGGATGACCTTGCTAATCACTTAAAGAAAGGAGGACACTAATACTAGATTTAGAAAAAGAACTGATGTTTTATTTGGAAATTGGATTTTAACTCCTTGTAAATAATACATTTATAATGTTGTCCCATCTGACTTTTCCATATTGAATTTACCATTGTTCTAGCCTTTGTGCAGTTCTTACAAGGTCTGGCAACAGAGAGTTAATGGAGTGGCAGGGGGCTCATATTCACCCCCAGCCCTGAGGGCAAGAGGACAACCAGTTTGCAAGGCTCACACTTGAGCATGACACCCTACAGGAACTCTGGAATATCTTAGGGATCAGAGCTGCTGCCACAGCACACACCATTTTGGTGATATGAGAAGTGTAGTTGGCACATGAATGGAACTAGTTAGGAGAACGAAGAAAGTCATTGTTTTTGAAGTGTAAGGAGCAGTGTTTGCTTTTAAGGTACAGGGAGAATAGACAAACACTTTGTTTAAAAAAAAATCTGAGAACTAAGAAACAGAGCAGTACATGATATATCCTTTTCTTTCTTTACAGTAAAGCCAGACTACAATTTACTCAGCTCCTCCCTGAAGAAATTGAAAGTAGCTTACAGAAAAATCAATCCAAAGATGATGTTAAGAAAATTGAAGCACTGCTAAATCTTCCTAGAAACCCTTCATCAACAAATAAACAAGACAAAGACTGAACTTAAAATTCATTGGTGAATCAAAGGGATCTATGTCATTGAATGCCAATAGTAGGCTTCTCCTTGGTCAGCCTGGTGACAAATGTAAGTGCAGGCACCTCTAGTGGCAATGGCCACTTACCTTTTTTTTTAACCAAGAATTGGGCTATTATATGGTCACTTTACTTATCCTTAAGTTTAAATACACACTTATGTCTTTCCTGATTGATCTATATATTTGAAATTATATCTGTACTGATCAATCAATACAATACAATACATAATTCTTTTCCCTGGATTTTACTACAGAAAATTTAAAATTTCCCAAGATTGGAGTTGACTTCTGAGGGTTGTATGTTTATTCTTGCGGCCCTTTATTTTTTTATTTTTTTAAAGATTCTATTTATTTATTCAGGAAGACACAGGGAGAGAGGCAGAGACACTGACAGAGGGAGAATCAGGCTCCTCTTGGGAAGCTCAATGCAGGACTCAATCCCAGGACCCCAGGATCACAACCAGAGCCAAAGGCTGACACTCAACCACTGAGCTACCCAGGCGTCCCTCTTGCAGCCCTTTAAAAGGATACTCTAGGCATCACTAGGAAGAGGAGAGGAAAGAACCAGGTGAGGCAAATGGTCTGTGATGAAACCTTTGTGCCTTTGGGTCCTTGAAACATCATGGGCCTAAGTGTGTAGGGACTCCTGGGTGGCTCTCCATTGAGTGTCCGACTCTTGATTTTGGCTCAGGCCATGATTTCAGAGTCATGGGATTGAGCCCTGTGTGGGGCACCATGCTCAGCATGGAGTCTTCTTGTCCTTCCTCCCTACCCCTCCACCCCTTCCCCCAAAAGCATGCACTCTCAAATAAATAAAATTTTTAAAAATAAAATAAAAAGATAATTCCTATGCCATTTGAAATACAATATAAATTTAACAAACATGAAGTAGATAAGCATTATTTTTTAAAAAGAGCCAGACTTTGTTTCATCTCTTAGTGCTGCTGACAAAGTATCTATGCAAAAGTTAGAATAGCTACACAGTCTTTATACTCTAGGAGCTTGCTCCTTAAGAAGGAAGCTGTCCTGCAGATTTTAACTTTTACTGAAGTGAGGGGTGGGGCAGCCCAGGTGGCTCAACGGTTAGCACCGCCTTCAGCCCGGGACATGATCCTGGAGACTGCATGGAGCCTGCTTCTCCCTCTGCCTGTGTCTCTGCCTCTCTCTCTATTGTCTCTCATGAATAAATAAATAAAATCTGGGGATCCCTGGGTGGCTCAACGGTTTAGCACCTGCCTTTGTCCCGGGGCGCGGTCCTGGGGTCCCGGGATCGGTTCCTGCATTGGGCTCCCAGCATGAGCCTGCTTCTCCGTCTGCCTCTGTCTCTGCCTCTCTCTCTCTGTGTCTATCATAAATGAATGAACAAATCTTTAAAAAAATAAAAAATAAATAAATAAAATCTTTAAAAAATAAAGTAAGGGGGGTGGGGATGTACTGCTTTAGTGTACTAAGGGGGAAAGACTGCTAGTATTTTGTTTCAGTGTTAGACCTCTTTGTTTTTAGTTCCTGCTCTAAAAATAACTATTTTCAGAAACCAGGTTTGTGTAGCTGTGGGATATAGTGGCTGAAACCAAGGGCTCTGGAGCCATCACTGTCTTGAAATCCCAGTCCTGTAGCTTTGCAGCCATGTGACCTATATAACGAAGCCATTTTACTTTTAAGTCTCAGTTTTCCCTTCTGTCCAATGAGATGGTATCTACCTCAGGATGGGTATGAAGTGAAAAGCATAGCACAATGCCCTGGTGCACAGGGGATGATAGATAGAACAACAAATATCAGTAATTATAAGGATAGAAGAATCTCTGCACAAGTCTATTTTTACCATGATTTACACGTTATCACCACACTCCATAAAACAGGTTTTTCTTAATTATCCCATTCATAAATTGCAGACAACTGGCAATTAGTTATTGTTTTATTCACATCCGCATATAGGTTAAGTTCTCCAACTAGAAATTATAAAACTAGATGATTGGTTTTAAAAATAATTTTATTCATATCACAAAAATATCAATAAAAGTATAATTCTTTGGAAAATAGTACCAACACATTTATCAAATGTAATAAGTAATGTAATATAATTTATTTTAAGTATAAATAAGCTGTCTCCTAGATGTGTCCTATTTTGTGATTTCTTCTTGAGGTCTCCTTTTGAGCATGTCTAAGGATTATTAATATTAATTAAATGCAGCAGTTCCCATTTTTTTTTTGTTTCTTTGCTTTGATTCAGGTCAGTCTCCAACTTTTATTTCTTTCACTGATTTTGTTCTGAGGGCAACCATTTAAAACTGTACTTCTGCTCCTTAGACTATATAGCATAATCTGGTCTCTTGATAGCTGCCAAAATTAAACATTGTAAACCCAGCTACATGTGAGAAACTTGGCCAACTTGCTGTCCAACGTCAAATTTTCAAATGAGAATGTCTGATTCCTCCAGTCAGGTCAGCCTCCAGGTCCACTGAGTTATGGAAGACAACTTCAGAGAAAGAGGAATCATGAGTAAGTAACACAGGAACAGCATTTGGCCACTTCTTTATTTTTAATTCTCTGCTGATGTCAGAAGGATCAGAAATACCAAGGAGGAAGAGCAACTTGAGGTATCTAGGGAAACCCTATGGAATGCTATTTTCATTACCTCAATCAAATTCTAAGGACAGCTACTGTTTAGTAATACACAATTAAAACCTATCTCATTTTAAATGAGAACTTTCTCATATTTTATAAATGAGTTTAGCATAAAGCCATTAAGGAGATTATCAGTCCAATATGAACCAGTAGGATGTGACTCTCTAAACCAACCTATCCCTCTCCAACGTGACTATCACTTTGAGGTGTATAAGTCATTCATCTTACATGTCAGCGGATATTAGTTTTGGATAGATCTACTTTCTCCAGAACCTGATGGAGAAGTGGGAAAGCAACAGAGGAGAGCACAATGAAAGATGTGATACTGGGTAAACCCCAGTAATTTTTCCATCATTCTCATATTGGTATATATACCAGCATACTACCCACACATTAGCATCAGATTGCTTTTGACAGCAACACAAAACCTTCTAGTGTTGCATCAGATGAAGTCTCTGAAGTTGACCTGACATTGGACATACTCTCTTTCCAGAAGCATTTTGACTGGTGTGTACACCTATACACACCAGTTAATAGCACAGAGCCAGACTAATGATGGAAAAGAGCACCCGAGACAGGAAATCTGGGTTCTAGCTCAGACCTTTATCATTCAGGTCACCCCCTTGGCCTTGATGTCCTTGTCATTAGTGAGACCAGTATTTTCCGAATGTCTCTTCCAGGCCCGAACAATTCTTTGACCAAGGCTACCAGAGCTACTTATGTCCCCACCATATTCCTCTGGTCACTTTCTGCAGGGCCACTGAAATGAACAGGCTCCTAGAGAACAGATGCATGAAGTGCAAGGTGGGATAATCCTGGCCATCTGAGGAAATTCAAAGATGAGGTCAATCTAAGATGGAGGTGGGACCTGAGGAAACAAAAAATAAATAAATAAACGAATACTTGAAACCCTAAATTCCCAAAGAAGGAAAGCATTTTAAAACTTCTTTTTTTTTACCATAAAAGTCTCCCAAATTGAGGTGACGCTGTAGATACTACTATTCATGGCCAAAGAATATAAAAAGAAATCTAAATTATGGGAGAATTTTGAGAATTTTATTACATGAAATATCAGGCAAATATTAAGCACCAGCAATCATCAAGCAACCAAATGTTATTGATCAAGGTAATACTCTTCTACATATGAGGCAAATAGATGTATCAGGCATGGTTGTTCTCAATAAGCCTACAATTTAGTAAAGAATATAGGGAAGCCTGGGTGGCTCAGTGGTTGAGCACCTGCCTTTGGCCCAGGGCATGATCCTGGAGTCCTGAGATTGAGTCCCACATCGGGCTCCCTGTATGGAACCTGCTTCTCCCTCTGCCTATGTCTCTGCGTCTCTCTCATGAATAAATAAGTCTTAAAAAATATATATATAAGGCATGGTACATGAAAATAACCCCAGAATGGAATGCTATGTACTAGAGATAGCATTACTCCAGTAGTTCAAAGGCAGCGCTGCTTGAACTGGACAAGACGGCCACGTAGAAGACCAGACCTATGGCTTCAATATGAGGTACCAGCTGACTGAGCAAAGGACTATTAACAAGGAAAGTAGGGAAGTTCTAGGTAATCGCAGAACTGAGGGAGACATCCTTGATAGGGCCTCCTGAAGAAGTTGAAAAGAAGACATGATAGGAAATGAAGACTACTATGGGGGAAATGTGCCTAGGCTGCTATGGTGCCATTAAAGAAACTGGTCTTAATACCCATTTTGAGTCCTGGCTTTGTTCCTTGCCTGCCTCACCTTAGGCAAACCACTCAACCTCTGGGAGGGGGCCTCAGGTTTCTCCAGAAAATGGAGATAAAGATCTTGCTCACAGATTTTTATAAGACTAAAATGTTTTTGTAAAACATTACCTATTATATAAGTCTCAGATGTTCTATTTCATTTCCTTTTATTTTTTAAAGGTAATTGCAGACTCTCATTTCTTATGCTTTTTCACCCTAGCTTCATAAGTCAAAAAGGAACTGTTGGGATCCCTGGGTGGCACAGTGGTTTAGCGCCTGCCTTTGGCCCATGGCGCGATCTTGGAGACCCGGGATCGAGTCCCGCATCAGGCTCCCTGCATGGAGCCTGCTTCTCCCTCTGCCTGTGTCTCTGCCTCTCTCTCTCTCTCTCTCTCTCTCTCTCTCTCTGTGGCTATCATAAATAAATCAAAAAAATTTAAAAAAAAAAAGGAACTGTTTATGGAGACTATAAACCACCCTGGACCTAGTATCAGTCACTTGGATTCCAATGTTTCTCTTGCATGAAAAGGCCTGGGTAGTTTAGAATAACACAAAATTGTTATAAGTTAATAGTGTGACTCAAAAAAGCTGCTGCTATGTTAGGCTTCCTTAACAGAACATTTCAGATCTCAGTAATTATCCTATGGTATGTAGAATTAGACCATATCTATAAAGTTTTGGACTCCCATTTATTGACATCTAGGGTGTTCACATAAGGCTTCTGGAAACTACCATGTGGAGAGTAGTTCAAAGAACTGAGAATGTTGGGGATGCCTGGGTGGCGCAGCGGTTTGGCGCCTGCCTTTGGCCCAGGGCGCGATCCTGGAGACCCGGGATCGAATCCCACATCAGGCTCCCGGTGCATGGAGCCTGCTTCTCCCTCTGCCTGTGTCTCTGCCTCCCTCTCTCTCTGTGTGACTATCCTAAGTAAATAAAAATTAAAAAAAAAAAAAAAAAAAAAAAAAAAAGAACTGAGAATGTTTATACTGAAGAGATCAACTGAAATATGGAAAGTTAAAAGTCTTGAAACTTTTCCTATAGGCATTGGGGTCTCTTCTGAGTTTTCGAGTGGGAAAATAACGTGGAGAAGGGATTCTTTATGAAATTTGCCTATTACTGGTTTAGTAGGATGACTCTGTTTGTAAGAGGCAGAGAGACCAATGAGGACATTACTGAGGTGGTACAGAGTGACCAGTAAGTGACCCTAATCTGTGTCCATCAGTAGTGAGGGATACAGGGGGAAAAGGAATGATCAGAATAAGCAGCTGGGCCACGAATATTACTTCAAGATGAATTTACGGTAGTGTTTTATAGATAAGGACAGACACTGAGTTGACTGACAGGAAGGGGACATTTCAACATGGTGGAATGGCAGAGCAAAGCGAGAGGTTATAATCCTCAGTGGGGAGAAAGGAGAGATCTCAATCATCTGTGTAGAGTAACCTGAACTAGGTTTTTGAGAAGGTGCGGTAGTAGGTAAAAGTTTAATCTGGTGCTGAGAGGAAGAAAACACTGTGCCTCATTATATTCCACCCAGGTAGAGAAGAGCTAGAGGTTACCTCCAGATGTTCTGCTCATACAGATGCTTGGGCAGATCCTATGTTTATAGGGGACATCTTTTCCAGGTCCATGTCCTCTTCATTCCTATTTCTCTGTCTCCATCTTGCAGCAGATCCTTAAGACACGCAAAAACAATAAAGATTTAGATAGGTGAGTTTCCCCAAAATTGTGCCCCATATATTTCAGCAAGCTTTCACTGGCTTAGAACTTGATCAGTGTTCTGTTCAAATCTTCCAGGAAGATTTCTTTTTTTCTTTTTTCTTTTTCTTTTTTTTCTTTTTTTCTTTTCTTTTCTTTTTTTTTTTTACCAGGGAGATTTCTAACTGTGCCCAGCACCCACCCCATCCTGGGACATTTGTAATGTAATAGAGACATTTTTGGTTGTCATAACTGAGGCAGGGGTGCTATTGGCATATAGTGAGTAGAGCCCAGAAATGCTGCTAAATAAACTACAATGCACTGATTAGAACCCTAAACAAAGACTTATCTGGTCCCAAAAGTCAGTAGTGTCAAGAGTAAAAAATCTAGTTCAATGGGTAAGGCTGGGCAGTCTGTATCAAAAACATCCTCAAACCACCAGACCTCTTTACCCTACCTGTGGGGGTGGGTTGTTGGTAGCAAAGAGTTTTAGTGACTTCCCTGTGCTTTGACAGTTTTTGTGCAGAAGTTTGGGGAAATCAGCTGATGGTGGTCTTCCAGTTTTCTTTGTTCAATGTACATGATTTCTACTCCAAGAAAGGTTGGTGCCCCTTCATGGTGACTATGGCCTCAGCTCTGGCCTAGCAGTTCCTCTTCATTTAAGTACAGAGATAGAGGGTAGCATATGTGTAAGGCCAAAATTTAAACTTGTAGGGAATACATCCTAGATATCTCTTCTTTCCTCAGCCACTCCTTATCTTATCCAAAAATGTATTCTGAGGAATTGAGAATTGGTAAAATCACTTGTGGCCATGTAATTTCTCAGTGTCATCAGTGCATCTTCGAGATGCTGATTTTCTCCTTCGAGAAAATGATTCTCGACCCCAAATCTTGTCGTTCTGACTTTTCTCCACTTGAAAATCAAATATTAGAATACCATCTTGTCGTTCTGACTTTCCTCCACTTGAAAATCAAATATTAGAATACCACTTGCATCAGAAGTGTTTTCAAATTAGTTTCCAAGCCCCAGCGCCTCCAAGAAAATATAAAGTTAGGGGAAAAAAAATGGACTCAAGTGGAATGTGTCTTGGGGGCACTGAGTCATTGTTAGTCACTCCTGTGCCTAGGAGAGAACTGGACACATAGTAGGTGTCCTTGAAATGCCTGTCCAGTGAATGAGTAGAACTTGGTGAGACAAGTAAAGAAGACACTAAAACCTCAGAGAAGTGCTGACACATACCAATAGAATTTGGGCTTCCAGAAATTGAGGTCAGAATGATAGCATGATAGTACTTACTGTGGGCTAGGCAGCCTCCTGTAATGGCAGTGATCACAGCAATCACACCACTTACTACTAAGATCAGGATGACCCAGAGCTGTTGCTGGTTACTGGGAGGGTGTGGCTCGACTGCTGAGGGAAAAGAACAGTGTCAGCTCTAACGTGTTTCCAGCTACCGTATTCTATGCCTCTTACATTAACACAACTGTAGAGAGTATTTTTTTTCACTTCTTTCTCTGCTCAGCCCTCCACTAGGCAGCTGCTAGCATTTTTCTTGCATAACTCTTTGATCAGACACATATTTATGGGCAACTAATATCCAATGTCAGATATCAAATGTGAAAAAGAAATTTTGAACTTTTGCATTTGCCGAATTAAGTTGGCATAAAAGAGATTCTAAGAAGATACTTTAGAAATATTCTTTTCTTGGGGCTGCTGGGTAGCTCAGTTGGTTAAGCTAAGCAGCTGGCTCTTGGTTTTCACTCCTGGGATCTTGGGGTCCTGGGATTGGGCCCCACATGGGACTCTGCACTCAGCAGGGAGTCTGCTTGAGGATGCTCTCCCTTTCCCTCTGCACCTTCCCCTGCTCGTGTGTGCACTCTCTTTTTCTAAAATAAAAATGAGGGATCCCTGGGTGGCGCAGCAGTTTGGCACCTGCCTTTGGCCCAGGGCGCGATCCTGGAGACCCGGGATCAAATCCCACATCGGGGTCCCGGTGCATGGAGCCTGCTTCTCCCTCTGCCTGTGTCTCTGCCTCTCTCTCTGTGTGTGTGACTATCATAAATAAACAAATAAATAAAATTTTAAAAATATAAATAAAAATGAAAAATAAATATTTTGTCTTGTATTTACATCTCACTTTTATAGTTGATATTACTATGTATTACTAATTATAGTGTGTATGTGTGTTAAAAGAATATACTAAGAGAAAGGGAAAAGGCATGACAGAAAAATAAGATCTATCTAGAACATTATGTTGTATCTTATTTTTCTCTCATGCCTTTTCCCTTTCTTTTAGTATATTCTTTTAACACACATACACACCATCCTTACAGTAGCTGCCTAAAGCTACAGGAGCTATTTTGCATTCATTTTCAGATGCACATTTAATTTTCACCATTCATCCTAAAGCTTCTGGAAAGATAGAAGAGGCCAACAAAGAACTAAGAGTAGATGTGGCTAAATGTTAGTGGGGTCAACCTGGAAGGGAGCTCTGCAAAACTGGCTCTCAGCTGTAGAGCACAGGGAATGGAGAGACCACAGGGGATACAAGTAAGGATGTGGGGGGAGAGTAGACAGGTATATGGGACTGCTGTCTGTTGCTCCTGATCGGGAGCAGCAGCTGCATTGTTTATTCTTCAACCCCTTTGAGGAATAGTTAGCAACAAACAGCATCTGAAGAAAGGGCCCCGGGCACAGGCGGAATATTAGCAGCTCATCTTCTGATTTCTCTGGAATAGTTTACAAATAAATATTGAACATTTACTAACTTAAGCGCTTTTCATTTTTCTGACTACCAAGCTTTGAGGATAAATTTTGGTCTTTAGCTTGTTGGACTCCTCATCAGCATTTGGCCCAGCTGAAACTTCCTCCTCCTCAGACCTCGATGACAGCACTTTCTTCTGTTTCTGTTTGTTGTGACTCAGTTTTTTTCATAGGCTCTTCCTCTTGTTCTTTAAATATTGCTGCTTCCCATGGTTCTGTCTGCGGTCCCATTCTCCTCTCGCTGGCCCCAAGCTTCTCAGGTGATGTCATCATCCACACCCAAGGTTTAAAATACCACCTGATTTCTAAACCCATATATCATATTTCTGATCTCATTTCTTTTTGTCCCCCTTAGACACATCCATTTTATTTAAAATGCACATTTTAATTACAGATTGATTTACTTTAAATATTGCACAGGCATTGTCACAAAGAAAGTACTGGGTTTGTTTTTTTTACTTTTAAATTCTAGTTAGTTGATGTACAGTTCAACATTGATTTCAGGAATTGAGTTCAGTGGTTCATTGTTTACATATAACACCCAGTGCTCACCTTAATACCAATCACCCACCCAGCCCATCCCCCACCCCTTGTCTCCATCAACCCTGTTTGTTCTCTGTAGTTAAGAGTCTCTCATGATTTGTTTCCCTCTCTCTCTCTTTTCCCCCTCCCGTATGTTCATCCATTTTGTTTCTTAAATTCCATATATAAGCGAAATCATATGGCATTTATCTTTCTCTGATTGACTTATTTCACTTAGCATAATACATTCTAGCTCCATCCATGTCATTGCAAATGGTAAGATTTCATTCTTTTTGATGAATGAATAGTATTCAATAGAGTGTCTATATATATATATATATATATATATATATATATATATATATATATACATACTGCTATAAACATCGAGATGCATGTACTCCTTCAAATGTGCATTTTTGTATCCTTTGGGTAAATACCTAGCAGTGCAATTGCTAGATCATAGGGTATTTTTATTTTTAGCTTTTTGAGGAACCTCTTACTGTTCTCCAGAGTGGCTGCACCAGTTTGCATCCCCACCAACAGTGTAAGAGGGTTCATTCCCCTTTCTCCCCATCCTTACAACATTTGTTGTCTCCTGTATTTTTGAACTCCAGGTTTGATTTTCTAGCTGCCAACTAGATGGATGGATGCCAGCATTTCCACCTGATTTAAAATGAACTCACTATATTCTTTCCAAAGCATACCTTCCATCTATATTCTCCCATTTCAGTGAACAGCAATACCATAGTTACCCAAATATGAGTGAAGGGTTTCTATGGACTTTCTACTTTGTATTCAGGATACTCTGCAATTGGTTCCTTTTCCCAAAATCCCATGCAGCAGCTGCCTTAGTTTAGATTTTTTTCTTCTCTTCCACCTGGTTGTCTCCATTCTGGTCCCTTTGCCTCTGGTTTCTCCCGCTCTCTCTCTCTGTCCCCTGCCTCTGGTTTCCTGGGCTCTACTAACTCCTACACATTGTGCCACAGTGATTATTCTAAAATGCATATTTGACTTTAGTGCACCTCCCACTTAGAGACTAAGGAAAGTTTTTTTTTTTTTTTCCTTTTCCTCTAAAACACCACATTGCATGAAGGTGAGTGATCACCAGAAGTGGCCTCTACAGACCAGAATGACAAGGAGGCTCTCGCTATTATACTGTGAGTCTAAAAGTGTCACAGGTTCTGACTCATTCCTGCCTTCCTCTCAGAGGCCATTCTCCCATCCTCAAGCCTCCCTCAGCCTAGAAAGAGGATATATGTTTGAGAGAAAGAAGGGGGAACTAGTAGTGACAAACTGGCTCTGTCATGATGCCAACTAGGAACCTAATAACGCACCAGAGAACAGACTCAGAATTCTAATTGCAGAGTTATGTGGGGACATCTGCACATATAGCATACTAGATGCACCATGAGTAGGACTCCCTGATTCACTCCCTTCCACACACATGCGTCTTCCAGTATATCGAGGGTTAACCAATTTGGCAGGCCCAGACTAAAAATATCATGGACCAAATCTGTTTAATTAATAAATTTGGGGGTTTTTTTAGAGTGGTTATTTATATAAAGCTTTATATAAATATTTTTTGAGAGAAAAAGCACACAGGAGCAGGAGGAGGGAGGGAGAGGGAGAGAAAGTATCTTAAGCAGGCTCCACACTCAGCAGGAAGCTGGACACAGGACTCCATCTTACCACCCTGAGATCATGACCTGAGCTGAAATCAAGAGTCACGCTTGACTGACTGAGCCACCCAGGTGCCCCTATGTAAATATTTTTATGTAAATATATTTATATAAAGCTTTACTCACATGTCTGGTAACATTGCTATGAACTATACACCTAATTTTTGTTTATGCAGCCAGCTCTTGACCACCCACAAATGCATTATTTGCTTTAGACTCTGAATGATGCCTGCAGTTCAGTTTGGTTAAGCATCTGACTCTTGGTTTTGGCTCAGGTCACAATCTCAGGGTGGTGAGAGCTGAGATCGAGCCTCATGTCTGGCTCCACGCTGGGTGTGGTGCCTGCTTAAGATTCTCCCCCTTTCTCTCTGCCCCTCCCCACCCCTAAAAAAAAGGAAAAAAAAAATGGTGCCTGTAGTTCAATTAATGAGATTTGAAGTATTTATATATTAAAGCACTCTATCATACGTAGCAAGATGCTTGGTATCTGATAACTACTTTAATAAAGACTGAATGAACAAAGAAATGAATAAACCCATACACTTAATCATCTTTCCATTAACTGTTGTAAATGTAGGGCAAAGAGCTAGTATTTTTCATTAGACTGAAAAGGGATATTGTTCATCCTTAGCATGAGGGAAGAATTGAGAGAAGGCATATCAGGGAAAAGATTAAAGCTGGGTGTCTAAATCATCTTTAAATAAGAGCTCCATTCTTTTATTTTAATGGGCTACATTCTGTTTACTATAAGTTAGCAAAAGTTTGCCAAACCTGGCCTACTGCCTCTTTTTTAAAATAAAATTTTTCAAAAAATAAAATAAAATAAAATTTTTCTGGTCACAGCAAAATTGAGTTTTTGCCAGAGACCATATGACCTACAAAGACTAAAGTATTTACTATCTGACCCTTTCCTGAAAATATTTGCCAATTGCTTTCCTAAAATATCATATACACTCATATTCCAAATAATGTCCAAAATAAGATGATTGAAGCTGCTATTACTATTTTGTGTGCAAATCCCTACCTTACTCATAACAATCTAAAATTGATTAAATAATGACATATTAGTAAGGTGAAAATTAATGCTGAATTAATAAACTATATGATTCCAACCTCATTTTTATAAATTTTTTAGAACACATAAAAGATGACTGAAAGAAATGAGTTTGGGCTATTAATAAATCATGTCGGGCAGCCTGGGTGGCTCAGCGGTTTAGTGCCACCTTCAGCCCAGGGTGTGATCCTGGAGACCCGAGATTGAGTCCCACGTCAGGCTCCCTGCATGGAGCCTTCTTCTCCCTCTGCCTGTGTCTCTGCCTCTCTCTCTCTCTCTGTGTCTCTCATGAATAAATAAATAAACATTTAAAAAATCATGTCAAAATTGTGTTTGTATTTGAACTAATTTCCCCAGGAAATTTATCTCATTACCAACTGGAGAAAATAATGAACGAGTCCACTTCAAGATGGAAAGACCTAGAGCAAATCATTCACTAGAATGTTCTGCTAGACCATCTAAAATATCTCTTCTACTACAAGTACAGATAAGAGGAAGACATGCTGTATATTATATATTATATATCCATGTGCCACTATATATAAAATTCAGTATATTGTTTATTACTCTGTAGCCACAAAATGTGTTGTTAAGAGTGGGTCTGGGGGGTGGAGGAGAGAGGCCTGGTGGTCTTCATATAATCAGCCCCACAAGTTAGACACTTATTTCAAGTATCTGTGTTCCCCCATTTTGGGTTCAACATGCATAAATTAATATAAGTTCAACTTATTCCAGTGTACATTTTCAAATGATTTCATCTCTTAGGCACAGAAAATTCTGTACATTTACTACCTGAAGGGCAAAGTATTTGGTCATGGTATTTGGGCAAAATGACCTCTATTTTCAGGCTTTGTCCTCAAGTAGTTTGTCATTTACCTTCTTTACCAGATTTGGTTCTGAATGAACCAGTAACTCTTTTTTTTTTTTTTAATTTATTCATGAGAGACAGAGAGAGAGGCAGAGACACAGGCAGAAGGAGAAGCAGGCTCCACACAAGGAGCCCAATGTGGGACTTGATCCCGGGTCTCCAGGATCAGGCCCTGAGCCGAAGGCAGACGCTCAACTGCTGAGCCACCCAGGCGTCCCTGAACCAGTAATTTCTAAAAGGCACATTCATCCACAAAAGGCAACGATTTGATGCCATGGGATGATGGGAAGGAGTCATCCAAAAAGAAAGTACCAAAACCCTGAGGGAAAGTCAAAAGAAGGACAAATTTTAGTGCTTTCAGTATCAACAATATTGTTATAATACTTGCTGACTACTTGATGGAGAACATTTTTTTGGATGTCTCAGTTTTAGAAGGTTTATTAAAGGAAATAAAATTAGTCTAGTAACATTATGGCCATACCTGTACAGTGACCTTAACAAGTCACAATATCACTTCATTATCGTTTATGGGTCTAAAAATACAAGAAATGCTATCAAAGTTAACATACATAATTCCAAAATGTATCTGGCTGAGTTACTGTCTTTTTAGATTCTATACAGTAGAAACTCCTCAGAACAATGTTACTTACATTTTTGCCAGTTGAAGATCTGTGATACTGTTAAGTCTCCATACTTGACAAGACACACAAAGCTATGGTTGTTTGTTATATTGAAATCCAGTTCACTACTAATAGTGTACAACTCAGTGTCCGGGTCTTGGGAAACTGTTGTGTTGGCAGCATTCAATTCTTCTTCATTTTCCCACCAGGAGAGGTGAGGCTTTGGAAAACCTCCAGAGGTTGAGCACATTATCCTTTTGATGTCATGGGATGGATTTCCAAGGTCAGTTATACTAGGGACAGGGAAGTCAGCTTAAGAAAGAAAAAGGATATAAGTACATATTATACTGGGGTGGGGATTGGGCAAGGGCTTTTTAAAAAAATTATCTAGCTTTAATAAGAATAATAAAATTAGATATAATTTGCAACTTCCCATAAATCATTAATAGTTATGTGTAAGCCAAAGATTACTTTGGTTTGAATTGGGTATGTCAATTCTTCATTACTTTTTTTTTCAAAGATTTTTATTTATTTAAGAAATCTCTACACCCAATGTGGGGCTTGAATTCATGACCTCAAGAGCCACATGCTCTTCCAACTGAGCCAGCTAGGCGCCCCAATTCTTCATCACTTTTGATGCAGGTAGAAGGGCACTTAGAGAAAGAGGTAGATCTCTGTGGATAAATAGTGGCATAGTATTTGGGATTTGTAAGAGATGAGGAGAAAAACAGACAAATGTATTGAGTTCTTGATGTTGTTAGATCTTGGACCCTACCTCATTTCATCTTTACAACAACCCTATGAAGCAGATGTACATCAAAAAAGATCAAATATCAACAACTTCATTTGATTTAACCTAATATGGTTTCCATTTTATAAATAATCAAATTGAAGTAGAAAGAAATCACAATGAGTAAATGGCAAAACTGGGAAGCGAATTCAAGTTTTTCTGATACTATAACCTTCTCTTTTCTTATCTTCTCTTCCCTTCCCTTGTCTTTATTTTCTTCTCTCTTCCTAATATTTGACGTATACAAAGTGGTTCTCTTATTTATCTATTTATGAATTAATATGCTAAAAAACACCTGTGAGCCCACCATTCAACTGGAAAGCTAGCACGTTGACTGTAGCTGATGTAAATCTACTCATCTGGTCTCACCTTCATTGTCTCCCCTATTTCCCACACTTGAGATAACCACTACTCTAAATTTTTCCTTAGGATTCCCTTCCTTTTTTAAAGGTAGTCTTTAGTAAGATAAACCTCTGTCCAAACTGTCCAATATTGAGCCTATAATCTCAACCACTCTACTGATTCCTTTGCTATTCTTGTGTGCATTATGAGGACAGAGGGGTCTTCCTAGCATTCCTCCAAGATACTTGAGGCACTCTTGCATTTGTATATTTGACCCCCAATAAGATATTAAAATATAAACACAATAAAGCATAGTGAAAATGACTACCGAGAACACAGGAAAAACTCCCTAACCCACTTTTTCCCTTATTCTTAGGCTTAAAGAGATTTATACTTTTCAGCCTGTGGGTGGGGAACCAAGCCCCGCATACTTCATCCCATCCAGTTAGATTTCTTTTTACAATTCAGAGTTCCACAGAGAGATTAGTATATAGCATAATGGTCACCAACTTTTTTTAAGAATTTATTTTGAAAGCTTCATAGTGCAAACAAATTGTACTACTTGGTTGTCATGTCACAAGACATATGATACAAAGCTGAGGCCATTCATGAGGACTGGACTTTTGTAGAAAGTTGGGGGTTTTTGAAAGAACAACTGTGAATCATACATACATAATTAATAAAGATTTCCTTTGAAGCACAGGCTGGCCAAGATCTAACAGGTTTTAAGACCAGTTTTGCCTTTTAGCTCTGGGCCAATTACTTAATCAGTTTCAGTTTTAGTTTGCTCATCTGTAAGATAGGGATAATAATACCGGCCTTCCAGAATTGTAAGGATTAAATGACATCATTAATATAAATCATGAAACACAGAGCTGGACACAGAGCAGATTAATTAATAGACTGAGTTAGTGGGTCTTAAACTTGCACTCTCTTAGATGAGTGCCCTCATTTAAATCAAGTTGCCCAGCGAAAACTTCCAAAACCACCCAGTAGCACTGTGAATAATAAGAGAAAGGGGAAGTTATGACAAGTGACAAAACTGCCAGGAAAAGGAAAAAATTGCATTTGGTAGGAGGTGAAGTCACCATTTTTGAATCAATCCTGTCTCTAAATTAAGTTTGACATTTTCCTGAGCCATTTTTAGCTGACATTTCCTACTCTTGCAATTTGTCTTATAAGATCAAATCACTACAGTGGTAGCTGACATCAAGAAAGAATATTCCCTTTGTAGGGTGCCTGGCTGGCTCAGTCAGTGGAGCGTGCAACTCTTGATCTCGGGGTTGTGAGTTCAAGGCCCACAAAATAAAATCTTAAGAAAGAATATTCCCTTTGTTTCTTACAACAACGTTATGTGTTATATATAGCCTGGAATAGGAAATCCAAGTAACCCATATCCTAAATTATGATTCACGTTAATTTCTGTGCTCTGCTTTTTTAGAGATACTTAACTACGAGAATATTTTAAAATATTCTGTATATTAGAAACCATCAAAAAAAAAAAAAAGAAACCATCTTTGCAAGGTCTGGCGAGGCTTAGCACAGCCTTAGCTGTCTTCTATTCCTTCAGTGAGATGATCCATGTCAAGTAACAGCAGTTAAGGCCTTATGAGCCTAAACTAGCAAAGAATTACTCCTTTGTATCTCATTTTAATGCATTAACCTACGTTTTCACCATTCCTAATAGGTAGGGTAAAAATATCTTATTAGGAAAGGAAAAGGTGCACATGTGTTAGAAAGGTAAAAATCTGTTACCCTAGTTAATCTGTTAACTAGTATAGCTAGTTACCCAAATGCTGGTTAATGGAGGCTTTTATATATTGCTGTGCTGATATTGTATCATTTTGTAATCTTTAGCAAATGTAGAGAAACCAACTTGTTCAGTGCCAAACCTGGTGAAAGTCTCAGGTGTCTGAGGAAACCTCTCAGTCCCAGGCAAAACAGGACAGTTGATCATCCTAAGCAAATAAGTGATTAATTTCTTATTTCTCAAACTGTGGTCCTCAGCAGCCATACAGGCATCACCTGGTAGTTTGTTAGTGCAGAATCCAAGATCCAACCCCACACCTACTGAATCTGAATCTGCGTTTTAACAAGATCCTCAAGGGAGTCAGAGACCTTAACACAAGAGAAGCACTGTTGTAATAGATGCAAATAGAAAAATCAGAATTGGTTGGTTCTGAGTCAAATTAAGCAGGCCAAGTTTCCCTTTTTGTCTTCACTTACCTGACTTTGGTGCCCAGCCCCTCCTGGCCCTTTCAAGGCCCCCAGCACTCTTGTGTTGCCCTTTTAGCTGTCCTCGGTCTCCTGCTGTAGTCTGCTACTAGGGCTTGCCCTTCCTGAAATTCTGCTTCTCCCTCTTGGGGTTTATTCTTTATCTTTCTATCAAAATGTACATAGTCCTGAGTCTACTTCCTTTTGGGCATTGTTAGAGGATTGCCTGTATCTAATGCAATTAACTAGTATAGGTTAATATGCTTGTGGTGCTATCCCCCCAGGTAACATTTTCATTTTTTACAGAGATCTTATAGGGGGAGAAAATGCTGAAACTGTCAGCATTTGGTAACAGTTCCAGCAATAATGGTGGGAATTCTAGGATTCAATGTGGGTCAGAATTTTGGACAGGGTGGGCTTTGTAGAACCCCTAAAATCACACCATCACATAATCATTGCTCTCTCCATGAGCAGGGAATACACAGAGTGAGGTTTAAGGTAATCCCATGTAACCGGCTTACCTCCTAAGCTTTAGGTGTGATTTGGATGCTATAGTGAAAGATTCAACATAGCTTTGTTCTTTGAAGAACAAAGCAGGTAAGAGTAGTGAAGAATTCACCAAGGATCCACTTACATTACCTGTTATCAAGGTTAATGATCATCTTTTATTAAATAATAAGTTCGGTTTCCACTAAAGGCCCAAGTGTCCAGGAAGAAAATGAAACGTGGTTAAATTTCAAATATGGGGGAAAGTTCAAGGGCTATCATTTCTCAGCAAGGGCTCAAGCTATATTAGTAACCACTAGTCCTATCACCTGGGATAAACACAAGGCTCCTTCCTACCCAAGAAATGCTTTCCGCCGCAGTAGATATAGAAGTAGGACTTTGATTTATGAATTATCCTTCTTTTCCATGACATAAATTATGCACCCAATCCTCTGATGTCTAACTTTGTAGGAATAGCCATTAGATGAGAGCTTCAAATATAATAATAAATATAAATAGTAAAATAGCCATAGCAATAGGCATTCAGTTACTATTTGAGAAATATTTCTGCCTGCATTATTCTTATACCTTTCAATATACTTTCACAGAATGTATTACTGGATAAAGTGCAGTTAATAGTACAGCTACATTAAATCAAGTGTATCCCCTTATGATTCAGAACGCACTATAGGTCATTCTAATGCCAGGATGACTGTCATGAATTTGGATTGTCAAAATGCAAGAAATGCACACTAATAGATACTTCCAGGATGTCTTGAGAATCAGTTAGGGCTTATTGTAAAACTACAGACTTATTTAACCCTAAACGAAGATACCTCCCTCTTTGGTAAGATTTTCAACCTAATCAATAGGAATATATCTTTAAGGGCATCAAGAATCTGCCAGTTTATAGTAAATCAGAAAAATCCCACTGACCTCTGACCAATAACATCACCGAAGTCATGTGTTTCACTTTGTAAGACCTTTTTTCAGTCTTTTGAACGATACAGGTGTATTTGCCATTGTCTGACAGGCGCAGAGCCATAATCACGATGGAGAGGTTATTGGTGAAGTCAGCAAAGGTGCGATTCTCATACTTGGACCACACTTTCGTTTGTCCAGATGTGACAGCCAGCACCACTTCATCATCCTTTTGCCAATAGATTCGAACTTTCATCAGTTCTGTAGTGGAAATGTTGTAATCACAGGACAGTACTGCTACTTCTTTCACTGTCTTGTTCACCTGGATGATGCCTAAGGAGAGGCAAACAGAAAGGATTTTATGTCTATTAAATATGGAGTCCTGCACAAGCAGGAATTCAGAGTTGGCAATAACAGAACTCAGGGTGTTGTATCTAGTGGCTATGCATGATCAGAGAGTTCAGTTTGATTTTGATAATTTTAGTCCCCAGTGCTTTTTTTTATTGTGGTTAAAAAATTGTAAAATACACCATCTTAACCATTTTTTAAGTGTACAGTTCAGTGGTGTTAAGTATATTCCCGTTGTTATGAAACAGATCTCCAGATCTTTTCATCTTACAAATCTGCAACTCTGTATGCATTAAACAGCTCTCCTTTCTTTATCCCCCAACCCCTTGGTAACCACCACTCAATGTTCCGTTTCTATGAATTTGACTACTTTAGATACTGCATATAACTGGAATCATGGAGCACTTTCTTCTTATGACTGGCTTATTTCATTTACCATAGTGTCCTCAAGGTTCATTCATGGTTTAGAATGTGCCAGAATCTTTCTATCTTTTTCCTTCCTTTTTAAGGAATAATAAGCAAATGATTATATATATATATATATATATATATATATATATATATATATATCATATATATCACATTTTCTTTTCTATTCATATGTCTATGGACAGTGGGGGAGAAGGTCCACTAGTCCCAGAAGAAGAAGGACTTTAAGAGACCTAGCACATGAATGCCAACTATGGGTAAACAATGTACTCAGCCCTGATGGGGGATATGGAAGTCACTAGAATGTGAGATCTTGAAGGGATGTCCATGTTCATTCATTTTGGTGTTCTTCTGGAAGGTTCTTAGGAAGCTGCCCCAGCTTTACAATTTTTGGTGCAGACCTTTCAGGCCACTTTCCTAGTTAACTGGTTTCCCCAATTTTTTAGGCCCAAGTTCCAGAACAGCAGGCCAACACCACCCACACCCCAGCCAAACCCCAATGTTGAGCTCTGCCTTGAGAAACAGAGTCCTTTTCTTCCCAGGCCTGGATTGACCTCATAACTTCAGGCTGAATTCTTCCCTCATCCCCACCAGACAAGGTATAGTTTACACCTCTAGACTATTTCTATCCTCTTCTCTGACCCTAAATTATCTATATCTCATCTTTATCTCTTTCAACTATCTGTAATCCATGTAACAGTTGGTCCCCATTTAAAATATTCTGCCAATTTTCCTATCAGTGTATTTCAGAAAACCAACATTTCAGCATCCAAACTCCATCTTTTTGTTAGCTCCTAAGCCTTTGTCAGTAGCACCAAACTCCCCACTGTCTTCTGATTTTTTTGGTCATTCTTCCTATGCTGGGCTTGATCTACAAGCAGAGTCCCTCAAGCCCAAGACCTTTCACAAGTAGCCACTGCCTCCCCCACTGGACACTGTCGTGTCATCATGCCCCACATCCCCCAGAGCCACACAGCATCCCCTGGCTGGGGTCGGCGGGGGGGGGGGGTCCTATATAGAGATCAAGTCTCCAGTTCCTCTCTCTCCTTATGGTGGGATCATGGAGCACTAGCCCCTTTCTATCTCAACAGCCATTCTTCAGGCCTTCACTTAAGAAGTGAATTTTGTGCTGGCAGTATCTTCACAGCAATATAAAGTAACTCAGAATGATCTAAGGCACCCCTTTCAGCACTTGTGCCAAATGTTGCCAACCCCAGCTTTAAGCAACATATCTGAAAAAAGGGTAGCCATGAAAAGATATACTCAAGGGGAGCATATAATAGCTAAATAACCCTAACTCTCTTTAAAAAGATACAGCAGAAGCAAGCTGATAGGTATAAGGAGCATGAACTATGGATTCCTATTGACTTGGATTCTAGTCCTGGCTCAGCCATTTGCTAATTAATCTGATTCCTCAGGGTATGATATGTACCTCCCAGGATCATTGTAAAATTAAATTCAGTTAAATGATATAAATGGAAAAGTCCTGAGTATATACAAGTCTTCTGTAAGACTTTCCTTTCTTCTCTTTCCCAACTCTTGCTCCCAACTTCTACCCTCTGGTCCTTTCATTGCCCTCAGGGGTTATGTCAGATACACAGGACCCTGGTCTTGCTATGGGCCAAGCAGATACCACTTCAGAAATCAGCTCATTTATCTGGGATTCTAAATAGGATATTTCCCTATGATCTGTTGGTTCCTACCCAAAAAGAATCCAGAATTTCTAATGATTTTGACATTAGCAAAAGAGGAATCTTAACTGAAAATGCGCTACTTTCAATGATGACTCTTAAGGAGTTTTTGTCCAGCCATCTGAGGAGAAGTGTGGGTGTTCCTCTAAAGGTCAGTAAAAATCAATGGGATCCTTAATGTTCCTATATGAAATCGGCTCACCACACACTCATGGTGAAGAAGAACCAGACTGAAAAGAGGAACTAAAAAAATCTTCTGAGCAGTTTGGAAATTCCACCAGGACCCGGCTTCCATACTCAGGCTTGCTGCATTTACAGATAACTGAAAGCTCTCTGAAGGGTTTGGTCTGCTTCAGTGGCTCTGAAGGGGAGAGTCAGGTCCCTGAAATCTGAGTATTACTGCCTAAACCCAGCTGAATTTTGACCTTGCTTCACCATTTTACAAATGGGGACACCTAGCAAAGTGGGTGTGAGAATTCCGCCCACATAACACGCCTCTGCTGTCCTGGGCACATGACAGGTACCAGTGCCCTCGCCAGGCATTCACACAGCCCAGTTCCTTGCTTCCCTCAGATTTCTGCTCTGGGACCCCCTTTGTCTGGTACTCTCCCTAACCAGCACCCCCCTCCCAGACCTCATCCATTCTGCTGCTCATTAGTCCCTTGTCCTGATTTATTTCTCTTCAAGCTCATCTCTAGCACTAGTTACTTTTGAGGCTATGAGAGTGGGGGCTTAATCTGTTTAGTTCATTGCTCTACCTGCAGAATCTAGAATAAGAACTGGCCCATAGTAGGTGCTCAATAAATATTTGCTGGATGCATGGTTAGGCATTAGGAGATGAGATCTGGCTCCATCTGCTACACATTAGAATCATAACCTTGACTGAGTTGGTTCCTTGGGAATTTCTGCAAAATGGGCATGATACATTCTCCTCTAAGATTTCATGGAATTATCATGGGGACTGTATGAGACCCAGATGTAAAAGTGCTTTGCTAACTATAAAACACCATACAGATTTTTAAATGAGGCCATTCCTCTCATTCACAGCACATGATTTGTTGAATGGCACCCAGGACAGGGCAGAATCAATGTGGTAATCGGCTGACGACTGGACTGAGCCAAGCTCCCAGAGCTGGGCAGAGCAGCTCATATCCCCATGTGCTGTGATGTGTGTTATCTCACTGGGCCTTAAGTGTGCTTTTGAAATAACGGTGTTCTCAGACTCTATGGGAAACACATGTTAAATTCGTAGAATAGCAAATACAGGAAAGCATAAAAGATATCTATAATCAATCCCATCATCTAGAGATCTACTGTTAATGGGCTGTGTATATCCCTCCAATGGGAGGGACCCTTTGGGACACTTCTAAGTGCTCTGCATGAGATGAACCAGCACCCATGGGGTTTGTGTGAGCCTTGGGCTTGGTGCTAGGAGAACAAGGAGAATAAGTATCTGCTCTCCAGCAGCTGACAGATTTGAGACCCGTCACCTGATTTTTGCACCACTTCTGACTTTCTCTCCTCTTGAGACCTAGCCTATACGCACTGTATAAATCTGATCCTTTATGTCCCCAAATGGTATTTAAGTCTCTAAAAAGCTCAGGGACACAGCAAGAACTTGGCTCATAGGACCCCTTGGCTAGCAGCCTTCAGATAGTACAGGACAACAGGAAGAGTCTCTGTGACACTCTGGGGGCATTATTTTCCCTCTGGCTCAGTCTCCCTCATGCCATAGACATGCAGGCAACACCTTTCCTGTGTCCCTGGCCTACAACCACCAAAGGCCTCTCCCCTTCCCTTAGGCTTGTGCTTCCCTGAAAATGCCCCACTTCTGAGAGAAAGCTGCCCATGTCGGCCCCCCTGAGAGCGACCTGTTAGACCCTATGCTTTATAACTACCAGTTTCTGGAGTACGTGAGTCCAGTGTCTTTACCTCCACAGACCAAACCAGAAGTGGAGAGTTCAGGCATCCCCTCCCTTTTCAGGACAAAGTGGTCACCTGTCCTGGGCAGCAGTGGGTGGGGATAGGTGGAGTGCAGGTTCCTGGCCCAGACCAGGAGAGGAGGGTGTGTGGTAAATCCCTTTCCCTGAAGCAAAGGCCTCCATGATCTCACCCAGCCTTGCCTCCCACAGGCCATATGCAGCTCCCAGCTGCACCAAGTCTGCCAAACCCTCCCTGAGACTACACCACACATACACTCTCCAGTCTCCACATCTCCCTCTGACTCCAGTCACTTCGTCAAAGCTCTCTAAGATAGCCTCCTGACAGGTTTTACACAATCCCTCTGGCAGCCCCACAAGCCATTCCTTATGCTTTAGCAACACTTCTTTTTTCAAACATCATTTCAGAGCTTTACTATTCAAACCGAAGGTCTGTGACCCAACAGCATTGGCATCACCTGAGGGCTTGTTAGAGATGCAGAATCTTAGGTCCCTCCCTGCCCCACCCTAGCAGAAATGTATTTTTCAAAAAATTATGCCGACTTTATTTCAGAGCATTTTAGGTTCACAGCAAAATGAATGGAAAGTAAAGAGAGCTCCCATATACTCCATCCCCTTGGTGCACACAGCCGCCCCTTCCCTAGACATCTTCTGCCAGAGGGTACATTTGGGACAATCAATGAACCTTCATTAACACATCATTACCACTCAAAGTCTGCAGTTTACTTTAGGGATCATTCTTGACACTATACATTTAATGGGTTTTCACCAACGTAAAATGACACGTATCCACCATTATAGTATCATACTGAGTCTCCTCTCCTCACTGCCCTGTGCTGGAAACTGCTTTCAACATACCAGGTGATTGGTATGTATACCTGACGTGTGAGCAGCATTGGTACAGACCATGTCAGTCCTTAAAACCCTTCCGTGGCTTCCCAGTGCCCTCCAGACAACATTCAAATTCCTGACCATGGCCTTTAAGCACTGTGGAGTCTGGTCCCTGCCTCTACTTACCCCACCATGTCCACTGTCTTCACTTCCCCTCTCCTCTGTTTCTTTCGCATGTGGCTCTTCCGCCTTCACCCAACTCACTCTAACCACCCTCTTCTCTGGCAGAGAAAGACACTGTACATCCTTCGTACATTCATTTGAGTGTTTCTTTGATTAATTTTCATGTTCTTCCTAATGACCGTAAATTCCATGAAGGCAAAAGCCATGTCAGTCTTGCTCACAACTTGTCCCTAGGACCAAGAAAAGTATCCTCCACATAGGAAATGCTCAATATTTCTTGAATTAATATGAGTAAACAAAAGAAAGAACCCTTGTGCCAGACTCATCCTTACCTTTGTGCCTCTGTCTGTGCTGTTGCCCCACCCAGAATTCTCCTACCATCACCCATCCTCTACCATAAAGCCTGCCAGCTGCCTTAGCCCGTCCTGGCCCCACTCTGTCCAGGTCTTGGCCCCTCACAGTCAGGACCAGACACTGCACTGCTCTTCACTTGCTTGTAGGTTAGTTTTGCCTTCTTCAACTAACACACTCAAATCTCCTAGAGGGCCGGAATCCCAGGTTCAGTTTTTGAGTACATAGTAGGTGTTCAAACATAAGATGCTCATGGATTTGTTTGTTGACTCGATACAGCAATAATAAAATCTGAATGTAACTGTAGAACAAAGTGCTTTCCTAAATATTTTTCTTTAGCTCAAAGATAATCTCCTTCTGCTTGCCCCTGACTAATTTCCCTGGTACAATTGCTAAAACCCTAGTTTTAATTTTATATTTTCTTTCTCTTTTTCATTGGTACTTCCCCCCCCCGCCCCCCCCCCACATACACACATATTTCTAGGAAGCCTGTATAAATTTCTTTCTAAATATTTTTAAACTCTTTGGACTCTCTCAGAAGATTCATTAGCTCCCCCAGCTTCCCAGAAGAAAATTAGAACTGTTGCAAATGTCATATAAGTGTAAAATATATACAATTTCTGATGCATAAATTATAAAACTTAAGTCATGGTTCTCTTGGTTCAGCAGCCATGTAAAATAGCAGGTTTTCCAGCCCAGGACAGAAAATGTACTACTAGCACCACTGTAGGCCAGTAATCCAGCACCCAAACTCCTCTCCCATCCCTCTTCCACCGTCCTTCACACTTAGACATTCCGGTTGATGCCTGCAGTGCAGACATACTTCAAGTGAGCATCTCGTAAGACAAGGAGCTCTGAAGCCAAGCTGTGCTGAAGCCAAAGCCTTCTCTTTACTACTTGGGAGAAACCAGGTGGCATGCTGATCAGCAGAAAGAAGATCTTTTGTTTTGACTTTAAAAATAAAGTCAGAACCATTCTTCAACAGGATGAGCCCCACTCTTCTTAACAGCCCCCTGGATCCAGCCCTTGAAGCCCAGCCTGGAGGGTGGCAGAGAGGGACAACACAGAAAACCCCACCTCCTAAACCGTGAAGCAGCAAACTGAGTCAAGTTCCTGAAAGTTTCTTACCTGAACAGAAGTAAAAAAGACTAGCTAACACCAAGAGCTGAGAGACCTTGAGATATGGGTGTTTGAGTGGTGGTGTTCTCCACTTCGCTGTGTTATCCATGGCTTCTGCTGCTTAGGGTAGAAAACGAAAACAATTTCAAACCAAGTGAAACCTGGGTACCTCCTAGTAAGCGCCACGCAGGAGCAGAAGACAATTCAATTGCCTCACACAGAGGGTTCTCCTATGATGTTTGCAAAAACACCATGGATGGTATACCTGGGTCTCCAAACTCCTGAATATAAAAGATTGTGGATTTATTTTCACAACTTGAAAAGGAAAAAAATTAAAATCACCCAGGAAAGAAGGTTGGCCTCATGTGGGTTATAAAGCTCCCTGGTTGTCTGCCTGAAATGAGTCAGAAGCCTTAATCTGAGCATTCTCTAAACCACACAATCTCAAGGGCAAAGCAAAGGTTGGGGGAACTCCGAGGAGGTGATCCTGTTTTGTATATGTTCCCAAAACTAACCGCAGGTCTCCCATGGAATTGTTCTGCTTAATGGGGACAATAAGACTTTGGTAAGAGGACAGAGGATTTTAAGAGTCCTCAATAGCAGTTAGCCAAAATTCAGAACCTCTTCAAAACATACCAAGAAACACATAGCACCAGTGAGATCCTATTTCGTCCAAGGCAGGACTGAAATTATAAAACTACTTCCTTCTCAACACATTAACGTAAAAGAAGTACCTCCATTCTTAAAGACCCCATGCAAAGAATACGTCTTAAACTGGCAGAGGATCTGAATCAACAGAAATCTGTTTGTAAAACGGGAAAAGATGTATTACAAAAAATACTTATTTATATTATGTATACCGCATGAGGAAGCTGATTTTTTTTTCAGTAAATTTACAAAATTTAGAACTGAAAATGAATGTCGTGCTCCACTGTGATCTTCTGAGGTTGCCACCACAGACATAGTCCAATGCTACTCAGAAGCCATTCAAGACCCCTCTTTGGGAACCACCCCAGAGCTCATTTTCCAGCCACACTTGACAATTTTATTAGCCACACTCCATTTTAATCAGGATTAGTTTGCATTTGCTTCTTCACCAGAATTTTTTGAGCCATAACTCTGTTGATGATTCACCAACCAAGCTGGGAAGCCCCAGCCCCCCGTAAGAATGAGACCCTAGGCAGGATCTTTTGGAAGTATGCATCTTGAAGATAGAAGTGATAGTATGTTTATTTAAAAAGCAGTCGGGTTGTTGGTAACTATCCCTATCAAGCTATCCCATATGAAGATAACAGTAAATGTACTTACCTGCTGAAGGATAACTCCTCTTTTTTTTTTTCTTGTGTTTAAACAGAACAAAACAAAACAAAAAAAAGTCAAAGGATGAGGCCCCAGTTCTGAGATGTTCCTTTCTTGCTGTCTCCAAAATAATGGCAAGTTGCTCAGCTTTTCTTTGGGTGATATACCAGAGGCAATCCCCTTTCCAACTTCCTTTTACTCGCTGGAAGATCTAGCTGATGTTCATTACCAGCAGTATTTAAGTCAAAGCAGGGGATGTGTAGATGTTATGTATAACTTGAGGAAGCTGGTTCTGCTGTCCCTTTTTGTCAGCCACCTCAGAGAGTGTGGCTAGGACAAAGCACACAGCCCCTCCCTCACCATCTCTCACCATCTCTCATAAAAAGTCTCAAGAGCAGAGCAGCCTGTGGGAGAGTGGGAGGGGCAGGCCCATTGGCTTTGGGTTAGATTGTGAAATCTGTGAACCAGCTGTTTCTTTTTTTTTTTTCCAAAGATTTTATTTATTTATTTATTCATGAGAAACATGGAGAAAGAGGCAGAGACACAGGAAGAGGGAGGAGAAGCAGGCTCCAGGCAGAGAGCCCAATGCAGGACTTGAGGATCATACCCCGAGCCAAAGGCAAGTCACTCAACCAATGAGCCACCCAGGCATCCCGAACCAGCTGTTTCTAAGTTGGTCTCAAGTTTTGTTTTAGCACCCAGTAACCACCTCGCTACTCAACAGTCATGTCACTGCAGGAGTGGGCAGTCTACCTTGTATGTAGTGGCCACTTTTTGGAGAGTGCTGGGCTCACTAGACGGCCCTTAACTGCACCTCTATTATCTTCACAGACTGGACTTTCCAGCAGCCATGTTGGACAGGAGTGCCGTAGACAAAGTTGAGGGCACCTCAGGTGAGCACAATGACAGAACCGAGGGATAGGGTGAGGAAGATTTTAGGTACTCTCCTAAACCCCCACCCCCCACCCCTGGACTCTTATTTTCAATCAGCCTGCTACCCCTGTGTAGAATTTTGGAGCATTCTGTGGGTAAACAGCTGACTCATGCTGGCCCAGTGAACCTGTTTTGCACAAATAGAACCTGATAGCACCTTGCCTGGGCCTGTACCTTTTACAGTCTGCTCCTGGCCCCAGGGCTCCTCTTTTGCTTTGGCATGAGATATCTTTGCAAGTTCTCTACTTAAACGTGTGCAGCCTGGGAATATGGTGGTAGTCAGTGCCCATGGAGTACTCCTGACCAGACAGGATTGGAAGCTGACAGCTTCCAGGTGGAGAGTTCTGAGAAACATTTCATGAGGGTCTCCAGAAGGTCCCAGTGGGATTGAGTACCAGCTGTCTGTGGTAGAGGTCAGTGTGGTAAACCACCCTTGTCCTGGAGTTTCTTTCTTCCCTGCCTAAGTCCTCCTGTGTTCACACCACTGGACTACATCCCCAATAAACTAGACTTTTGTTTCCAGCTTTGCTTTCTGAATACTCTAGGTTAAGGCAAGAGGGATGCTCTCGTGGTTTTCCATCTAAATTTGTAAAAGTAGGCCCTCATATCCCTCCCATCTTGTCCATCTTTCTGTAGAGGTAGAAACGTGGCACTGGAAACAGATGTGTTGTAATGTGGGGTGGCAGGGGTGGCAGCAGCTTTTAGTGAACAAACGTGGCCTCTTCTACTTCCTGTCTATTGGCAAACACAACGTCTCTCCCAAGGCAACCAGAAAGAGCAAAGAGAGTAGGAAACAGGGAAGGCAGAGGCACCTTGCTTCAACCCTGTGACAGGTTTGTGGCTGGGTTCAGTGGGTGGCTGCTCTGTCAATCTTAGATTTGGAATATTCAAGCTCTATAAAGTGTGCCAGGCACTTTATGACAGGGGCCCATTGCATTTTCATCTTTTCTGCGAGGAAAAAAAGCTTGGTGAGCATTTTCATGCATCTGTGTCTTGGTCTGTGCATCTCAGCTGCATTATTTTGAATAATGAGGAGGAAGGATGTAACAACTTCTACCTTACAGTTGCAGTGATCTTCAGCCTCTCTGTGGAGGGGCTGATGCTCTCCTCTGGCTCCTTTCACTGCTTCATTCAAATTTGCTTATAACCTGCACCCAGCATAGGGTGGCTAGATCTAGGCTTTAAGACACCATGGTGTTCCCAAGCAGTGCCACAGTATGCTAAAGCTGGTGGAAACGTCATCAATGTTAAGAGTGGTCACCTCTTCCTCTTTGAATATTGTCACACTCTTTCTGATTCTCTGAAACAGAAATCACTGGAATTCTTAAAGTGAAAAGAGAAGTGGAAATTCAGAGTTAACCCCTGTCCAAACTATCCCACTGCCCCTCCTCTGCCTGCATTTGGTGCTATATTCCCTCTGCCTGAAAACAACTGACTGTTCCTTAACTTTCTAGATGACTTTCCCTGTCTCTCTGCCCATCCAAACATTTTCCTTCCTGAAAGGACCAGACCAAATGCCAGTTCCTCAAGAAGCTCTCATTAAGTCTTCTTATCCCTATCTGCTCTTTCTGTTCTCATATATGCACCACTCCTTTGGCATGTCAAGACAATTCCCCTAAAATTTATTGAGTTTGTACTGTAAGCCTGGAACTGTGCCAAGGACCGGGCATACAAAGATGAGTAGAATGAGAAAAATAAGAACAAGATGGAGGGACCGTAAGCAAAAGAAGCAAGCAATAGCAGAAAAAAGGAGCAGAGCAATCAGCTGAATTGGAGTCTGCAGAATGGGAAGATGCCCCCCACCCCACACCTCCCCCAGAGCAGTAGCTCATGGCTATAAGTCACTAGTTCCTAACCTTGGATTGGGAGATCCAGCCACCAGTAGATTTTTTTTTTAAATATTTTATTTATTCATGAGACAGAGAGAGAGAGAGAGAGAGAGAGAGAGAGAGGCAGAGACACAGGCAGACGGAGAAGCAGGCTCCATGTAGGAGCCTGACGTGGGACTTGATCCCGAGTCTCCAGGATCAGGCTCTGGGCCGAAGGTGGCACTAAACCGCTGAGCCACCCAGGCTGCCCCCACCAGTAGATTTTAAGCCCTTCTTTGGCACGCTCCCTACCAGATGACCTCGGCCTCTCTGCTCAGCTGCCCAGCTGAATCCCCAGCTCCCCTCCCAGGGTTTGTGATGGGGCCCTGATGCTCCACTTCCACTGGCTGGCTCTCAGTGGGTAAAACTACAGCCTCCAGAAAACAGAAAGCACCTATTCCTGCGGTGAAGCTTGGGGTGGGAAATCTAAAAAGAGTGAAACCACTGACTTCACAATGGCAGCTGGTTTTGGCATAGTGGTGTCAGGCCCCTAGAGAGTCCCTCAACCTCCCCCCGCCGTAGCCCTGATAAATCAGTATGAAGCTGGAGGGAGTTATTCTGAGAGCACTGTTAAAGCTCTTCACTCCATCAAATGCTGCCTTCGTGGTGGGTACTTGCTCTCTGCAGAGGCTTCAAATAGTCAAATTCCTTCTCCCGTTCAAATAGCAGCTGAATGTCTGTGCAAGGTGTGCTTTAACAGGTGCCATTTCTGGGAAGCCCTGCTGAGAGATAAATTTCCCTTTCCATTCAAGCTATGCAATTTCTCTTTAATTTTATGAATAGAATTCAACTACTACTCTCTGTCCGCCTTTATGAAGCCTGGTGACCATGACCTTTTGCTTTGACCTTTTGGTTTTCCCCGTCAGTTTATATTACATTGTCCTTAAGAAACAAATGACAACTATTACTTCACTTTTCAGAAAAATATTCCACGAAGAAGAAAGAGGAGAAAGGGGAGGAAGGAAGGAGAAGGGGAGGAGGAGAAGGGAGGAGGAAGGTGAAGGAAGGTGTTTACTCCATTTTAGGGGTTGATAAATAGCTTAGTGTGTTTAAGCAGCAAATAACACGCTCCCATTAAATCTTTAATTCACATAACCTTTAATTTACTGAAGTTTGCTTTCGTGGCACTACACTGTCCCATTTTGAAAACACTAAGATCAGGGACACCTGGGTGGCTCCATGGTTGAGCGCCTGCCTTTGGCTCAGGGTGTGATCCCAGGGTCCTGGGACCGAGTCCTGCATCGGGCTCCCTGCGTGGAGCCTGCTTCTCCCTCTGCCTTTGTCTCTGCCTCTCTCTCTCTCTCTCTCTCTGAATCTCTCATAAATAAATAAATTAATTATATCTTTAAAAAAAATGAAAGCACCAAGATCATTTCTGGGTTCTCCTCCTGCCTGGTGCTTGACTTCTTACTGTGTTTCTCAGGGGACAAGGAAAGTGAAATAGAAAACTGAAAAGAGTGACTTTTTTTTTTTTTAAGATTTTTTATTTATTTATTCATAGAGACAGAGAGAGAGAGGCAGAGACACAGGCAGAGGGAGAAGCAGGCACCATACAGAGAGCCTGATGTGGGACTCGATCCAGGGTCTCCAGGATCACACCCCAGGCTGCAGGCAGCACTAAACCACTGCGCCACCGGGCCACCCATGAAAAGAGTGACTTTTGTAAATTTGTTAATGGCTCTGGTGGACAGTGTGGGTGAGGGAGTGGCAGCCAATGGCTGTAGTGACCCTTAATTCCCCCAAATCCTAGAACAAGGACTGGCCAGGATTCCAGGGCAGTTCCTACCCTCAGACACAGAAGCCTCAACTTTCCCCAACAGTGTTTGTCTCTTCTTTTCTTAAAGGGTCAAGCAATAAAACACTGTAAGCTCCTTTGACAGGTGCCCTTTCTAGTTTTGTCAGAAAAAAATTCTTTCCTAAACACAACCAAATTCTCTCCTGCTTTGCCTTAAGATTATGTTCTCTCCTTCAGTCATCCACAGAAGGGGTGGGGGGCATTTACGTCCATTACAAGCTCAAAACAAATTAATAGAAACACTGCAAGACGATAGAGAATCATTTCGAACCTCCTCAAAACCACTCCTCAAAACAACTCCGGTCTGCGTGAAAAAAAAACCCTCAGCTCTGCATTGCTCTTTTCTCTGAGTTACCAGTTTGGCAGCCTTTTTATTATTGCTTGTTACTTTTCTCTGCATCCATTTTTCTACCTGTAGTTTGAATCTGAATGTAATAATATATCAATAAGGATCTGGGTTCATTTAGAAAGAATCCACATTGGGACACCTGGGTGGCTCAGCGGTGTCTGCCTTTGGCTCACGGGCATGATCCTGGGGGTACTGGGACTGAGTCCCACATCGGGCTGCCTGCAGGGAGCCTGCTTCTCCCTCTGCCTGTGTCTCTGTGTCTTTCATGGAGAAATAATTTTTTTTAAAAAAGAAAGAATCCACATAAATAATTCCTGGCGATGGTATGTCATATTTTCACTCATTATTTCCACGATTTCCACTCAATATTTCCACATATTTCCGTGAATATTTTGTTGCC